GGACTTACTGCGGTCTCAGAGCTTCCAGTGGCCTCAGGGTCATCGTCTGGCCAGTGGGGGTAGTGATTTCTGTTCACTCAAAGAGATTTAAAAGAGCGGTTCAGGGAATAACAAGAAATCAATAATTACAGGAAGGCTGTGGAATTGGGACGTAGCTTCTAAAATAAGCATTGGTTGGCTTGGAGCGCCCTCTTGTGTCCCTTAGGACAAACAGCAAGATGTAAACACCTTTGTACTTAATTATGTCTGGCGGTGTTCTCAGTATCGTCATTAATCCTCATAAAAACCTGTGATCCAGGGGACACTATAGATGAGAAGACTGAGGCACAGAGTAATTACTCCACTTTTCCCACGGGCTGTAGCCGGCAAATGAAAGCGGAATTTGAACCCCGGCATCCCAGCCAGTTCTTTCGATGCTCTACGCCGCCTCTGCATTTTTCCTGGGTTGTTTTACAAAGCTAAGGGGAAATTATAAGTACTACACTATTAACCATGACAAGGATAAGAAATCTTGTATCCACTGAAGCACAACCTCAAAGTCTTCAGCAAACAAACTAACAGGATACGAATGAAGTGTCCGCCGGGAGCTCAGCAGTGAAAGGGGCCGGGGATGGAGCGCCGGGTCCCCCTTGTCTACTGACAGCCTCACCTGCGGGACAGTGAGCGCGCACACAGCTGGGATGCAGGAGGCCGGGCCTGGGTGACCGTGTGGGGGTCACGGTGGAGTTCACCACGGAGGACGGGGCAAGGAGGGGGCCCCAAGCACAGCGATGGGGGGTAGATTCTGAGTGACAGGGACGGTCGTGTGTTCTGTGCTCACCTACCACACCCAACACACACACACACACACACCCCTTCCTGACGGGCTGGCTTCATCTCTTCTTGTCGAACTTGCTTAAGATGGTCCCTAGGCCCCGTGACCTTTCAGAGGCGGCCCGGGAAAGTGCGCATCCCTGGAGAGAGTGATCCAGCCTGTTGGACTGGGCCTTGGCCCACTGCCGCCCACCCCTGCAAAGCCAGGAGAATGCCACCTTTCTCAGGGTTGGGGCCCAAAGCAGGAGGGGCTCATGGGCCAGGAATCTAAGGGCAATAAACCTCAAGCAGGACTCTGTGGGGTCAGCCTGTGCCCTGGAATGATCCACAGTGGCCTAACTGAACCCTCACTCTGCTCCTGGCGGAAGTGTCGCTTCCATTGACCGAAGAGGAAAGGAAGTCGGGGGAAGGCTGGGAACTCAGCTCCTGGAGATGGGAGGAGCTGGTGCTGCTCACCAGTGTGCTGGCGCCCCCACCCTCTCTTTCTCTCCTCTCTTCCGCGTCACCTGCTCAGCTGTGTTCTCCGCCCGCAGGCAAGCCAGTGCAGTGGCTGCTATTACATGCCACATCCCTTGGTGACCCAGGAAAAAAAAGGTTTTAATGACTCCCAGTTGGGGCCTATCACGAGGTTTATTAGTATCAGGTTAGCTGCCTGCAAAAGCAGTCACGGGAGACAGAGGACGTGAAGGGAAAGCCAGCCGTGGGCGCCCGCACCCGGCCGCGCCGCTCCTCTTGCGCTCCCCCGAGTGCGTCTGCGGTCCAAGTCGCTCCACTCACGCAGCCTCATTGCTACGCTTCGGAATCGAAGTTCCACTCTGCGTGTTTCAGCTTTCTTCCCCAGCTCCTTCCAGACCTGGAGGATATGAAATAAAATTACCCAGCCGGTGACATTCAGGATGTGTATGCGAACGAGAACACACAACGTAGTGCATTGCACTCTTCACTGCGTCCTCCATAAGGGCGTCGATTTTGGACGGAAAGGTCATCCCCTGAATCCGGGTTTCCCCCCGGAGCTCATGTTCACGGTCCGCTGTTGATCACAGGCTGCTCCATCTTATTTCAAGGCTGAGATCCCGCGGGACATCTATCAGGTCGCTGGTCACTTTCAAGTTGACAGTGAGCAAGTTTTGCCTCTTCCAGTTTTTAGAACAGGTTCCAAAGAGTCTGACTCTGGAGCGCTTAGGACAAACTGAGTGTCAAACTACATTTTTCAAGAAGTTCAAAGACGACTGTCGTGCAAATACTTGCCCATGGCCAGCGCTTGTGTGGGTCACAGGGTGGTTACGTCCTCAGTGAGAGAGTCAGCAGGAGACAGGAGAATAGAGTCCGTATTCTGTCACGGGAAGAAAGAATGCGAAGCCTGGAAAATTAGATACAAACTTGCTTCCTGTCCTATTATTCACTGGGACAATAGCTTGCAGGGGTATCTTTTCTACTGGAAAGAATTTATTTGCATCTCTACTGGACAAAATCTTTCCTAACATATCGATATTCTACAAGTAAAAGTCCAGTTTTTACATCCTCTGCACCTAAAGAAGTCAACACGAAGTGAAAGTTAACCTTGACTGAAGCAGTGCCGTCTAGTTGTTGGCCAGAGCGGGCCACCGCGCCCTTGTCCCGTGGCTGGTCGGAACCGCGGAGTCCTATGTCTGTGAGCACACACACTTCAGAGACCCACCACGTGAAAAGAAGGAATATAAACCACCTTATTTTTTAAAGAGACTGGTTACCACTTCAACTGATAATAGTTTCAATGTATATACTGAGTGACATAAAATATACTATTAAAATGAATTTTACCTATTTCTTTTCAGTTTTTACAATGTGATGCTAGAAAACTTACAGTTACTGCTGTGACTTACATTCTGCATTACCACGCAGCGTGGTCATCGAGCACCAGATGAGCCAAAAGTGGACTCAGACAACTTTCTAACACTGCTTGGAAGGACACAAAGAAATGCTTTCGCCTTGATTTTAAATTTGACCAGCAGGAGACACAGTTTTCAGATGCTGAACGAATGCTACTCAATGAAGCCACGCGGCTCTGCTTGGTCTAAAGTGAGAGGACTCAGTCTCTCCCCGCCGCTGAGCCGGCATGGGAAACCATCTTTAACACGATGCGCTCACTGCTTGGGGTGTCTGCGCCAAAAGCACACAAATCCTGTTGGAAGAAAAAGGTTTTCTTTTTAATTTTGGCAAGTGAAGGAGGCCCAGGAATAATCGTCAAAGCTCTGTCTCCCAGAAGAAAGGTTTAACCATGGCTCCTAGGCACTATTGGGTCAAATCTGTTAGCGTTGGCCGCTAGGTACTAATAAGGGAAGGGGAAAGAGGGCGAGGCATCAAGCTGGTAAGCTGGGAGGCTGAACCCGGTCTGGGGCCTGCCTCACAAGGCAGCCACAGCTCCACGCACTCCCCATGGCGCCCCCGGTCCTTGGCGCCCGACCCCCTGAAGCAGGCAGGAAGGATCCTCACCGGGGAGGAACAACAGCAGGAGCAAGTCCTCTGCTGGGCACATGCCCGGTGGAAGCTTCACAGGCAACAATTCTTGTTGATTTCTTCTTTGCAGTTGGCTACACTTATCCAGGGTTTGGTTCAATGCACTTGACTCCTTTGCAATGGGTATACTTGGTCAAGTTCATCAGGCTGCAGCCGTGTCTGCAAAATACCGTTCACACTTAGAAAGAACAGCATTCAGTGCACAGCGCCTGTACCCTGAGTCGCGTGGCCTCACACTGTTGACCACCGCAGTCTAGGCCTCGCACCTCTCATACGTATCCCATGCAGACATGTGTGTGTTAAACAGGAATTTCCGGTGCGTCGTAATACTTCCTTTGTGCTAAATATAAAATGGTCATATTAAATATATAAGCAGAACATTTTCTCAGCCTCTTCTTTCAAGAATAAGTTGCCATTGCTTTGAGCCGGAGGGCAACGTGTGAAGTAACAAAACTTAAAGTGGTAAATCAAATTTTACAATAGAACACATAAGGGCAGCTTTAGGAGGGATGGAAAGACATTAACTCATCGATAAAAAGTGGTATAATAATTTGTATTCTAGTACTTTTTCTGGATGTTTTCAACTTCGTCATCCTTTCTTACTTCTGTTTCCCATCCATAGTTCATCTGATAAGTCGCAGTGTCTCTTATTAAAGACAGCTTTCTTTCCACCCGTATCTTTGAGTTCCCACTTGGAGGGTGTCCTTGTATATCGCGACACGTGTTATATACTGTGACTGGAAGAAACCTGGCATTTCCACACACTGAAATTCATCTCTTAACCCCGGCATGCAAAGATAAATAAGTGCATGTTTTCCCTGAAAACAGATCATCTGCTTGTCCCTTGATGCCAAGCCTATCGGGGCCACTTTGTAGGCTTAGTGGGTTCCTTTCTTCCCTTATTATCCCCATTCTTCAAGGCCAGACCCCCTGCTTGCACAACCCAGAGGGGAACCTGAGGGCTTTTTAAAAACAGCCCAAATTCTCGCCTTTGGAAAGTGAAGAGTGTGCCCCGCCCCCATCTGTGAAAAGAAGGATTGATAAAGAGTTTTAATGTCTTCAAATCAGAGATTTAAGTCTCTCACCTGCCACCCCCCAGGACTCCTCCGAAACTTGGGGTCCCCCTCCCACCCCTCCCTGCCTGCTTCGGGCTGGTCCGGAACCTGGTCCCAGTCCCCCGCTCCTGTGGGTCTGCACGCAGAATTCACAGAGGACCTGTGTTACTTCCCTTGTGAAGAAACAGGATTACCGTGAAAATGTAAGTGGAAAGCACTTGGTTTTTGTCCCCCAAAGAAGGTCAACATGTGCCCAACCATCCCTGAGAAAAAGAACTTTCGGGGGCAAAGGAGCGAACAGGTAATTTAGAAGAAAAACAGAAAGTGGTCTCAGACTGCCCTGGACTTCCCTCGGAGTTGGGGGATTTGGGGACGCCTGGACGCGGTGTCTTTGCAGTTAGGGAAAAAATTCTTGCAGAACACGAATCCTGAGGCTTCTCGGATTCTTCTCCGACCAAAACTGAGTGATTTGGTGCGGGGAATTTTAATATTTCCCCCCTTTTGTGAAGTGGAACAAACACAACTTGGGCGCACCGCGGCGGCTCGGAGCCTGCCAGCCAGGAGGGCGGCGGGAGCACCAATCAGCGCGCGCCTGCGCTCTATATATACAGCGGCGGCCCGCGCCGCTCCATCGGCGCTTTGCCACTTGTTTCCAAGTTCCAGATCGCCAGCATGTCGGAGACCGCTCCTGCCGCCCCCGCTGCCGCGCCCCTTGCGGAGAAGGCCCCAGTGAAGAAGAAGGCGGCCAAGAAGTCTGCAGGGGTACGCCGCAAGGCGTCCGGGCCGCCGGTGTCCGAACTCATCACCAAGGCCGTGGCCGCCTCCAAGGAGCGCAGCGGCGTGTCGCTGGCCGCGCTCAAGAAGGCGCTGGCTGCCGCCGGCTATGATGTGGAGAAGAACAACAGCCGCATCAAGCTGGGCCTCAAGAGCCTGGTGAGCAAGGGCACCTTGGTGCAGACCAAGGGCACCGGCGCCTCCGGCTCCTTCAAGCTCAACAAGAAGGCGGCCTCCGGGGAGGCCAAGCCCAAAGCCAAAAAGGCGGGCGCGGCCAAGCCCAAGAAGGCTGCTGGGGCAGCCAAGAAACCGAAGAAGGCCGCGGGGTCAGCCACCCCCAAGAAGAGCGCCAAGAAGACCCCGAAGAAAGCGAAGAAGCCAGCGGTGGCTACTGTGGCCAAAAAGGTAGCCAAGAGCCCCAAGAAGGCGAAGGCTGCGAAGCCCAAGAAGGTCGCCAAGAGCGCAGCCAAGGCTGTGAAGCCCAAGGCCGCCAAGCCCAAGGTTGCCAAGCCCAAGAAGGCGGCACCCAAAAAGAAGTAGGTTGTTCTGCTTCTAAAACCCAAAAAGGCTCTTTTCAGAGCCACCACTGATCTCACCGAGAGAGCTGTGCACTTTTGCTCTACTGTCCCCCTTCTCTCTCTGCTGTCTTACTTTGCTAGTAGTTTCGCTAAGGTGGCTGCAGACGCCTCCCGGGAAAAGGGGGTGTGTGCAGGGGGAGGGACACCGATGCACCCCGGGGCCCTCCTGACAGCTGGTCCCGCGCTGGCTCCGCTCGCTGTCAGCTGTGCGGAAGCGTTCCCGGCGGCCCCACCCCACGCCCAGGGACTGGGGACCTCGGTGTTACCAGCCGGTGTCTCCGCCGAGCCGTCAAAAAGTCCCGCCTGCTCGCGGGTTGGTGCCTTCCTCTAAGCTTGACTTCCATCCTGGCTTTAATTGGGCAGCGGTGGGTTCTGTCAGGTTTTCTTTCTGTGAGGCCGAGTTTGCTCTTTCCGCCAAATGTAGAAATGCATCTCTTGTGGGGACATGGAACAAGTTTCCCAAAGTCAGGTTGGTGTGTCCCGGCGCGTTGGTGGCGTTCAGCCCTTGCAAAGGGGAGGCGGGCGCCTTTGCGCGTGTTCTAATTACCGTTTATTTGGCGACAAAAAAGCGCACTTGAGGAGAGGCTGCCTTCCAGGGCTCGGCTGCACCGGGACGTTTCTGTCCGTCACACCCTGTAGTTTTGGACCTTGGTGTGACTGATCTGAGCGCATCAAAAACAACTTTTCGTCGCCATCTTGGCCTGGCTGGCGGTTCCCTGTACTCCGTGTATTTCTTTAAATCCACCCGAGGATATGTTGATTTTACAGGGGGATGCAGACAGAGAGAAGGAACATCGATCGCCCCCGTATTGGGGCTCGAACTCGCAACCTTCTTGGTGCACCGGACGGCGCTCCCACAGAGCCACCCGGCCGAGGCCCGTCCTTGTAGACAGGCATCTAAAAATTGGTGCTTCAGAAGCCCTTCTTTTTTTGTGTGTGTGCGCAATCCAAATGTTTTTACGGGAATCAGAGGAGAAAACTATTGGCAAAATCTTGGATATGTGTCTGTGAGTGGGGGTGATGCCAGTCAAGAGCTTTAGCGTCACTGACACGGTCATCTGTGGATTCTTTCGTATTTACGGCATTTCTCCCGGAGGAACTCCAGAGGCCCGGTTTTATTCCGGTGAATGCAGATTTTCTCGAGACACGTTCCAGAAAGGGGCTTCGGGGCCTGCAGCTCAGCTCCTCACCTATTGCCCCCAATACAGCGGTGATGAGACTTAATTCCCGTATTAGTGCTGGTGACCGCGAAGTTCATCCGCCCTGCCCCGCCCAGCTGGACGGACAGATAATTATCTTCGTTGTTTTTGTAAGAATAAGACTCCCTTGAGCTCTGTGTATTTGAGTGCCAAGTGATGGATATGAATGTGTGGATAATGTTTGTTACATGAATATATGCATGTTATGTGTTAGGTTTTAGACATATATGTATATGTAGATAATTTTCCCTCCAAGACCATTTCCTTCCTCTTCCAATTCTGCCTTTCCTTCCCTCCCCACCCCACCCCCACTTGAGATGGCACCTTTATCCCCTTGGTCACAGCCTAAATTGTACGGATAGGTGGACTGATTTTTGGTTTTCTATTTTGTTCCTTTAATCTTTCTGGCCATTCCTAAGGTTCGAGATCACACTTTTTAAAAATTTTTGTTTTTTTAAATTATATATATAAACCACTGTTTGAAGTACTGTTTAAATATATATGTACTCTTTGTATTATATGAAGTAATGTTTTTACATTTATTTCACTGTTTTAAGTATCTGTGTTTTTAGTACTGTCCATAGCTGTCTTCAGTGCTGAGAATTATGGCCTACACAGCAGAGATGCAAATAATAATGGAATGTTAAATAAACTGAGGTGTTCTGATATGACTTTAATAGCTGATTCAGCTAATTTACTCCCATTACTCCTTTCCAAAATTCTCTGGTTATTCTATTTTTTGTTTGATTGCTTACTTTCCTTTTCCATATATACTTTGGGACCCTCTCCCCATACCCACTCAGAAAGAGTCAATACCCTATTGGTAGTCTTATTGGGATTGGTATTTTTATCAATAAAACTCAGGAGATGAGTTTTAGTATTCAAGAGCATTTTATATTTTCCCACTGTTCAAATATGTTCTACTTTTCTCCAAATACATCTCTTCCCATTTTCTATTACCACCATTCCCAGACACTTCCTTTTCTTTGTTGCTGTGGGAAATGGCACCCTGATATTCTACAGTCCTCGAGGGTCAGCGCTCCCTAAACTGCACGTAGAAGGTACCCAGGAACTGCAGGAATCTCTGGCCGAGCAAAGGAATCCATAAACAGTTCTGTTCAGGGCCACATGGCTCAGGAGCAAAGAAACAGCTGAAATCCATTTAAAGATATAATTTATTAAACCCAATATGTCCAAAATACCATCAGATCACCCTGTGAGGTTAATTTCCATAGAACCCCCTTTTCATCCACTGTTGATGTATTTTCCCACTAAAAATTAATGTTCACTACCTACTTTTGTATTTGTAATTTAGTGTGGTAGTTTTTTTAGTCACAGAGCTTTAGGCCTCAGCAAATCTTGATCTCTGTGTTATCTTTATTATATTTAGAATCTTAAAAAAACACTAGGCCACACTATTATCTTTGTTTAGCAGAATCGATGTTTTTGTATTTATTAAAAGGGAGCATGGGTAAAAGAGAGAAGCTCTACACTTGCAACCCTTTGTGGGTGAAAAAAGGGTGCTGTAATAAATCACAAGTTCCCATTGTAAGCAGGTTATAGTGGGCAGTCACACCCCAGGCGTCAAAGTTTTCAGTTAAAAGGCTCATCTTTGCTTTTGTTACCCCGCAAAGAGCTGGCCCACCCAGTGCTGAGAGAGCCAGTTCATGCAGACACCGCGGTGCATGGAAGGACCGGGAACTACACCGGGAGGCTGGTGCCTTGCTCTGGAAACACCCCAGCTCCTCAGCAGTTCACACACCAGGGTTTTATAGAACACAATTCCCGAGTCGTCGTAAGAGGTTTGAGGTCATGGGTCTTGGTGACTGGTTAGGAGTGTCAGGAGGGCAGAAAATCATTACTTAAGGTCCTGAGGTCAGTTTGGGGGTCTTTCAGTCTGGGTTCATGTGGATGTGGCCAGGGAGGGTCATTCAGCTCTAAGGCTCAGGAACTGAAACACAATTCAGGCCACACTATTATCTTTGTTTCACAGAAACCCACACCCCGTGGCCCTCAGTCAGGGCCTGGGTATCTTTTCTCCCCACCTTAGAGAGTTGGGGGAAGGGCCAAGGCTCAGGGGCATGCTGAGAAGAAGCTGAACAGAGGTCTGGAGCTACATACTAAATCACAATCACACATTAAATCAAAACCCTCAGTTTCACTTGGTTGTTCACTTTGTACCTGAAAAGTATCTTAACAGTGCTTGAGACTAGGTAAATTATCTTCACTGTACTTGTGATGCTCAATCCTTGTGTGCTGTTCCTGTTCCTAATGTGCTTTTCCCAGAAGTCTAACAGGCCTTAGGCTATGCGCTTTGTGTGATGGTTAACAGGGTGCTACGCCCAAACATAGGTATATGTTAAACTTAAAGATATTCTCTGAGGGGTTTTAACCCCTGACTTCACCTTAAGCAAGTGCTGTCCAATGCTTTTGTGCATCTAGGTAGCATACCTTTGAAATTCCCCTTCAGACCTCTCCTTCCCAAAGTAATAACCATGCATAATCTCAGGTATCCAGTAATCCGTTCCCCACCTCGCTTTCTTCCACCTCCTTGTTAATATTCCTTATTTTCAAGTGAGCAAAAGAAATGCAAAACTGTCCTCCAGATCCTTTGAGGTCTTGATCCCCTAGGATATATGGACAGTTTTGACAGCCGATAAAATGTACCTATAGGTTTGGAAATTTCTTATGCCCACATGTTCAGCATCTTAAATCCTATTGAATTTTGGATTGTGGTAAATTTCATCTTCCCTGCTAAGTGAATGTTTTTATTGGGCCTCTGTCCAGGGGAGGAGTGCTGAGGCATTTCCATCACGTGAGCTACAATCCCATTTCAGGTACGCAGATACTGAATTATGGAGCCAGAAGTGTGGTCAAGAGTCCCCATACAATTAAGGACAATCAATAAAAACAGCTTAACTCTAACAGGGGAAAATAAGGCGGTGAAGTCATGTGTCTGGCATTTGAAATACCGTGTACTGAAGTCCTGATTGATCTATTATGCCATTCTACAGATAGTAAAACTTTGGCATATTAATATCCTAAGGAATCAAAAATTGTAAACAGCAAAAAAAGTGTTGCATACTTGTAACATATCTACAGTACCTTAGAAGCTTCATAGTAATATGTGACAGTCAATATTTGAAAAACTAGTCTTGACATTAACCTAGTTTTGGAATTATTTCACAATTCCAATTTCAAAAACAAGGAAAGGAACTCGTACTACAGCCTCTATTTAAGTGAACCGGTGGTTGGCTCTTAAAAGAGCCTTTGGGTTCAAGTTTATGACAGTTTGACAACTGCTTACGCCCGCTCCCCACGGATGCGGCGCGCGAGCTGGATGTCCTTGGGCATGATGGTGACGCGCTTGGCGTGAATGGCACACAGGTTGGTGTCCTCGAACAGGCCCACCAGGTAGGCCTCGCACGCCTCCTGCAGCGCCATGACAGCCGAGCTCTGGAAGCGCAGGTCGGTCTTGAAGTCCTGCGCGATCTCGCGCACCAGGCGCTGGAAGGGCAGCTTGCGGATCAGCAGCTCGGTGGACTTCTGGTAGCGGCGGATCTCGCGCAGGGCCACGGTGCCGGGCCGGTAGCGGTGCGGCTTCTTGACGCCGCCGGTGGCCGGCGCGCTCTTGCGGGCGGCCTTGGTGGCCAGCTGCTTGCGCGGGGCCTTCCCGCCGGTGGACTTGCGCGCCGTCTGCTTGGTCCGGGCCATAACTAACACTCGCTAGTACTCAGCTGCACAAACAGCACCAGCGAGAAACCTTCGCCCGCTATATATAAGGCGAGTCCAGCTCTGATTGGACCAGGCAGCTGCCCATCAAGGTTCGCAGTGAAGTTACTGGAAGCGGCCGCCATTTTCTCTTACGCAAAACCCACGGGGCGTTGACACCGGAAACCAGCTTCTCCCGCCCCGCCCCGCCCCGCCCTCCCCTTAACAGCGGCTCCTCTCCACCTTTTCGCGCCGCTACCGTCTTTATGCCCTTTCTTCCCAACGCTCTTTGGCGTTTGCCCGCAGAACTGCGTGTCAGCGTCACCATGATACACGTGGTTTGCTCAGTAAACATTGCAGACTTGGGACCCCGAGAGGGACCTCCCTCTGGTTATTTTGAAAAGGCGCGCGCTGGAGGGGATTGGCCCAGTGACAACGCGAGACAGCGGGAGGGAGGGTGGTCCCGTGCCCTGCCAGTCCCACCCTGACCTGCGTGTAGGTAGGACAATGCCTGGTCAGGAGTGCGTTTCAGTCAGGTGTCCCTCACGCTGCGGCCCGCTCAGCTACCCCGCGCCGAGGGTCCCCGTGAGCGTTCTCTTCCCTGGGGCGGGGTCTGCTCTCAGCGACGCCGAGCTCGCGTCCCTACCAGTGTGCGCACGCTGACCCCTACTGGCAGGCTCGGGAGTTGCGGCGCGGGTCACTTGGGCAGGCGCCTGCAAAGCAGACACGAAGACACAAGCCCTTTTAGCGAGAACGTGGGTGGCTCTGAAAAGAGCCTTTGGTTTCAACTGGTCGGAGTGCTGCAGGCTTTTACTTGCCCTTGGCCTTGTGGTGGCTCTCGGTCTTCTTGGGCAGCAGCACGGCCTGGATGTTGGGCAGCACGCCGCCCTGCGCGATGGTCACCTTGCCCAGCAGCTTGTTGAGCTCCTCGTCGTTGCGGATGGCCAGCTGCAGGTGGCGCGGGATGATGCGCGTCTTCTTGTTGTCGCGCGCCGCGTTGCCCGCCAGCTCCAGGATCTCGGCCGTCAGGTACTCCAGCACGGCCGCCAGGTACACGGGCGCGCCGGCGCCGACCCGCTCGGCGTAGTTGCCCTTGCGGAGCAGGCGGTGCACGCGGCCCACGGGGAACTGCAGCCCGGCCCGCGACGAGCGCGTCTTGGCCTTGGCGCGCGCCTTGCCGCCCTGCTTCCCGCGTCCAGACATAGCGCCCTGCGTAGACTGAGCACTCGAAGTCAGAAGTAGTAATGTGTACTTTGTGAGGCGTAGAAAGGTTCTTATAGATACCTTTTAGATATATCAGTCGCCATTTGATTGGGTAGAACATATCGTAACCAATAGGAAGCTGAACTGTGAATCCGTTATTTGCATAGAGTATTTCCTTGCGGAACTGTAGTGACTAGCCAATCAGAGCTGTAGTGAGTAGCCAATCAGAAGTGAGAATTTTGTAGTCTTCATTTACATACTTCAATACATATGTACACTAATGAGGTTTCAGCTCCCCGTCCTAACCTTCAGTGAAGAGATTATTCTTAGTGGTTTTACAGTTAGCAGGAGAAGCAATGCCTGAATCCTTCAAAGCTGCTCCAGCTCCTAAGAAAGGTTCTAAAAAGGCCATTACTAAAGCGCAGAAGAAGGACGGCAAGAAGCGCAAGCGCAACCGCAAGGAGAGTTACTCGGTGTACGTGTACAAGGTGCTCAAGCAGGTGCACCCTGACACCGGCATCTCGTCCAAGGCCATGGGCATCATGAACTCCTTCGTGAACGACATCTTCGAGCGCATCGCGGGCGAGGCGTCGCGCCTGGCGCACTACAACAAGCGCTCGACCATCACGTCGCGGGAGATCCAGACGGCCGTGCGCCTGCTGCTGCCCGGGGAGCTGGCCAAGCACGCCGTGTCCGAGGGCACCAAGGCCGTCACCAAGTACACCAGCTCCAAGTAGTGTTTCGTTCGGTGTGACTCTAAAGGCTCTTTTCAGAGCCACTCACCTTGTCTAAGAAAAGCTGTAACTGCTATTTCCAAACGTTTTCCAGCCAGCCATGTCTTCTATTGACTTAGTTTGGGTCCTGGATTCTATGAAATGATCGTTGACGTAAAGTCAGCTCAGATTTGAATCTACAGTGTCGCTTGGTTCTTTTGTGCCACACCCAAGAATCCGCTACTTCACAGGTATTTTTACCCCTCACTATGTCCTATCCTCGAGGTATTTGCGACACTGCATATACAAATAGTTACTTCCCATTTCCCCGCCCTGCATGTTTCTGATGGAGGAAGTTGGATTTTACCTGAGGCGTAAGTAAACACTTAAGGCTTAAAGGATTTCTGAGTAGGGGTCCTCAAGAGATTGTAATGATCCAGCTCTTTGGGGGAATGGAGGAGAGGTGCAGGTAGCACAGGGGGCAGGCAGAGGTACGCTCCTTCCAGCAGCCTGAATTTATCTGGGCCTTGGAGCATTGGGGTAACAGCCAGCAAAGTTCCGGGTGGCTGGGGCACTTGTTTCCGTGGGGTATACCTCGCGCCCTTCGCTCTAATTTCTCATTAGAATTTTTTACATATGGCAAAAGTCCATCTAAAACGTGTTTGTATTTTCCCTGCATCCCAGAAATCCAGGCTCCAACTCTTGGGCTGTTGACAGTTCTGGGAAGCCCATGGAAAGGCGGGGAGGGTGGCTTGCAACTTTAAAGGGAACAAATATTTGAATTTCCCGCCCATCCTCACTTGGCGCCACCTCTTGGCCCACAGTGGCGGGGGATGGAAAGTAAGATGTATTGGTTTTTCTCTGCAAACTTTTTTTCATGGACTCTAGGACTCCACAACTAATCCCAAACCGACAGGAAGGGCCATTGATTGAGGAAGAGGACTCAGAGTCGTGGGTCTACTTTGGGGGTAGAAATATCAGCTGTTCACTGCTTATTACAAAAGAAAAATATTTTGTTTCAGTCTTTGAGTACAATGTGGTTGATATACAATAGTGTATTTGGGTGAAACAAAATTTAAAATGAAATTTTTCCAAAAAATCGCTTCAAAAGTAAATGAACATTTAATTTTCCCATGGCCCACATATGTCAGTGGACCACTGGATGGGAAGTTTTTTTCTCAGCATATGCAAAATAGTGTTGTGAAAAAGACACCTGTCTTAAAAATCAATAATTGTTTTGGTTGACACTGTAAGAAGACATCCCCAGTCTACCCTCCCCCCCCCCCCCAGCAAAATTGATAGTGGTTCATGCTATAGTGTAAGAACCACTGGCCCTGATGTTCTTCCTCTGGAGGAGGAAGGTCTAGGTAGTGATATTATTTCTTATCTTGTACAAAATGATCTTTCCAGAAGGGGATTATTTTCACCCTATCTTGTCATATGTAAATTTGTCTGCCTGTTTGCTTTCAACCTCTCTGTCTTTTTCTCATTCCTTTCTAATATTTTACATTTTACCTAATACTGCACTCTTAATTAATTGACAAGCTCAAATAAAAAACCAGGCCACCTAACCTCAAAGCTAGAAATGTTTGCCATATGTTCTGATGTTTCACAAGTGAATGAGGAATTAAGAGGGAAAAAAAAGATGCCTGGACTCCGTGGTACACTGCAGATCTATAGTGGAAGGTAGTGAGAAGACAGGGAAACAAAATTATAAATCTCTCTGCTTGATTCTGACTAGGAACCAACTCTGAGCACAGCAGGGCCAGCAGGCAAGTCCATCAGGTGAGAGAAGTTCTAGAAGTGATAGCCACCTCGAGGAATTCACTGCTTCCGGTGCTGTAATCAAGAAGCAGACGTAATTGCCATCAGGTGGTATATTTACTTGCAGCAAGTAAAGGAGACAAGGAATTCTCCAGACTTAGCCAGGGCTTAGCCACACGATGGTCAATTACATGTTGATTTCTTCTTTGCAGTTGTCTACCCTTATCTGATTGTTTTCTTGACAAACTCATCCGGTCCATGCTGTGTCCACAAAACACTGTTGTACATTTTAACATTTAGCAAGAATACCATTTAGTAACAATTGACCAGACCTAGAGATCCTCCTCCTATCTACCAGAAGGGTTTCTACACCGTGATAAACACCCACATTTTCTGGGGAGCTACTGTCTCTGAGTTACAAAGAAAACAAAAGAAAAATAATCTGGGCTACATCCCTAACTCTCTTTGCCTGTCTGAGAGACCTTTGCCTTCCTCCCTATTCAACAGAGATGATGTGAAGACAGAAAGAACTGGATTTGCAGACAGAGGGAAAGAGCTACTGACCAAGGTGGAGATGTGGGTGCTGGAACCAGAGGCCGAGTATAGGGGGACTTCTAATTTGGAGGGAGGAAGACTGAGAAACCTGAAAGAAGAAAGGTCACCCGAAAGACAAGTAACCTGAGGCCCACAGACTGGTCATGCTCAGGAATGAGACGGCACAGGTGGGACCGAAGGAACGCCCTGGCTCCTGATTTCCGGCAGAAGAGAGGACATGAACTTCTCAGTTCCTTCTTCGGTGTCTTTCAGCAGCTTTCAATGTGTTTTTCGTGCCTTCTCCTTTGCAGTCAGTAATATACACATTTAAATGAGTTTTTTCACTTCCTAGAAAAACAAAGCCTGCCCTTTACTTAAAAATAATACCTATTACAGCCCTGGCTGGTGTGGTTCAGTCCTCTTGATAGAAGACTCAAGAGTTGGAAAATCGTAGTTTAAGGTAAATTGTTATAAGCCTAGTAAGTAACGCATATGTTAAAGCTATTGTTTTAGAAACTGCAGATAAGGCCCGTCCTGGCTCGTGGGAGAGACAGCGGACCTCCTGGGCCACCGCTAAAGATTATGGCCAGGGGAAAAGTAGAGGCATCTGGGCCACTGCGTTCTAGGGACAGACAGACACCACCTGTCCCTGGGAACAGCTAACTGCCCAGGACAAGAATGCTACATTTTCTTTCACCTAATTCTCTCTAGATTTTAAAACCCCTCACCGCACTTTGTTTATTCCTTGTTATAAAAACATTGGCCTGAAAAGAAAATGTAAGACAGTTCTGTTAGGGTGCGAACCTGCTGTGTACTCCAATTGCCGGCTGTCTGAATAAAGCGCCCATAAAGATTTAATCCGTGTCTTGGCTCATTGGGTTTGGCACATGGCAGGCAACGTGAGCTCCCGTGTCTTTTCCAGGTTCGGATTGACTGCCAGCTTGTGAACCGAGAGGTCGCCAGTTTGATTCCCAGTCAGAGCACGTTCCTGGGTTGCCCGCCAGGTCCCTAGCTGGGGGCGTGCCAGGGGCAACAGATCCATGTATCTCTAGCACATCAGTGTTTCCTCCCTCTCTTCCTCCCTCCACCCCCCTAAAAATAAATAATGTAATACCCACTACAAGTCATTTTAATAAGAAAATTTTAAATCCATCAGCTAGGATGTTTTGGCCACCGATTTTCCAGAAAATTTCCTGTGGAAATCTATACATAACAGCTGTGCAAAGGTTACATAAGTGAGGTCACGCTTTTTGTTTTCCTTTAGGATTCATAGAGACCCCAGTGATGACTCTGGTGACTGCATCTCATTGCAGGGAAGTAGGGAACTGCCCATTTCTACTTAACCTTCACATTTTAAAAGAAAAAAACTTTCTTGGTATATTCAGGCCACCATAACCAAAATATTACAGACTAGGTGGTTCAAACAGAGGACGTTTATTTCAGTGTTTTCCGCCGTATAACCATAGAGGTGCAACAGGGTTTAGAGCATGAAGGAGTATTCTGAAACAACCAGCATCCTGTGTGCTGTGCCCACACGGGAAACGAAGAGGGTGGGATGGAGGAGGAAAATTATAGCAGAGGCCTTTCCAGCCAGGACTTCAGAGTCCGTGGTCTCAGTAACTCAGTGTTACCTTTGCCACAGTAAATAACCACTCTGGGTCTCTCAGTTTCAGTCTCTACGATGACGCTACTCAGGAGGCATGCCTCCAAGGTGATCCCTGAAAGCCTCGGACAGAAACTACCCAGGAAATGGAGACAGGCTTGCTGTCTTAGGTCAGGCACAGGACCGCCGTCCAGTTCCGCCTTAGTTTTCACGGACTCAAGACTTGGAAAATTTTAGCTTAAGGTAAAAAGTTATAAGTCTAACAAGTAATGTGTATGTTAAGGCTTTTGTTTCAGAAACTACAGATAAGGCCCACCCTAGCTGCTGGGAAAACAGCCAGCCCCCTGGGGCACTGATAGGTTACCACCTGGGGACATTCTGACCTTTTGTGTTCCAGGGAGAGCAGACCACCACCCTCCCCTGGAACTAGCAAGTGTCCAGAACAGGAATGCTGCAGGTTCACTCACCTACTCCTCCCTAAATTTCAAAGCCCTCGCCACTCCTTGTCTGCCCACTCACCTCCACCTTATAAAAGGTCTGCCCTGGAAAGAGAAGGGAAGATGGTTTGTTAGGGTATGAACCCACCATCTTCTCAGATCGCCGGCCATCTGAATAAATCGCCCATAAAGATTCAATCGCTGTCATTGCTTATTGGGTTTGGTAGTGACAGGCAGCCCGAACGCCGGTGTCTTTTCCAGTTACATAAGGAGAGTTGAGCGACCGAAAGGAATGTTGTTCCTGTCTCCCAACTTTCTGACCTCTACGAAGCTAAAGGAATGCCTGGCGTAGAAGCCCCTCTTAAGTGTGGTCTATTTAGAAATTCTCCTAAATGCATTTCTTTCAGGAGTCACACTCCCGGAAAAGGACCAGTAACCAAATATCAGGCCAATGAGGGCAATCATTAATGCTGGATTGCATATGAGAACAGAAATTAGAAAAACCCAAATCAATTCGATTATGAATATGAAAGTAAAGGTTCCTCAGACCCAATTAGATAGGAACAAGAAAAAAACAACCCCAACCTCCTTGCCGCATATGTAAATTAGGAAGGCAGGCACTAAGTTCCTATTGGTCATTAAAAAATTGCCTGAGCCTACCTCAAGTTAGTATAAATACTTGCCTGGCTTCCCACTTGCTTCTATCCAATCTACTTTTCTCCGCAAGGTATTTGCTTCTCTTTTAAGAAGTCATGTCTGGACGGGGCAAACAGGGCGGCAAGGCGCGCGCCAAGGCCAAGACGCGCTCGTCGCGGGCGGGTCTGCAGTTCCCCGTGGGCCGCGTGCACCGCCTGCTCCGCAAGGGCAACTACGCCGAGCGGGTCGGCGCCGGCGCGCCCGTGTACCTGGCGGCCGTGCTGGAGTACCTGACGGCCGAGATCCTGGAGCTGGCGGGCAACGCGGCGCGCGACAACAAGAAGACGCGCATCATCCCGCGCCACCTGCAGCTGGCCATCCGCAACGACGAGGAGCTCAACAAGCTGCTGGGCAAGGTGACCATCGCGCAGGGCGGCGTGCTGCCCAACATCCAGGCCGTGCTGCTGCCCAAGAAGACCGAGAGCCACCACAAGGCCAAGGGCAAGTAAAAGCCTGCAGCAGCTCCAGCCAGTTGAAACCAAAGGCTCTTTTCAGAGCCACCCACGTTCTCGCTAAAAGGGCTTGTGTCTTCGTGTCTGCTTTGCAGGCGCCTGTCCAAGTGACCCGCGCCGCAACTCCCGAGCCTGCCAGTAGGGGTCAGCGTGCGCACACTGGTAGGGACGCGAGCTCGGCGTCGCTGAGAGCAGACCCCGCCCCAGGGAAGAGAACGCTCACGGGGACCCTCGGCGCGGGGTAGCTGAGCGGGCCGCAGCGTGAGGGACACCTGACTGAAACGCACTCCTGACCAGGCATTGTCCTACCTACACGCAGGTCAGGGTGGGACTGGCAGGGCACCAGGACCACCCTCCCTCCCGCTGTCTCGCGTTGTCACTGGGCCAATCCCCTCCAGCGCGCGCCTTTTCAAAATAACCAGAGGGAGGTCCCTCTCGGGGTCCCAAGTCTGCAATGTTTACTGAGCAAGCCACGTGTATCATGGTAATGCTGACACGCAGTTCTGCGGGCAAACGCCAAAGAGCGTTGGGAAGAAAGGGCATAAAGACGGTAGCGGCGCGAAAAGGTGGAGAGGAGCCGCTGTTAAGGCGGGGGCGGGGCGGGGCGGGGCGGGGCGGGGCGGGGCGGGAGAAGCTGGTTTCCGGTGTCAACGCCCCGTGGGTTTCGCGTAAGAGAAAATGGCGGCCGCTTCCAGTAACTTCACTGCGAACCTTGATGGGCAGCTGCCTGGTCCAATCAGAGCTGGACTGGCCTTATATATAGCGGGCGGAGGTTTTTCGCTCGTGCTGTTCCTGCAGCTGAGTGCTAGCGAGTGTTAGTTATGGCCCGAACCAAGCAGACGGCGCGCAAGTCCACAGGCGGGAAGGCCCCGCGCAAGCAGCTGGCCACCAAGGCCGCCCGCAAGAGCGCGCCGGCCACCGGCGGCGTCAAGAAGCCGCACCGCTACCGGCCCGGCACCGTGGCCCTGCGCGAGATCCGCCGCTACCAGAAGTCCACCGAGCTGCTGATCCGCAAGCTGCCCTTCCAGCGCCTGGTGCGCGAGATCGCGCAGGACTTCAAGACCGACCTGCGCTTCCAGAGCTCGGCCGTCATGGCGCTGCAGGAGGCGTGCGAGGCCTACCTGGTGGGCCTGTTCGAGGACACCAACCTGTGCGCCATCCACGCCAAGCGCGTCACCATCATGCCCAAGGACATCCAGCTCGCGCGCCGCATCCGCGGGGAGCGTGCCTGAGCTTTCTCTATATTGTTAACCTTGAAACCAAAGGCTCTTTTCAGAGCCACCTACACTTTCAGTTTGAAGAGCTGTTAGCAAAAGTTGCCATCTGCCTGGAAAAGTGGGTGGGGAATGCAGTTAATAAGTGAAACGGCTCCATTGCAGTGGTGCCGTGGTATCAACCCCCCAAGGCAATTTGAAGATCTAAAGTCTAAGTGTGGTATGTCTTCTAAAAGAACGTGGCATAGCAGGTTTGCAAGTAGCTTCGGCACCTGCGTGCAATTTTCCTGATGACTTTCCACCTACCTACGCGCTCCCTTTTTCTTTCAGGTACCATGTTCCTCGTTCTACAGCCAGACCTTATTCTGTCAAGTAATCTCCAGTAGAATGAGCAGCTACACAAAAGTCTCACGTGATAACTATCTTAAGGATACAGAGCTTGTTTTAGCAATCTTGTCATGCAGAATGTCTGCACTCTGGAAACATGACATTTGCATCATAGCAGAACACCGGTCTTGTATTCGTGAAACTGAATAATCCTTAATGAAATCCTCAGTCAGCAGTTTCCCACTTTCCTCCAAATGCAAGTTCTGTAGCACCCTCAGAATACATGAATTTTGTATGTAATATCTTTGCACACAAAAATGGGGTCGCCTAACATCATGCAATTGGTGACCACGAGTCTCTTTAGTGAAGAGCTGTGCACTTTAGTAAAATCAATGCCCAGACAGGAAACAGCAGCTGCTGGTCCCAGCAGTTTATTCAACAAAAATTGTTGACTTGCTGGAATAAATTTTCAGCTACAGGACCCACCCAGAATTCAGATTCAAAAAGACCTAACAGGTAAGAAAGGATACATAAGGCGAGTCCACGTTGGTCCCACAGTGCACAAGAACAGGGCATGAGCCTCTGGTGATATACATTCTTTTCCTCTGCAATCCATTATTTTAAATGCACACGGTCAATTTATTCAAAACACACTGTGCTTGCTGGTGTTATATTGGAAAGCTATGAAATCCTTCCATGTCTTTTAGTACTCTTATATATACTTGTTTTTAAAGCAAAAGTCCGGGTGAAAGGAATTTCCTGTGAAAGCCAGACATTTACCTTACAATAAAAATTATTACCTAGTATTTATTCTTTTACTGGATAAGGCCACTCAACTCAGTTTAAAAACAAACCCAGTAACAGCTTGAGAGCAGCAGCTCACTGCTTCCAACCTCAGAGCTTGGTTGGGTTGCTTAGCAACTTTTTTTCTCCCATTTGTTTCTTGGGGTTTGGGTTTGTTGCAATTTCAGTATGGAAATGACCCAAGAATATCCACGGGGTGAATAAATCTTACACACACACACGCACACACACACACAAACGAGGTGATGTCTTCTGTGTACACCTGTGTCCTCTTGTTTTGAATTTCTCATTTTCTAAATACCAGAAGAATCTCCCTACCCCCTGTTTACTGAGGCTTTACACGCAGGGGCGGTGACTAAGGGCCGTTCTCCGCCTCTTCCGGTCTTTTTCAAACCAGGTCCGCCCAGTTATTACTTAAGAGGCTGCAGCAACCACTGCTGAGGACTAACGTCTCAGTGTGCAATTGTACACCATGTCTGGGCGAGGCAAAGGCGGCAAAGGCCTAGGGAAGGGCGGCGCCAAGCGCCACCGCAAGGTGCTGCGCGACAACATCCAGGGCATCACCAAGCCCGCCATCCGGCGCCTGGCCCGCCGCGGCGGCGTCAAGCGCATCTCCGGCCTCATCTACGAGGAGACCCGCGGGGTGCTCAAGGTCTTCCTGGAGAACGTGATCCGGGACGCCGTCACCTACACGGAGCACGCCAAGCGCAAGACGGTCACGGCCATGGACGTGGTCTACGCGCTCAAGCGCCAGGGCCGCACCCTCTACGGCTTCGGCGGCTGAGTCTCACTTCCACTAATCATCTACAGCAAAAGCCAAGGCCCTTTTCAGGGCCACCCACTTCCTCTCGGGAAGAGCTGTTAACAAGTTAGCCAAGACTTTCGTGTTTGCAGGTCAATCCTGTAGTTAAATACGAACAATAGATTAAGGGAAGGAAAGGCAGTATTAACTCTGATGCCTGTACGGCCATGCCAGTCCCTCAAGTCAAACGTGGGTTTTTCCCATTCTGACCCGATTGACTGCATTCAGATAGGGGAGAAATACTTCCATTCAAGAAGAGGGAGAAAAAAAGTATTACAAGGAACTTTCTTTAAAATATAGATTGTTACAGTTGTCTGCTTTATCAGGCTGAGGAGATCCACATTGTGTGTTTCCATGGACCGTGATACAAAGGGAAAACAGGTTTAGGACTCACAGCAGGCATTGAGAGCCCGTGGCCTCGGGAGGAATCGCCTTCCCACAGAGCAAGTCTCTTGGGTCTCTGCAAGTTAGAGACCCAATTCTTAACACTGAACCCTTATTCTAGGCCAGCGATTTTCAACCTTTTCCATCTCATGACGCACATAAATTACCAATATTTTTCGGAATAGCAAAAATATATATATTTTTGCCAGTCTGACCAAAAGGAAAAGGTATAATTTTGATACATTTACACTGGATAGCTATTGTGTTGGCTTTTTTAAAAAAAATCTAAGGGAAAAAAGGTCAGTGCCCATGACTACTCATGTATCATGTATATTTTTTTTTCCCATGGCCATGGGCTTTATTGGGGGACTGTTGGGGGTTAGGGTGAGCTAGGACAGGTGGGTACATGACGGGAGGGGCTTCTCAACCTGCTTTTCAACGTAGTGCATGTTGCTTGGAGGTCAGGATGTGCGAACAGGTGCAGCAGTGAGGGAAGGAGAGGTCACGGAACAGACGCTTTCCGAGGGAAGGAGGCCGGGACCCGGCTGCGCGGAGGGCGCCTTTCACAGACTGAGAGGATGTGGAAATGGTGGAGCCTTCGCCTCCAGGCCTTGCCTAGGGGAGTCGCTCACGCAGCCTGCCCTTCAGTCCTAGCCAGAGTCAGGGGATCAACGAAGCCAGGGTGCAGCCAGGAGAATCATCGCGCCCTTCACCCGGCTGCTGGCACTCTACCACTCCCTGGCTCCTCACACGAGGTTGCAGCTCTTGGCTCGATCCTTAGGTGTCTCGCCTTCCTCCCCATTCCTCGGATCTGGCCATCCTGACAGTTGATCAGACCCCTGCGATCCCCTGCCTATGGCCACTGTCAAGGGAGGCCACTGTGGCCACGTGGAAGGCATCCTTGACACTGCCCTCCGAGGACCGGGAGGAACACTCCACGTGGGCCGAGTCCCATCTCCCTGGCGAGCACAGTGCCCTGCTCGTGTGTAACAGGCATAAGCCGCTGTGCAGACAGCTCTCTCAGTGTGGTCAGGTCTGTCCGCATGCTCCGGTTGCAGCCAACCGGTACAACCTTGGCCTTGGGGCAAAACTTCTGAGTCTCCCCTTGCCATTCTATGAGGACACTATCCAGTGTTTCTGGTCCGCTCCTGGTGAAGCAGATAAGCACGGCGTCTGAATCAGGCTAGTCCAGGGGCCGGAGCTGTCACTCTAAGAACCTGAACTGTCCCACACGTTGAGCTCAGTGCTGCGCTTACCTACCGCAAAAGCTCGCGGTATAGTTCTCTGGTCCCTGGCGAACACCTGCAGCAGCACCGTCTTGCCACACGCCCCACAACCACCATCTTGCAGCAGCAGCGCTGTCCCTCCAAGGTCCCGTCTAGGCTTTAGCCCCGCGCACAGCTGCCTTCCTCGGCCTCGCTGCCGCCGCTGCTGCAGACGCTGAGGCTGCTAACACCGGCATCTCGCGAGCATGCGCAGAGCACGCATCCGGGCCGCGGGATCCCCTAGCCCCTTAAAAATTCTTGTGACACAGGTTGAAAATGGCTGGCTCAAGTCCATGTCACCTAGAAACCTGCTTAGTCTCAGGTTTAAGGAGGGGCCTGGCCTGAGAATGGACATAAGCAAGGCCCAGATTAGTTACATTTAAACCCAAGCTAGTCCGGTTAGGGGAGGGGAAGCGATGACACTCAGCCCGAAGCCTGCGGGAAGGGGGTCAGGTGAACCCAAAGTGTGTCGTTCCTTTGTGACGTCTCCCAAGAGAATTAACACTCACAGTTTTACCGGAAATGTAGAATTTTGATCGATCTGGCTTCCTTGGAGCGGCTAGCTGCACCCTCGCACTCGTAATTCCCATATTTACTGAACCCACTGTATGAAGTAGGTCCGCGGCACTTTCAGGGTTCCGCGTCACAGGAACCTGCTCCCCTTCGACCACGGACTGTGGTTGATCTTTTCATAGCGGACAAACAGCGGAACAGTCCCTAAAGGGAAGAGGGGGAATAGGTACTCCCGAGTGTCGTCTCCCAGTTAAGGGTCCGGAACTGGTGAGGACCCCTCCCAGTTTGTTTCCTGCAGTCACCCCCAGAATCACCCTCCCCAGGGCCCGAGGGCCCTACGCTCATGCGCCCCTGCGCACAGACTGGCCGAGGCCTGCCGTGCAGGAGCCACCATCTGGCCTACACCTACTGCTAAAGATTAAGATCCCGCTGACACCAAATAAAAGATAACCTTTACAAAATCACCAGAACAAGAAAGGCGCACACAGCTCTTCCCAGGAGAGTGTGGGCGGCCCTGAAAAGGGCCTTTGGTGGAGATAAGCTTACGGTGGTAATATTGACTTCAGTGACTCAGCCGCCGAAGCCGTAGAGGGTGCGGCCCTGGCGCTTGAGCGCGTAGACCACGTCCATGGCCGTGACCGTCTTGCGCTTGGCGTGCTCCGTGTAGGTGACGGCGTCCCGGATCACGTTCTCCAGGAAGACCTTGAGCACCCCGCGGGTCTCCTCGTAGATGAGGCCGGAGATGCGCTTGACGCCGCCGCGGCGAGCCAGGCGCCGGATGGCGGGCTTGGTGATGCCCTGGATGTTGTCGCGCAGCACCTTGCGGTGGCGCTTGGCGCCGCCTTTGCCGAGCCCCTTCCCGCCTTTGCCGCGTCCAGACATTGCTTTGTAACTGGAGAACCAAAAGCAACTGACGAAGAACAACAGAGCCGGCTCTTATATAACGACCTCCCCCCGCCCTTAACCACCCCCTCTCTCAGCAGCTGTAGAGATTGGAAAGCGTTCAGGCGGGAGATGTGACGTCAACAGTAACCTCCCTTAATCCCGCCTCCAAGCCCGGGAACTCGGGAGTTGGGGCGGGGCAGAGCCCGGGGGCGGGGGGGGAGGCGGTGGTATCAGAGCCCAGCTTTAAGGAGCATTGATAGGCTTTTCTTCCTTTAAGTAGGTTGGGTAAACTGGATTCCAAAAAAATTTAAACAGGATAAACAAAAAGGCAAAAGGATTTCACGGCGTTTCAGTACTCGTAACACTGGCAAAAGGTAGAAGTCAAAGTCGAGGAGTTTGCAGTAAAGGACAAAATTTGGTCTTAATGTGTTTACTTAGGAGGCATTAACTCCTGTAATATCAATTCTTTCTTTCACGTTTCAAACTTTTACTTGTCCTGTATTGACTGAACAATCCTAAGTAGGTAGCATTTACACGACTCACTACACCCTCAGGTGGGATCTAGGTGTATTTTACTGCTTAGTACATGCCTAGTTATGTTGAACTTGTGGATTAACGCCGTCTTTACAGCTCTTTATTAGAAAACGTGGGTGGCTCTTAAAAGAGCCTTTGGGAGAGATAGAGGTCCTTGAAACTCAGGCCCTCTCCCCACGGATGCGGCGCGCAAGCTGGATGTCCTTGGGCATGATGGTGACGCGCTTGGCGTGGATGGCGCACAGGTTGGTGTCCTCGAACAGGCCCACCAGGTAGGCCTCGCACGCCTCCTGCAGCGCCATGACGGCCGAGCTCTGGAAGCGCAGGTCGGTCTTGAAGTCCTGCGCGATCTCGCGCACCAGGCGCTGGAAGGGCAGCTTGCGGATCAGCAGCTCGGTGGACTTCTGGTAGCGGCGGATCTCGCGCAGGGCCACGGTGCCGGGCCGGTAGCGGTGCGGCTTCTTGACGCCGCCGGTGGCCGGCGCGCTCTTGCGGGCGGCCTTGGTGGCCAGCTGCTTGCGCGGGGCCTTACCGCCGGTGGACTTACGCGCCGTCTGCTTAGTCCGCGCCATTGCAGAAATTAGAAAGCACAAGCAAAAGAGCAAAACAAATGTGTCGCTAAGCGGGTTTGCTGGTATTTATAGGACGTAGGGCTTAGTGATTGGTTGAGAAAAATTTTTAGCTATTACGTTTCACATTCTGATTGGTGTATATTTAAGGTTCTTAACAACCGTGCAGTTTCATTGACTACCACCGTCTTTCCTCGGCTCTTCAAATTTTTAACTTTTATTCTCTTCCTCACCCCATCTGATTTTTATATCTGAAGCAATGTTTTGAACCTTATATTTTAATACAAGTGAAAACATTAGCCTCAATGGAACTATAGCTTTTCAATTCCGTATATTTTAATTCCTAAGGGTGGTTTATGGACGGAATATGCCCCCCCCAGCCATGGATTACAGTCTCCACACTACCTGTTGCAGAACCCAAGATCTCCTGACCAATTTCTATACCCTTTAAAATAACTAGATCCCTTTCCCTAGGGCGTGTTCAACCGGCGGCACACAGACCGCATCCCGCCCGAGATGGCTCTGGAAGAGGCCCAACACAAAATCATAAATTTACTTAAAACACAGACTTTTCTTGTGATTACATGTCGCAATGTATTTAACGTGTGGCCCAAAGACGCCAAAAGGTTGGATACCCCTGGTTGATTGAGGGACTTCTTTGAAAACTACCGCACATAATCTCAAGTAAATCACAGTAGCTTTCACAGAACTGGCCCCTGTAATGAGGCACATTTTTGTTAAATGCTTTTGGTCTGCATCCTACACTTGGAGTTTTCTGAAACTCACGTTTCCTAAATCCCAGAGCACATTTTGCCAGGTGCAGAAATGTGATGCTATCCTTCCCCAAGGCTAAATACAGAGCTACTGGCCCCAAAATTGGATGCCAGACCCTGGGGAGGACTACTTCGCATTTCCAAGAAACCATAGTTCTTTTTAAGTTTCCTAGCCTGAAGGATAGGAATGTGGCTCTTTTATACTAGGATGAAGTGGATCAGATTTTGCAGTTTGATTGGTTGAGTGCATTATGCAGAGTAGCCATTAAGAAAGCAGATGTAGCATCCCTCGTTTCTAGATTTGTAGTTTACAAGACGCAGATACTGTGATTTTTACAAGTCCCAATCTAGTGTTTTTGTTTAAAAGCCGCATTTGTTTAGATGACTTGCTGATTATCTCAAAGTCTTGTCTCCATCTTTCAAACAATATTCACATAGGAAACCATCCAGTCTTGGAGGAAGACTTAAACCTGTTACAGTTTTCCATCCTTCAACCTAAGACCCGTGGTTCCAGTTTTCCTCTTCCAAATTCTGATTCAGTAATTCTGTGATGCATTTTAAAAACATAAAATCTCCGGAAAATGAAAGGTAAGAAAGCGGTAGAGAAGATGGAGGCGAAGGGTTTGGGATCGTGACATTAGTGTCCTCCCTGTGGTAACATACGTTGGTGTTGCCAGAGAAACCAGCGCAATCATCTAGCCGGCCAGCGGACTTGTTTGAGAACCACGGCCGAGCGCGGGAAGAAGACGTCACTGCCCTGTTCTGTCGCCGCTGGGGGGCGGCTTACTTGTTATCATTGTTAATGAAATTAAGCACTTTGACAGCCACAAACAATGGAAGGAAATCTGCCCTAAATATCATCCCAGGGTGTGCGCCCTCCCTCTCAAAACCCCCGCACCGTGCCCTTAGGGGAACCGTGTCATCACCCGGGCGGTGCTAATGCCTCCGATGCTCGGTTTTCGGCTCCGTCAATCTTTCGAATGCACATGCTGACAAGGAACATTGATTTACAAGGAACAGACGTTAGCGTCTGTCTGGTGTATGTTGTGAGGATTAAGAGATGTAGGACATTCATGAAGTGCATTGGGCTGCAGAAATAAGCCGGAATTGCAGAAACTTTGCACCTTAGGTTGTGTACACGTCCAGCTTGAGTGTTCATTGCTCTGGTGTTGTCTACGGTTCTTCTTTGTCCAGATACACACAGGTCGTGGCTCTGTGCGGCGCTGCGCGGAAAGGCAGTGGCGTTTCTGAGAAGTGGGTCTACACCCCGGTCTTTCTTCTCACTCCCTAGCCATTCAGAACGGTCCCTTGCCTTTTTCTGCAGATTAGAGAGAAATGTCCCTAACAACGCTTCCTCTGGGTGAAGTTTCAGGTGAAACTCCTTGGGCTCAGGTGACTGCCTCATTTACAAACGGACCCCCAACCCATGAACAGAGCCTATGGGAAAAAAGAAAAAAAAGAGGGCACCGCGAAACGGCCGCCAAGAAGAAGCACGCGGGGCCCTCCGTTTCCGAAAAGAGAAAGCAGCGCACCGCGATGTTGATGGACTGGCAGAGTCCGGCCTTCCCCCGTCTTGTGTTTTTGTCTCTCGGGGGCGACAGGGTATTGTCCTGGAGCCTGGGCGCGCGATAGTAATGGGGAACCCGAGGCCAGGGGGCGCGGGCTTTCCCAGCCGCGGAGGAGCAGGGCGTGCCAGCGGCGACAGGGGGCGCGGCTGCGGCGCGCACCAATCACAGCGCGGCCCTGCCTTATAAATACCAGGCGACCGGCGCTGCGGCGTTTTCCTGCCCGTCAGGTTCCCGCAGTTGGCACACTCCTATTTTGCTTTCACCATGTCCGAGACCGCGCCACCCGCTCCTGCTCCGCCCGCCTCCACCGCCCCGGAGAAACCTGCGGCTGGCAAGAAGGCGAAGAAGCCGACGAAGGCCGCGGCGGCTGCCAAGAAAAAGCCCGCGGGGCCCTCCGTTTCTGAGCTGCTGGTTCAGGCTGTCTCCTCTTCCAAGGAGCGCAGCGGCGTGTCGCTGGCCGCGCTCAAGAAGGCGCTGGCAGCCGCGGGCTACGACGTGGACAAGAACAACAGCCGCATCAAGCTGGGCCTGAAGAGCCTGGTGAGCAAGGGCACCCTGGTGCAGACCAAGGGCACCGGCGCTTCTGGCTCCTTCAAGCTCAACAAGAAGGCGGCTTCCGGCGAGGCCAAGCCCAGCGCTGGCAAGGGGGCGGCGAAACCCAAGGCGACAGGCGCTTCTAAGAAGCCCAAAAAGGCTACTGGCGCTGCTGTTAAGAAAGTTGTCAAAACTCCAAAGAAGATCAAAAAGCCACCAGTGACCAAGAAGGCCTCCAAGAGCCCCAAGAAGCCTAAGGCTGTGAAGCCCAAGAAAGTAGCCAAAAGCCCTGCCAAGGCCAAGGCTGTGAAGCCCAAGGCGCCCAAGGCTAAGGTGACCAAGCCGAAGACCGGTACCAAGCCCAAGAAGGTAGCACCCAAGAAAAAGTAGGAGTTCCCGTTGGAACCTTGTTCCCAGAACCCAACGGCTCTTTTAAGAGCCACCAACATGTCTCTGCAAAAAGAGCTGTGAAGTACACAGGCATCTGGCTCACTGCCGTTCCTCAGCCCCCTCGCAAATGCCCAGTCTTCTCTGCATCAGAAACACCGACAATCAAAATTCTCACTAGGAATCCCAAATTTGGTTTTGCAGCTCTCAGGTGACTTGAAGTCCCACACTCCAAGCTAGTTATTGGTGCGAACTGCCTGCAGCCCAGGCAGGGAGTGCCCCCCTTGTCTGCAGGATTCCCTCAATCAGTCTTACAAAACAGGAATGCTTTGGGGGAAACCAGTGGAACCTATGGCTTAACATCCGCCTCCAGATGAGCTGCCCCTTGCAGTAGCGGTGAGGCACTGGTGTGGATGGCGCACAGGCTGCTGTCTGGCGGTGGGCCTGCTGCAGCGCCCCGGTGCTGTGCACTGACCATGCCTGGTGCGCCTGTTGGCACGGAGCCTGACCTTGCATGGATCTGCCGGCTGCCCTCTAGTTTCCAGCCAGAGTGAGGACAAAAGTTCCTGGCTGCAATGGAGCTTTAGGGCCAAATATCAAACCCTTACCCGGTTTTTCTGTTTATAGAAAAAGAACGTCCCTGATTGGATACTTGAAATTCCCACTCTCTGCCTCACTAGATCGTATGCCGTCCCGTGCACCGTTTTCTAGCCTGGTGGCGTGGGCTGCACCACATTAAATAGTTGGGTCACTTTCACAGAATTGTCCCTTTAAACTATAGAAATTTTAATTCTGGGACTCAGAATGTAAAAACGTCTTCACACCCAAGGAAAAATACTATATGATAAGCCAGGTTTACTCACTTTTACTTAACAGCTCAAGCAGTTGTATGACTGTTTTCACATACGTGCATACAAATCGTGTGATAGTCAATAACTATTTTTCAGGTCTTTATTTTTTTCCCATTGGTTTACATGGCTCTCCGCAAACCCTAACTTCTGCCACATGCATTTCCCATCCCCAGTCCTCCCTTATCCACGCTGTATATTCATGCTCTCCTCTGAATTCACTCTTTTACAGACACCGGCTCATACGCATGTGCAATTGTTCTGTTTTTCATTTGGGGTTATTTACAAAACTGTGATATTACTATACACTTTCCTATATTTTGCTTTTTTTCTTCACAGAACCCTGAGAAAATCTTTTCGGTCAAATCATCTTTTAGACAATGTCCTTCACATGGAGAAGCACAGTGTACTGACCCGTGGGTGAGCAAAGTGCACTGACGTTTCCATTTCCCGCTGCTGACCGTGGCACACCAGCCAAGACGCTTTGACATCTCGGTTGGTTGGTGCTTGCAGACCCTGGAAAGAGCTCCCCCTCCCTCCAGCCATCAAGGTGTGGTCTCATTCATTTCTGCCAGGGTAAAGGGTGTAAAATCATTTCACATGATCACTTCCTTTCTTAAGGTTTACTGGCCATTTGAATGAGCACTTCTGGGAATTCCCACTGAGATCTCTGGCTCATTTATTCATTGAGCAGTCTGTCTTCCGCTTGTCTCATTGCAGATTTTTATATAGAAAAATTAACCTTATATTTATCCCCTGTGTTATAGATACTTTTCTAATTTGGGCGGGTTTTTCCATATTTTCTTGGTCTAGGATGTCTTTTCCACATATATTATATCTGCTTTATTAGATATATACAATTTTGAATATTAAATATTTTAATTACAAACAATGGTTACAAGATACTTCGTTTCTGCATTTTGCTTTAATGTCACTGATGCACAATTATGGAATGTTCATGGGATCTCCAGTCCTCAGCCTGGTAGGATCACCCACCCAAAGTTAGGAGGGCCAGGACAAGATGGTGTCAAGAACTACATTAATCAGACTTAGGAAACCCCGCAGGGGCTGGCACAAGTATTACCAATCAGCTTCACCCACGACCCCTAACCTCTAACCCTCCATCTTTGCCCTTAAAGAGCCCTTGATTAGCCCAGATCTGACTGGCGTGGCTCAGTGGATTGAGCGCCAGCCTGCAAAGCAAAGGGTCACCGGTTTGATTCCTAGTCAGGGCACCTGCTTGGGTTGCCGACTAGGTCCCTTACGCGTGAGAGGCAACCACACGTGGATGTTTCTTTCTCCCTCTGTCCCTCCCTTCCCCTCTCTCTAAAAATAAAAAATCAAATCGTCATGGAGCTTGGATTTTAAGGGTAGCTCCCCATTTTCCTGTGTGGGAAGTCATCCAGGCATGCAAACTTGACGCTCAAATGAATGGCAGTGCCTTTGCATATGCGACTCCAATCAGGGCCTCGGCCACCTCCTAAAACAGAATTGCCTTGAATGTTCAGATAGAAGGAAGACGTGGAGGGGTTCGAAGTCCTGCAGCTGTGACCCCCAGGGCCCCCTCACAGAGGTCGCTCCCTGCCTCGGAGCGGGGCCGGGAGCGTGGAGGTCTCAGCGGTATCTCGGGGTTCTTCCCTGCACTCCTCACGGCCTGAGAACCAGGGAAGCCGGCCGTTTCTTCCTCAAGGAGCCAGCCCAGTTCCTTCCTCGTTAAACGACTGCTCGTCGCATCGCCTTGTGCTCCACACCCCGAGCCCAGAGCGTGCCTGGAGCTGAGCGCAGGTCGGCCTCCAGGCTGTGGAGTCCGGCCTTTCTTCCCCACCTGCCGCGAAACTCGCCCTTAGACACAAGGCTCCCGGCTTGCAGGAGCGCATGTTCTCAAGTACAGGCCAGACCCCAGACAGATGCAGGACGTCGGGTTCCCTCCCATCCCATGAACCCACCCACCTGTGCCCACGCCCGGAGAGCCTGCGCCACCGTAGACACAGAGAAGGTTTTCGAAAGGTCAAAGTCAGAGTGAGACCTGTGGCTACAGGGAGCCTTCCTGGAGATGGTCGCTGACAAATACCTCTAGACTACACGTTACACAGGGTGACACCACCGTGCCAGGGTGCGGGGCTTCAAGAGGGGCAAGTACGGAAACCCAAGGGGAAGTAAGTACTCACCTAGCGCGAGAGGGAATTCTGGAATGCGGATTTTCCCGGGTGGCGGAGGTGAGCCCAGCAGAGGGCGCCCGCGGGCCGCTGGCGCGGACCGCAGCCTGGGAGCCGGCACAGCTGCAAGCCTCTAATAATCTTCCTCTCCATCCACTCAAAAAAGGGTTGATTCAGAGCAAAGTGTTCACTTTTCTCCACTAAATTCTAATTTTTATAAACCTGTGAGTACATTTCCCATAGTTTGTCATAGTACATTTTCAATTTTGTATTTTATGTTTTCCACTTAACCATATGTGCTAGATTATTGTTTCTAATAATCATTTATTATGCTTCATAATTCTTTAAACTGGTGCATACAACTAAATTTACGAAGCCATTCATTTGTTTTGTTTGAAGAAATTCCAGAATATTTTGGCTGCCCTAACTTTACAATGAAAATTCTTGAAATTAGGTGTTGGCTCCTTTAGAATTGGTTTCTTAAATTATGTCTCAAGATTATGGGTATTTATAACGTTTACCTTGTATTACTGTAGTGGCTTTACCAGAATTTCCTAATTGATAATGCCACCAACTATCTATGGTTTAAATTAGTCCATTTCTTTAATTTTGAGTAGAAATAAAATGCTTCCCTCAATCTTTTTTGATTTTCATTTATTCTATAAAAGTATAAAAAACAAAATAGCTGAGACAAACACCCTTTTTTCTAAAGCCTATTTCTACTTCAATAGAATATTTGGGTTGTCCAAAAAGTTTGGGTTTTTTCCATAAGATGGCTCTAGTAGCACTTAGTTGTCTTTACTTCATTTGAAACAATTTTGTTAAATTGTATTGTGACAGCTGTCACATCAACATTCATTTTTTTAAAACATTAAAATTAGTGAATTTTTGAGTAGCCATTTTAATACTGACGATGGAAGAAAATACGCAACACTTTTGACATACTATGCTTTATCATTTCAAGAAGGGTTACAAACACAACTGAAACACAAGAAAAAGATTTGTGCAGTGTTTGGAGAAGGTGCTGAGACTGATCAAATGTGTCGAAAGTGGTTTGCAAAGTTTTGTGCTACAGATTTCTCGCTGGACGATGCTCCCCAGTCGGGTAGACCAGCTGACGCTGATAGTGATCAAATCAAGACACTAACTGAGAATGGTCAACATCCTGCCACGTGGGAGAAGCCGACACACTCAAAACACCGAAATCAATAAATAAAGTTATTGGTGAAAATGAACAACGTGTCTTTTATTTTACAGAAAAATCCATACGGACTTTTTGGCCAACCCAACAGCATTGAACCAGCAGATTTCTGTGTTGGCTAGATTTGTTAGGCTAAATATTAAAAAGTCCCTAAGCAAATGGCTTTTTCCTTTCATACTCTACTGTTACCCAAAGAAAATATAAGGGCCTCCTATGTGTGTTTTTTGCTCTTGCTATAAATAGGAAACATTTAGATTTCGACCGACTTGAAGGTTTGCGAAATCTTGTTTGGGTGATTCGCAAGGGCCGGGCGGTCTGAAACGCTGACAGCCCACACACCGTCAGCTGCACTCGGAACGCTGGCCGTGTTCCCCTGACTTCCGACACGGAAACAAGCCTTCCCAGCTGTGAAGACGGCACCTCGTGCCCATGTTTCCTCAGCAGGACAGCGCCATAAAAAGTCAGACTCCGCGGTGGTGCAGTTGCCACCACTGGCTCCGGTTGCCTCTACAAACAGGGTGAAATCACGTAGTAAAAGGAACACTTGATGAGGTGGAAAACAGAACCCAGTAAGACGGGAGATCTTCACAAGCCAATGTGGGGAATGGGGAGAGCACTGACTGCACCCCGTGTGGGTTCCCAGAGAGAGGACCTCAAAAAGCGATGCTGGGGAGAGTTCAGGTTCCTGAAGGCGGGGCCATCCAGGCAGAGGTCCGGGCGAAGCAGATCTCTGCCCACTCCATGCAGTTTCCAAAATGACTGTGCTTGTGTGTGTGAAAAGGGGGCGACCTCAGCCCCGAAGTCCCAGAGAAGGAGGCACGAAGCTGACCAGAGAGGAACAGGAGGAGGGTGTAAAGCTGTTTGCTTGTCTGGTCTCAGGATTTCCAGGGCCCCGGGGATCGGCTGGGAATGTAGGTCCTGAAGCATCTTAACGAAGAGGTTGCTGGGGAACTTGGCCCCGTCCGCATGGGGCAACTCCCGCCTGTGCTGCGTCGTTCTCCGCCCTTCCCTTACCTGAGGTCTCATCTGTCCAGTTGGCAATTGTACAGTCACAGACTTTGGATTTGCACCTGTTAATTTCCTTAAAGACAAGGTCTTCTAACCCTTCACTCAGCAGACAAACACCACAATCAAATGCCTCATATCTGTTGCCCAGGTAGCTAACAGCAGCTGGTAAAAGCAGAACTATAAAATGTGAAATGCATAAAGGTTACATTAAGTGTAATTTAGAACACTGCTTATTGTGTTTGCCTAATAACTACACAGTACAACAATATTTACGTTTCTTTCTATATATACAACACAAACTCGTAGGTGCATCTGGTACTCTGTTCTTTGCTTATGTTTCTCAGTTCATCATACCAGGCATAGCCACCGCAGGGTTTATGCTTATGACATTAAAGAACCCGAGAAAACAGGGGACAGCTGCGGAGGGAGAACACGACGATGGCACATCAGTGGCAGGAAAAAGGAAGGGACAACACGATATTGTGAAGAATAAACTTCTTTAAAGGTGACTTGTGAACAGTGAAGTTTATGAAGAGATTCCACACAATGAAGACACATAAACACGTGACTGGGTGAGTCCCAAGGCCATAGGCAGGGACAGCGCCTAGACACACGGGAGAGCACGTTGGCATTCAAACCTGAAACACTGCGCCCAGCCAGAGCGTCTGTCCTGGGTGCGGGTCCCATACCCTCTACACGCCGCCAAATACACAAGTTCTCAGTCCCTGATAGAAGGCTTAGGAATTAAACGTCTTAAAATAGTGACTCCATCAATAGATGTTTACTATACAACCACTATGAACTGTCAACAGAAGGTCATCAGCTCGAATTCAACGCCAACGGAAGGCCCCAGTTCGCAGTGCAGTGAAGGGGAGCCTTTATTCGGTGAAAAACACTGCGAAAACGCACGGCTGTGAGACAGAACGACACAGAGCAGCTGAGAGCCCGGTGAGCGCCGGTCCCCGCTTCCGCCCCAAATGTCGGGGCCCAGCTCTGCTCCCAGGGGACACTTCCAGTTAAACCTGCGGCCTGGAAGCTGAAGCCTCCCCGGAAAACCCAGAGGGCACTCTCGCTGAGACAGAGCTGAGGCTGGCTTCCATAAAGAAGAGAGTGCCTACCAACCGCTCCTGATTGGTCTATTTCTATGCAAATGAGGGCTGCAAATCCTCGCAGTGTGATTGGTAGGACCGGAGAGGTTTGGTTGGCCAGTAAATATGCAAATATCCCGGTTCCTGGCACAGAGCTCCTGAGACCCTGGTAGTACCCGGAGTGATAAAAGCGCGGGGAGCATGTTTTACTGCAGTGTCTGGTCTTTGCCCAAAACTCCTGACGCGGAGCCCCTACATCCCTTGCGATTCTCCGGGTGACAGGAGTGTCTTTCTTTCTAATGAGGCCACTCTGGGCTTTTGGATAGGGGCCAGTCACCAGAAAGACTAACATGATTAGAAGTTTGGGACGCTCAGCCCCACCCCCAGCCCCACCCACCGGGGAGGCTGGAGGAACTGCAGATTAAGTTCATGCCTGATCATGCCCACGTGTTGAAGCCGCCATTAAAATCGCGAAAATGCAAGACGGAGAGAGCTTCTGTGTTTGCAAACAAAACCATGTGCCAGGAGGCTGGGGTGTCCCAACACCACGGCGACAGACGCTCCCTGCTGGGGACCCTTCTGGATCTCGACATGTGTATCTTTTCAGCTGATCATTCATCTGCACCCTTGATCGCATCCTTTACTGTATAGTCAACCAGGGAACAACCTATTTTTGAGACTTGTGAGCTGTTCTAGCAAATGATTGAACCCAAAGGGGGGGTCGTGGGAACCCCCAATGTACAGCCATCAGTCAGCAGCACAGGTGACCACGACCTGCGCTGGGGACCAGGGTCTGCGGTGGGCGGGGCTGAGGCCTTAACCTGGGAGATGTGCTCTGACTGCAGTGGGTGTCGGGGCGGAGCTGAGCCGTAGGACGCCCGGCGTGGAGCGGGGAAGAGAGACGTACGCCTGTGCTGCCAGAGGCGACGCGGAGTCTTGTGAGCGTGGTTGCAGTGGGAGCACAAGGGACAGACATTTTCCTGACACGTGCATTGCACACACACATGGAAAGCCTCAAAGAGTAACCCCAAGTAGTGGTTGGAACTTAAGCTGCTACAGCATCTGAACAAAAGAGCAATAGATTTAGAGCAAAAGAGCAATAGAGATGTGGCAAGACAGAGGAAAATGGCCTCCTGGGTAGCAGGTTGTGGGGGGACAAGGACAGGGACAGTCACGGAAGAGGACACGCTGCCTGTCCACTCCCCCGGTGCCGCCTCTGGGCTGATAGGCGTCTGGCATCTCTGGCGATTTAACTTTTGTGCTTCCTGGTACAGAGGACGGGAGGCCACCTTTGCAAACTCGTGTCCTGCTTTTAGGCAAACGGAGGAAGGGGAGAGCTTTCACTGTATCTGCCTTTCCTCTGTTGCCTTCTGCTCAAGATAATTCCTACGCCGAAGTGGCCCTTCATGTTCAACTTGCGCCTGGCCTCGATCAGCCCGCCGGGAGAGCTGACAGGCTGGGGACAGGGGCAGTGCGGCCTCTTCTGTGTCCTCTGGATGCAGGTGCAGGCCCAGCCAGGCCTCCGACACCCAGAAACAGCTCGTTCGCCCCGTTCCCTGAGAGAGGACGTCAGAGGGCATCCACACACATCAACACGCCTGCCATAAAGTACCGTAACGCTTAGCCATTTTGTGACGTGTTTTGGGTGACTTCACTCAGGTCTCATCATCGGTCATCTCGGGGATGATAATTTAGGGAATGGAACGTGCTTTTCGAACTAAACCTGTGCAGAGTTGAGCCCTGTTTGTTCGTGCATGAATAACAATAAAGACCACGAGCAACCACGCCAGCGATAACCATTTACTGAGATGTACAAACACTTCACCACAGCGGGCACAAGCACATCCTGGAAACACGCACTTCGTCTGCAGGAGGCGGCCCCATCACAGCCCACCCCCCTCCAGCCTCCTGCGGGCCAGACCCCCAGCACTCTCACACCGTGCTTGGGGACAGTCCGGGCAGAACACAGGAGTCTTATGGCCTCTGCACCCACCTTGTCCCCCAAGATTTTGTCCCCCAAGACCTTGTCCCCAGGGGCCATGGCTGAGATTAGTGGCCGAGTCGGCGGCTACCGGATTCACGGCTGTTTCGGTTTTCCGGCTCTTCGTGCAGCGAGCGGAGCACCTGCAGCCACTGAGTCATCCCCACGCGAGTCCAAACCGCATCAAACACACCAGGGGGCCCTGACGGACAGCCCAGCCAGCTGCGGTGTCGTCCCATGAACGGAAAGTGAAGCCCATAGACTGCAGGTTCGATCCCCCGTCAGGGCACACGCCTGAGATGCGGGTTCAGTCCGTGGTTGGGGTGTGTACAAGAAGCAACCGATTGACGTTTCTCTCTCCCATTGATGATTCTCTCCCTTTCTCCCTCCCTCCCTTCCCCTCACTCTAAAAATCAAAGAGCATGTCCTCAGATGAGAAAAGAAAAAACAAAACAGAACAGGAGCACTCGGACCTCCTGACCTCCGCGCCTCCCACAGACTGCGGAAACCAAAGCTCAGAGCCCACCGACGCGGCTGCGGAGGTCAGGCTTAGACTGGCCGGCTGTGGGGCTCTCGTCCTTGACAGCCCTTCGTGCGAGGCAGACTGGCGAGGACCCACAACAGCCCGGCCCCGCGCTGGGGGCCCGGGCACAGCAGGGGAGCACACAGCCCAGAGTGCTCACCTCCCGGCCTCACAGAGTCTCTCCGGCGGGTGCAGCCCAGGACGCCGCTCCCGTCCTCACGCGTCCAGCGGGGGCAGGAACAAGGGGGAGTAGGGGTAGACCTGGAAGTAGGGCCGCAGCGCGTCCGAGAAGGAGGCCTTGGGGAAGGTGAACATGCGGGAGCCCGAGGTCACGCTGTAGAAGGAGACGACTCCGGCCTCGCAGTCCAGGAGCACCCCCACCACCAGGGGTTGCTCCCCCAGGCGCAGGGGCGTGCGGGGCCAGGTCAGCGCCACGTAGCCATCCTTGGCGCACAGCCGGAGAGCCCAGAAGCCAGCCTGGGGCTCCTGCTTCAGGGCCGCGTCCCTCGGCACACTTTCCACGCAGACGCCGACGTCCCACCCGGTCCCTTCTCCCACGTCCACCTCAAAGTAGTGCCGCCCTGAGGTGAAGCTCTCACGGCCCAGGATGCAGGGCGCGGCGGTGAACCTCCTGGGAGACACGTCCAGATTGTCCTGGGGGCACCCCCGGGTCACCTGTCTCCGATCCTCAGACACAATCAGCTCCCGATGCCCCGTGTCTGGATCCAGAACCACGCTCACTGTCGGGGGGGAAAAGACTCGGTTTTTTTGTTGCCCAGAACAGGGTTTACTTTCAACGAAACCAGCCTGTGCGCAAGGGAGAGCCTTGTTTCAGACCAGCCGTGGGCGCTCAGACAGGCCCACCTACCAGCCTCGGTCCCGAGACACAAAGCAGAAGCGAGCACCCCGTCCCAGGGCGCGGTGGGGAGGACCAGAGTGAGCCGGTACACTCGCCTCGCGCGACGCCGCGGCTTCACGTACCTTGATGGCTCCTCAGCAGCTTCTTCACGTCGAAGTAACGCTTCGAAACGTCACACTCAGTCCGAACCTCCAGGGAGAGGGTGTCCGGGGCCTCCAGCTGCACGGCCTGACTCCTGGGGCGAGCGGAGGCCCAGATTGAGCAGAACGGGCCCTCTGCTCCGAGACCCCCGCTCCCTCCCTCTTCGCTCACCCAACACTCACCTGCTCAGCGTGGCCTTCACGTCCTGCAGAGACACAAAGGCACAGGTGGGTGCGGGAACATCCACACTCATGGGGCTGGTCTCAATCCCCGCTCCCTCCCAGAAGTGGCCGCAGCCTCCGATGTGGGGGATGCCCCCCACAACGACCCCCACCCTGACCCCCGGGTGGGGGGCGAGCACGGCAGGACGCTCCTCAAGCTCCGGGTCCATTGCCTTCCTGCTGAGGTGTGTGGGCAGCTCCCCCATGCTCCCGCGGGCAAGACCTGCCTTCACTGACCTCGCCTCCCTCCCAGCGTGAGCCCTGTGCGTGACCACTCGTCCCTCCCTAGCGGTGGGGCATGCACAGCACCGGGGACTGGGCACAGGGGTGACGGCCACAGGCGTCCCACGGGGGGTGGAACAGCCACGTGACACCGTCAGCCTCACAGTGTGACCTCCTGTCCTACTAGTGCGAACTGGGTGAGCAGCTGCAGGTGCGGGAAGAGGGCTGTGCGCGAGCTCCGGACCACTCAGGCGAAGCTCAGCACGTACCCCGGCCCCCCACCTGGTCCCCCGCCTGTCACCGGGACAAGCTTTTCAGGAGACCGTCCGACAGGGCTCCCTGCACATGGCGCAGAGGCGGATGCCAGCGGAAGGCGGCCCGTGGGTCTGTTCGGCCAAGGAGCCCACCACATCCACCCAGCCGGGGGGCAGTTTTCCGATTCACATCAAGGTGTCCTGCAGAGCAGCGGAGGCCACCTGGCAGATACTACTCTGCACCTGAGAGAAGCGTGACGGTAAAGTCCCCGCACTGACGAGCCCCCTCTGGGCGAGGCGGGCGGCCCTCACCCTCCCCGCCAGCCCCACCTGCAGCAGCTTCTGCGCCGAGCCCTGGCACCGCTCCTCCAGCTCCAGGATGTGGCTCTCCAGCTGGTGTCTCTTCTGCCCCAGCTTGGCCTCGCTCTCCCTCAGCCTCTTCAGAGTCTGCTCCTTCTCTTGGTCCAGCTTCCACAGGTACCACTTCTCCTCCTCCTCCAGGAAGCTGTGCAGGTTTCTGAAGTCGAACTGGATCTTCTGTCTCTTAACACTGATCATCTCCTAGAGTCGAGAAAAGACGCTGAAAAGGTGGAAACGACCCAACGGCCCCTCGTGGATGAATCGATCGATAAACAAGGGGTGGCCTAGAGATGGGACGGGCTGCCACTCAGCCTGGAAGAGGAACAGGTTCCGACACGGGCAAAGTCACGGACGGGCCTCGAGGGCATCATGGGAAGTTAAACAAGACAGTTACAGGCGGACACACACTGTATGATTCCACTTACGGAAGGGGCCTGGAACAGTCAAAAGTCGCAGAGACAGAAAGGACAGCAGTGGTTACCGGGGGCCGAGGGAAGGGGGCAACGGGGACAGACTCTCAGCTCTGCGAGACGAACAGTCCTGGAGACGGGTGGGGGCGATGGCTTACAACCACGTAAAAGTACGTAACGCCACTGAACTGTGCACTTAACGATGGTTAAGATGGTGAATTGTGCGTTATTTCTATTTCTAATGCACATGCACACACAAAAGGAAGTTTGCTCAACCGCCTCGACATGGTCTGCCCATGAGTCATGGAGCTGCACGAGGTGGCTGGTGGCCAGTGGCCAGCTCTTATCATGCCTGGGAAGCGTGGTCACAGACCTCAGTCCCCAGTGAATTTCCTCATTCTCCCGCCCAGATGCAGGCTGGGAGCGCTAAATAATTTAATCACACAACTGTGGCCAAAGTCAACCATCAGTTACAACAGCGATTTTCAACCTTTTTCACCTCATGGCACGCATAAGCTAATTACCAAAATCCAGCAGTACACCAAAAATATATATTTTTGCTGATGTGACAAAAATAGGTATAATTTTGATCAACTTACAAAATAATAATAATAACTGCCTACTCATTTTTGCTCTAAAGTGACTTTTTAAAAACTCAGGGACCTGCCCTGGCTGGGTAGCTCAGCTGGTTAGAGCATCATCCCAAAACACCAAGGTTGTGGGTTCGATCCCCAGTCAGGGCACGTACAAAAACCAACCAATGAATGCACCAATAAGTGGAACGACAAATCAGTGCTTCTTTCTCTCTCTCTTCCTTCTGCTCTTGCTTTAAAATCAATAAAAAGTTTTTAAAAATCTGGTACCTGCACTTGCATATTTCTGGTACCAAGAATTAACCAATCAGATGCAACCTTATCATGTGACAGGACCAGAAAGATGCAGCTCTACTACGTGACTTACATACTTATGATTCGCGGGACAGGGCATTCGCACGGGACGGCTATTGCTGTATTGGCTGTTGTCATTTTTTTTTTACTCTAAAGGAAAAGAGGTCAGTGTCCCTGAGTAAATAGTCAGGTATTGCATGTTTTAAAGATTTTTTTCAGCACGCTGGTTGAAGATCAGTGAGTTACAAAGATAAAACTAGTGTTTGTGAGGGATGCGAGACGGTGAGTCTGAGTCTGAGGCAGTATCACGAGGCGAAAGTTCGTCATGAACGTCACCCCAAGAGGGGACTCCACCCAGGCGCTGCGAGGCCCGATTCCCAGCAGGGGGAGGCCCGACGGCAGGCTGCGCCACAGTCGGCTGAGAAATACCCACCCACCGGCCCCGGGTCCACTTCATCATCCTTATGTGAGGACGGACCGAAACCGGATGGCACACCCGGCGGACTCAGCTGTCGCCGGGGGAGATGAAGGACTGCAGCGCGCCCCAGTGGCTTCTCCACCCACACGGGGAACGAGCCGGCCAGAGGGCCACTGACGGTGCCTCCACACACCCTGGACGGTCCAGGCCCTCCCCCTGCCGGGATCCCAGAAATGAGGGCAGGAAGAGCGAGCGCCCCGGGAGTCCCAGTCCACCACCTGCGCACACAGGATCAGGGCGGAGGTCAGAAGGGACCCACGAAAAAGGCAACACGGCTCAGGTCCCACGGGACCTGACGTCTTACATAACCATGACCGCAAAGGGATGCCTCTCTGACCACAGGGCTGGGCGGACACGGTCTAGGCCCATGGTCTGCGGTCTGCGGGGGGGCGGGCCCTTGTAGCCGAAGCGATCCTCCGCGCAGACCAGACAGATTTCCTCGATCAGACGCGTGAGTCTGAGTGAGCAGGGTCAGCCTGCGGTGACTCTGTCTTCTGGGAGCTGCACCCCGCAGCGTGGGGAACGCGTCCGAGGCCCCCAAGCCAGGAGGCCACTCGGAGGCGCTGACAACCACACACCCACGAGGGACAGCTCTCGGTAACCGGGAGCAGGGATTCCGCCTCTCCCGGCAGGTGTCGGGCGCCAGGCCGATCACTGCCGATAGGCTGAAGGGGCAGGAGATGGTTCCCACAGATGCAGTCAAGTTAGGGCACGACAACAAACACGGTTTCTTGTCGGGGTTCCCCGTTTGGTCTGGTTTAGGGAGACGGCCACTGTGCTTTGCCCAATCACCCCCCACGCCCAGTGCTGGGCCGGAAAACAGCTGGAGGCGAAGGACTTGCACGCTTACGTTCCATTCTGTTATCTGCTTCCCCTTGGACGCCTTCTGGTGCGTGCATTCCTTTTCCAGCTGCCTCAGTTTTGTCATGGCTTTCTGGAGCTTTTCCTGGAGGGAAAACAGGGTGAATAAAGTTTATCCAATCCGGCAGCTCTCCATGAGGCACCGGGTGCGGGGTAGGAGCCCAGGCCTCCCAGACGACCAGAATGACGCTGCACCTGGAGGGAGCCCCGGCACTGCAGGGGGCACCCCGCGGGCTGCGTGGGCAGGGGCTCACTTATCCCCTCGACCGCCCTGAGCCATCGGTGGGACCTTTAACACCAACTCCGTGCTGCAGAAACTGAGGACTCAGGAGAGGACACGCAACTTGCCCAGGCGCGGAGACTGGTGACGGTCGAGCTGAGTGTCCAACTTCACCTGCTGACCTCTGTCCCGACCTCGGTCCACCACTACGGTCTTGCCAAGGAAATGCTGCCCACAGAGCAAGATAACCATCGTGCGCAGGACCACCTGACCAGGTAACACGGGAAGCAAGCCCAGCAAGGCTGCACGCCCAGCGCGCCCTGTGGGTTCTGCAGCGACTCGGGACGGAACGGGCAAGAGCCCAGCCAAGTCCCAGCACCGGCAGGAGGGGGCGGGGGGCCCTGATGGCTGCTGAAGAAGGGTGCCATGAAGCCAATTTAAAACGATATAGTGTCTGTATCAAGCCTTTCTGAGGTATTTTCATCACGTTCTCACGGAGAGCAGTTTGAAGCCGGACCGAAGGGCCGGCCGTGGTCGGCACAGCAGGGCTGGGTGCCGGGCTCCCCGAGCTGGTAAGCCAAGGACTGTGCCGCCCTTGCTCCGCGCCAGCTGGGGAGCTTCACACATACTCGCGCCCGCAGAGCTGGTCACACACAGCTCCTGGGCATGCGGGCCGGGAGGGGGGGGCTGCTGTTCCCCCCGGTTATAGGCGGGGAACCGAGGCGCGGGGCATTAAACAACTCCCTCAGCGTCACCCACCTAGGAAGTGGCAGAGCGAAGACCCCGAACGGGGCAGTGAGACTTCCGTGTCTCCTAATGGTCGCCCTGTGCTGCTCCTGTTCCTGTGACTTGGTGGGAAAGGAATTCCCGGGGGGCGGGGGGGGGTCCCGGGTTTGGTCTGTCCCTGCTCCGCAGGCTTTCAGGAAGGCTGCCGAGTGCCACGGGGCAGTCGGGGTGCACGTGTCCTGAAGAGGGACCCAGAGCTTTCAACGGGACCACCTCCGCCTCTCAGGGGAGCGAACCAGGAGTCCCACCCTGGGTCACTGTCCTCAGACCCTGGCAGGGCAGAGAGGGAAGTAAACCACGTGGCCACGCCTCAGCCCCCACGGCCAGGTCAGCCTCCTCCAGGTGCTGCTGGGGGAGAAACAGGAGCCGCGCTAACCTCTGCCGCAGCGTGATCCTCCACCACCAACCACTTCCAGCTCCTTCAACTGCCCTGCCTCAATCTTGCCCACAACCTGGCGCCCCACCCTTACAGGGAACACCTGTCAGTGCTGGGCGGAGGCTCTACTCGGTGTCTGCCTGATCCCTCCGCGGCCAGTGGTCAGCACCCTGTGCCGGGCCTAGACTGAGCTGACACGGGCTCTGGGCTGTCACCTGCCTGTCACCCCACGCCCCGCCCCTGGCCGTGGGGCCGCCCCTGGTGCCCTCGCCCGGAGCGCCCTCTCTCTTCTCCACACCTGGACACGCATTAGCTTCTTTGTCCCTCAGAACCACTTACCCCGGTACCACCCATACCCCACGGCACCCAAACCTGGGGATGCCAGGTTTGTCTTCCCTGCTGGACTGAGGATGCCTGGAAGGTGCGGACTCTGTACCCTGTGCTTTCAGACTCGCCCCGCGGCCCCGCACACTGCAGTGTCTCATTATACACACAAGCGAAGCGATAAATGACCACCCGGCGTCCTAGCGCAGGGACACGTTATCACAGCCACAGCGGACTCAGCGAGAGTCCAATGCGCCACCGAAGGTCCGGAAGGACAGCCGGGACTAGATTCAGGGAGGACCCATGCTAACCGGACCCAGTTTTCGGGAGGACGGCCCGAGGGAGGCCGCGCAGCAGGGTTGCAGCCTCGGGCTCCGGCCGCACGGTGCTGCACGGTGCAGGGTCTCGGGGCGAACAGCCGCCCCGCACCCACCTTGTAGCCGGGGCACACGTCCTCCACGAGCGCGGTGCTGTGCCCCTGGTGCCGCGGCGCCCGCTCGCAGCGCCAGCAGATGAGCTGGCCCTCGTCCTCGCAGAACAGCTGGAGCCGCTCGTTGTGCTCCTCGCAGCACACGTCGCAGTCCATCTCCCTGAGGGCTTCGATGAGGCCGCCCAGCTGCTTGTTGGGCCGCAGGCTGGCCCGCTGGAACGGCGCGCGGCACTGGGGGCAGGGGTAGGCCTGCGGCAGGGCCGGCGGCGGGCGCGGCTGCTTGTCCAGGAAGCGCAGGATGCAGCCCTGGCAGTAGCTGTGGCCGCAGCTGATGCTCATGGGCTCCACCATCAGGTTCAGGCAGATGGAGCAGGTGGCCTCCTCCCTCATCTTCTTGCTGCTTGTGGCCGAGGCCATGGCTCTCCTCGCAGGGCGCCCACACGAGGTCTGGGGTCAGGGATGCCCGGCCAGGACTTCTCCACAGCGAAGGAAACGCTCCGCCCCGGCTGCCACTGGCCCCCACGGGTCTCGCAGTCTCCTCTCTACAGGGGAGAAATGCGTTGGAATTCAGAAGATGCAAAAAAATGTCACTGTGCTGGGGAAGGTGGTAGTGACGATCGCCGTGGCCACTGGAATCTATTTTAGATGACACAAAATTTAAAGCTCAGTGTTTTACTCGCAGTGGGCTGGTAGCCACAGCTGGCTCCCAACAGCCCGGTAACAGAACATTCCACCCCGCGGAGTTCTGCAGGGCCCAGCGCGGAGGGAGCCAGAGATCGAGGCGGGAGGGGAGAGAGGAGCGCGGTGAGGCCCCATGAAGCTCTTCCCTGCTCTAAGGAACGTCAGAACGATTAGTTCCAGGACTGTTTCTTTGCAACATTAGATACTTGGGTGGGATTCTCTGAGGCAGTCGCAGGTGACTCTGCTGGAACCCTCCGCCATGCCTCTGCACCCCACTCCCACCCCACGAAGAACAAAGGCGCCGGGCTAACAGTCTGGGGCGGGCCCAGCCCGGGTGCCGTGCAGGTAATAAACGAGGCCCCCAAGAGAACTAGTGTGTCCTCTGAGGTTCTCCCGGGCCTGCGCAGGAGAACCTGTCCTGGAGGACCGGACAGGCTCCACACCCTCTGCCCTCCAGGCCGGCACTCGCCTCCCGGGAGAAGTTCAAGGCAACGGGAAGCCCAGGCGCAGGGGGGGCGGGGGAAGCACATGGGGAAGGCAGGACCCCTAACGTCCACCAATGAGGGCCCGGCGGCTACGGGACAGCGGAGGAGGGGCCCTTGGCCCACAGCTGCGGCCGCCTGCGGGCCCTGCCCCGCTCCTGCGGGAGGGGAGGGAGGCGGGAAGAGCTCACGGAGCGCCCTTCCTTTGAACTGGCCATGGCGGCAATTTGAGAAGGAACTCGCTGAAGTCACTGGCTACTTTCCTCCCCTACGCAGGGCCAGGCTCCGCGAGCCAGAGAATTTCTTCTGAGGACTCCTCTTCCTGGGCAGGGGGTTTTCTCCTGGGCCCCCCACCCCCCTCCCCCACCCCCACCCCCACCCCGCCCCCCGCGGCTGGGCCTCGGTGCCCCCGGGGGAGGACCTGCCCCTGGGGAGGGGGCCTGTCCCGGCCTCCACTCACCTCACCCCCTGGATCTTCCGGGCTGTGTTCAGCTTGGAGTTTGGAGAAAGCAAAAGCAGCCCCGGGAAGGGCGACAAGGCGGGGCCTGGGATTTCCGAGAGCCAGTGGCCCCGTCCTCAGAAACATGCCCCTCCCCGCCGCCGGGCCCCCCACTCCCGGCCACACACCCTGACATCACGTCCCTCCCTGGAGACCCCGGCCAACCCGGCCTGGACCCTCTCCCCTACCTCGGCCACCACCGACAGTCGCGCTTTCGCTGGAGTCCCCGCCGCTGCGAGCGCCGCCGAGTCCCGGGCGGGCGGAGGTGAACTCAAAAGTGAAACTGCGGCGGGGGCGGGGCCCTGGGAGGTTTGGGGGGGAAAACCGGGAAACCGCCCGTGTCTGTTATACTCAGCCGGGGCTGCTGCCAGGGAGGGGGGCAGCGGCAGCACAGGGCACAGACTGCTGCCGCGGGGCCGAGCAGTGCCGGAGCCCCAGCGCGGAGGAGCGCCTGAGGTCCGCAGCCGCGCGGCTCCCAGGCTCCCAAGGAAGGCCTTTCTGCTTTGGCCGCCATTCCCCTTGGGACCCATCCGCCCGGAAGGCGGATGGGGTTTTTTTTCTTTTTTTTTTTTTTGCTATTTTTAGGTCGCTTGTTCCTTCCCAGCTGCTCCGAAGGGGGTGGTGCGGCAGGCGGGGTCTATGTTGCTCCCTATGTCCTGTGGCCGGGCCTCATTTTCCCGCTCGCGGTCTGGGTCTGTCCGCAGGTTCGGGTGCTGAGTAGCTGAGTCAGGAATCGGGACAGCAGACGCGCCACTCACGACTCCGCTGGCACCTGGGAGCCACGTGAACCCCCAGGGCCTGTGCGCCGTGGGGAAAACACCAAGGGGCGACTCTTAGCCTCCCAGTTTACGGGAAGAGCAGAACTCCTGCCCCGCCCATGGTAGACTTACTCCTATTTCGGAAAAAAGGCAGATTACCACCTCAACATCAGACCTTGGCACGCGTGGAGGCGCAGGGGCACCCACAACAAAGGTCTGCTTAGGCAATGCACGTGCGCAGGGTTCAAGGCCGCGGACACAGGCGGGAGTGAGGCCAGGGGTCAAGGCCCAGCCTGGGTCCCGCTGGCCCTGCCGCTCACGCTTCAGGCTACAGTGTGGACCAGGTCCCTCTCCTCCGCCCCCAACAGAGCGCCTGGTCAGCCCTGTGCCCTTCAGGGGCCCCTAGCTCTGCCTGTCCGCCGCCCAGGCTCCTGGTGCCCTGGAGTGCCCTGCGGTGACAGGCGCTGCACATGGTCCGGACACCCCTGCGGCCCCCCCACATGGTCCGGACACCTCCGCAGGCCCCCCACACCCTCTGAACACCCCCGCAGGCCTCGCACTGTCAGGACACCCTGCTCCTGAGGCAGCCAGCACCCGGAGGAGAAGGAATGAACCCCCGAGTCCCTCATCCAACGCGTGCCTTGCCTCTGTCAGCTGCTTCCCGCTGTTGAGGCTTCCAGCCAGGTTTTCTTGGGGAGGAGTCCAGGAGCCCCCCTTATCCACGGTTTCCCTTCCCACTGCTCCAGTTACCTGGGGTCAATCCCAGCCCAGAAGTCTGAGACGGAAAATTCCAGAAATAAGCAGTTCATAAGCTTTGCATTGCCTGCGGTATGTGCGCAGACAGATGAAATCTCCAGCCGTGGGCTCTGTCTCGCCCAGATGCGAGTCACCCGTGTCCGCGGCTCCGCACTGCACACGCTCCCTGCCACAGTCACTCAGCGTCACCGGCATCGGACCCACTACCAGCAATTAAGCTGCTTGTGTTCCAGGGACCCTTACACTTTTAAACTGTAGTCGCCATCCAGTAGTATTTTATATTAGTTTCAGGTGTGCGGCGTAGTAGTTAGCCTACCACCTAACTCACAAAGTAAATTCTAGTGCCCACGTGGCCCCAGGCCTGTTATTGACTGTATTGTATTCCCCCGAGCTTTACTTCCCCAGGACTGTTTTGCAACTTCCAATCTGTATTTCTTAATCCCTTCACTGTTTCCACCCAATAAAAGAAAATGAAATCTCACCCTTTGTAACAACACCGCAGACCTAGGGCATATTCCACTTGGTGAAATACACCCAGCAGAGAGAGACAAGCACCGTAGGATTTCACTTGGATGTGGGGTCTAAAGCGCAAAACAAACAAACAAGCAATTCTCATCGTCCCTAACAACGGCCCCAAAGTGCAAGAGCGGTGAGGCTGGCGGCTGGAGTGTGCCCCAGAGGAGCCAGAACGTGCTTCCTTGGGTGAAAAGGCAAAAGTTTCTCTGTGTATTAAGGAAAGAAAAACATACGTGTGCTGAGGCTGCTAAGGTCTGCATAGGCTAGGAATGAATTTCCTATTCGTGAAATTATGAACAAGGAAAAAGAAATCCACGCTGGTTTTGCCGTGGACCCCCAAACTGCACAAGTTCCGGCCACAGAGTGGGACAGGTGCTGGTTAGGATGGAAAAGGTGTTCACTGGTGAGTAGGTGGGGGGCACAGAACACCCGCCCCATGGGCAGCAACGTGGCGCCCCAGAAAGCAGTGAGCCCCTCTAAAACTTCAGCAAGGGGCCCCCAAAACCAGCGACACCGAGCCCTTCACTGCCAGGGAGAGATGGTCGCACAGACTGAGGACTAGGTTTGAGCTGAAAGTATACAGTTACTGGAGACGGAGAGAGAGAGAGAGAGCACATTGATGCAAGCATAACTTCTGTTACAGTGTGTTGTGATACTTGCTCTGTTTTAATATGAGCCATTGTCGTTCATCTCTCCCTGCGTGCACCTCATTTACAAATTTAACTTTACGCTAGGTCTGTGTGCACAGAGAAAGCCTCGACTACACGGGGTTTGGTGCCATGGGTGGTTCAAGGCACCCACTGGGGGTCTCAGACCACATGCCTCGTGAGTACGGGGCGACTGCTTGTTTACTTCAGTTCTGACGTTTTCATTTGCTCCTCTTTGTAACCGCTATGTCTTTGCTAGACATTCTGTCTTTCGGTCATTTCCACAGTAGTTGCAAACGTTCGTTGGAGCATATTTAAAAGAACTGCTGTAAGCCTTGCAGGAAAATTCTAACACCTGTGTCATCTGCGTCCAGTTCGGCCTGTCGATGGCCTTTGCCCTCTGAGACGTTGCCGCTTCCCCTTTCTCCACAGGCCCCGTTCTTTCGGCTTGTGCCCTGGTCGTTTGAGTGACAGCTCATGAGACCCGGGGTCCTGTCTAAATACTGCTGAGAATATTGGTATTTTTCCCTTAGCAAACACTCCGCCCCGTTACATCCCAGAGGTGGTGAGGTCTCGCCGGCTTCCTGTGAGCCGGCTCCGTTCCCAGGACGTTCCAGGTTGCTCCCACGTGTGTGCCGCCCGGCGGTCAGCCGGGGTGCTCGGGGTGGTGTGCCCGGCGCTCACGTCTCAGTTCGGGGGCGTGCGGTGGAGGCCGGGTCCGTGCAGCAGGCCCGGGGCTGGGCCATGAGCTCCTGGGGCTCATCAGCGGCCCGTGGGCCGCTCTCCCCAGCCCCTCCTCCCACAGCCTCCCCGCCTGGCACTGTCCATCTCTCAGGGCTCCTTCTTGAGAATCCCTTCGGCCAGAGAGCTGGGACTTCATTTGCTCTGCTGCCTCCTTCCCGGGACCACACAGAGAAAAAAAGAAATGGGCGCTGACCACACCGCTTTGAGACCACAGCGGCCCCGACGTGCGATGAAGGTTCACCTCACGCAGAGCACTGGGTACAGGAGTGCCTGGAGCCCGGGGTGGGGGGCGGGGGGACGCAGGGAAGAGAAAAGGCCATGCGTCCACCGCACCCCCCTCTTCTGTGGCAGGCCTGGAGCCAGGGCTGGCAGCGTCTTCCAGATCTGCCAGGGTGGCCCCGTGCCCGCCGTGGGTGGGGTCCACGCCGGGGGATACTGAGCGGATGGATGAATGGATGAATGAATAAATAAATGACAACCCACTCCCAGCTCAGTGTACGTGAAGTTCCCTCCCCCACTCTGCCCACTGCGCGTTGGGATCTTCAGGACTGGTGGTCTGCGTTACTTTGTCGATTCCCAAAAAACCTCGGTGGCCATCTCTTCAAATATTCCCACTCTGCTCTCCGGATCGGGCCGTTGGAGGTAGGGACAGAATCCTCTGCCTGCCATCCCTAAATCCTCACTGCATTTTCAGGTGCGTTTCTCTTTGTCTTTCTGTTCTGCCTCCTGAGAAAATTCCTCAGATTTTCTCCCACTGCCCTAAGGCGGCCCTGCTTAAGTCTGCACGCAGGTGAATTGATTGTGGGGATAAAATCTCTCAGTGGCTCCAGGAGGGTCTGAGGTGTCACATTTCGCGGTGTGTGAGTTTGTGTGTCTGCCTACACATGCACACATAGACAAATGTGTACATATTTACACACACATAATTTTATGTGAAGAAGCTAAATGTGTTGGGTTTTTATTTATTTCTATAGGTTATTTTTTAACCAACTTACTAGTTACCCAACCATTGCTAGAGAACAACAAAAAAACTTCCTCTCTCCATTTCTGACTAATGGCCTCTACTATTGGGAAAAGTAATTGATTTTTTTAAAATGTTCATCACGTCTCTAGTCAGTTTCCCAAACTCCCTTCGCACTGCGTCCCTCCCCCGCCCGCCGTGCTGACCAATCCAGGTTCCCACACGCGACTCTGCTCTTTCGGGAAGGTGTCCCCGCCCCCACCACCAGGGAGGACAGGCCACAGCCCCGCCCCCAGGTTGCCTCCCTCTGACACCCGAGTCTTGGCCAGGGGCCACATCGAGCTGCTTGCTGTCACCGCTTTCCAGTCTCCTGTGTCGTCTCGCCCAGCGGACTCTGCACCCTGGGGAGCCCGAGGTCCGGTCAGAAACAGACTGCTGTTCCCAGAAGCCAGTGCCGTGTCTGGAACATAGTAACTGCTCAAAAAAAAAAAAAAAAAAAAGAGGGTGGAATTGAACTAGTCTGATTGGAAAGAGCCATTAACACCAGGCCAGAGAGACCTGAATTTTTAAAGAATCTCCGACCTTCTCTGCTGCCATCCCCCCAGATATGTCTGGGTTACAGACGTGTGGTCTTTAAGTACACGGCTCACTGAGCTGTACATATCGTGACGGGCTGAGGGGCTTGCACCAGCTGCAGACATGGTGGCTCTCGGCGGCGTGTGACTCCAGCATCGACCGTCCGTTCAGTCAGCTCGGGTGTGTTGAGCAGGCAAGGCCAGGTCCTGCGCCCAGAGCTGTGGGCACTGCGACCCTCGACCACAGAAGGCCCCGCGGGGCGTGTGCAGACGCCAAGCACAGGGCTGGGCTGTGCACACACAGTCTGCCCCCTGCAGAACCGGTTTGCTCCCGCCTGTGGCCCCGGCCCGGGGCAGCCCTTTCCTTCCCACGCGGCCTCCTACCCAGGGCGCCGCTCTCGGCTCCTTCACCTACCAGGCCGCTCCCTCGTCACACTGAGCCTCGGTGAATACGAGGAAGTGCCACACTGTTAGGGCAGACAAGGCAAAGGATGTCCTCGGTTGTGCTCTTTGTAGCGACTGCCATTGGCCGATCGGGCCCAGGGTGGCTTTCCAACAGGTCAGGGGGCAGAGTTTTAACGTGGAGGAAGGAAGGTGTCGTTTCGATTTCCCCAGCACTCCCTCGCTCCTCAGGGTGGACGGTGCGGGTTCCACACCCTGACCCCTGCGGCCTGTGCAGGGGCACGTGGCCTGTGGGATTACGTTAAGGATTTCAAGATGGGACGACGATACTGGGTTTCCCCAGGGAGCCCAACACAATTACAAGGGTCGCAATAAAGAGAGAGGCAGGAGGGCCGCGGTGAGAGGGAAGATCGGAAGGTGAAAGAAGGGGCCACAGGCCCAGGAAAGCAGGCGTCTCCAGGGCTGGAGACAGTCAGGCGTCTCCACTAATGGCTCTGGGGAGAAGGTGGTCTGCCAGCCCCTTGGTTTTTAGCCACCGAAACCCACTTGGGATTTCTGACCCGCAGAACGGGAACGCAAACACGGCAAGTCGGCAAGTCCGTGTTAGTCTATCACAGCAGCAACAGGGGCTAATGCGGAGGAACCGAGAAGCTGAACCGAGGTGCTGGGCTGGGGTGGGGGGGGTGGGACCGCCCGGGGCTGGGGAGCTCAGCTGCTGCCATTTGCAGCTGATAAAGCGGGAAGGACTGGCCCCGGCTGCAGTTTGTAAGGATCGAGAGTCAGAGCGGGAAACCCAGTAGTAACCACAGTCTGAACTTCAAGGATCACAAATAGGACACGAGTTCAAGAATCAGGAGTCAGCGGAGCTGGGGTTCGGAGGGAAGGGTGCGGGCAGCCTCGCGGGAAGACAGCCTGGTCACCCAAGCTCCCGTTTACCAGACTTCAGGCACCAAGTGCACAAGGAAAGGCGCCCCGGCTTCACGGAGGCCTTCGAGGGGACTTCTCACTGCGGGGAGACCTGCTTCCACTCAGCTTGTACAATTTGTTTGATTTGCCCCATGGCCCCGTGAGCCCAGCGATATAACCCCTCCGTACGGACGGACGGAGGAACCGGGCCACAAGGCATGCAGGAAGCGAAAGGGCCTCGCCAAGCCCAGCTCCTCCTCCCAGGAAGGTCTCCGGGACCTGCTGGCCATGTGCGCCGTTGAAAGCAGAAGATCGTGGAGTCGCCCTCTGAGATGCACATTCTGGCAGCGAGAACTTGAACATGAAGTTAAACATTAAACAGCAAAGCCAGACTCGGCTCCCAGACCCGCTGCCACTTGCCTGCCACGTGGTCTTGTTTGTCCCCTGCAGGACGCAGGACGGTCCGCAAGGGGAGAAGGGACAGAAACCACTTCCAGGCGGCCTGAGAGCGAGGGCTCGGAGCCAGGTTTCATGGTGCAGGTACGTGGTGCTCTTCTCTCCGGGTCGGAGGACGACTGCACACTAATCTGAGGCCCGTCAGAGGGAGGGAGGGGTTGAGGCGAAGTCAGGGAGTGAGCCTGGACAGCAGCCTGAGGACCCCCGTCTGGGCATGGCCTCTGGCTCCAGGATGAACTTTCTAAAAAAGGTCATCGATTCGATCAAGACCCTCAAACAGGGCTGGGGGCCAGCAGTGCCAGGGGCGCTGTGGGCGATGGTGGCTGATGCGAGGCTTCCGAGTGGTCACTTGGTGCCGTGCCACGTGGGGCGGGCTGTGGCTGTGGATTTGGGATTGGGGACAGGGACTGTGACGAGTGCGTCTTCAGATTGCTCTATAGATTTGGAATTGCCTCTCGAGAAAAGGGGGATATGGACAAAGCCGTGTGTGAGAGCCGAGGCAAGAGCATGTGGTGCTTGTGGAGACCAGCTGCTCAGGGAGCCGACCGGAGGCATCCAGAGGACGAGGGTCAGGCGTGATGGGAAGGAAGCCGGGAGAACTCGGGGAGGGCGCCCACTGGCCCGGAAGACGGGCCTGCAGCGGTCACCAGAGGAGGGGTGTGTGGCATGCCGGCCGTCTCCTGAGGAGCTGAGCTGGGCGTCCCCCACGGGCAGTGCCGGGTTGTGCCTTAACTTTGGTGTAGCCCTGCCTTCTGGGAGTGCCCACGGTGGGGGCTGAGGACACTTTGTTCCGTGATTAAATTCATAAATGATTTCATAGGTGGCATAAGCAATCCACTGGAATAACCAATATTATTTCGGAGCCACCGATCTCGCGAAAGGCAGGCGGTGTCACTAACACGGACAGCATTCCGTCTTCCCACGTCCTCTGGTGTCTGAGTCGTGTGCGCCCCTTCCTCCTCCGTTGCGTGCGTTCTAGTCCACAGGAACCCATTTTGAAAAGTTTAAAACCAATTTCACAACCAAAAGCATTTTTATTGGACCCGGTATTTGCCGTAAGCCTCTGCTTCGCAATCCGAGAGAAGTCCAAGTGCCGACACTGTGCCTGCCCGCTGCCACCGCGGCTGCTGCTGGCAGCCACATCTCACAACGCGTGAGATTGCACCGGGAGGAGGCCCGTCTCGTGCCCCCCCTTCCCTCCCAGCAGTCCTGGGGAGGGGCACTACCCCACTTTTCCTGTACGCGAGTGCTCTGGTCACCTCTGTCCCCGTTCCCAGAACGGCGGGGGCAGGGCCCCGGCTGCCCTTCGACATGCAGATCCGCGCTCTTTCAACCACGTTGACATTCACCCTGAGTACACGGGGACACTCCTGACGGGGGTGACGCAAGATGGGCTGACTATTGCCGGGAATCTGAGGGCAGCGGAAGACGGTTATAGAAAAATAGCAAGTTCAGGACTAAGAAGAATGAGAAAAAACTAATCTTTTGTTTATACACAAACCATTGTCTAGATTATTAATTTTATATCAAATGAAACTCTACACTGCATCAGAATTATTAATTTTAAAAAAATAAAAAATTTATTATTTTATTTTATTTAAAAAATAAAGAATTTTCCTCTAACTCAATCCCCCCCCCTCCACTTTCTCTCTGTCTACTCACAGCCGTGGCTGTGGGGTTCTCTGCCCTGCCAGCGTCACTGCTGAGCGGGCGGAGCCAAGACTGTCTGTCTGTGTGCCCATCGGTTCCGCCGGCACTCAGACCCCACGAGTTCAGGCTTCTCTGATTACCCTGGAAGGATATCCTGGAAAGAGAAGTTTCCACTAGTGCCTCGCAGAAAGACCCTGGTTCAGAGCGGACTGGGATGTCCGCCCGCTCTCCGTGTGCGTCTCACGCGAGGGAGGCGGGAATTAACCAGCAAGACTGGCTGTGCAGACAGAATCCAGAGAAGCCCCTGAAACCATGAAAGCCAAGGCGGCGGGGGTGGCCGCAGATGGGCGGGGAAAGGCAGCGGCGGTGATGGCCTGTGGCACGATTTCACTAAGAAGAAAAGCTTTCAAGAAAGAGTAGTTGTTTTGATTTTTAAGTATTCAAGAAGCTCAATCTGAAAGTATTTCCATCAGGAAACTTCCTTCTGTGCTAAAACAATTTAAAATCCCATCGATTCCTACTTAGAATACCTCAAAAAGAAGCTACCCTACCTAGTGGGCTTGAAACGTGCTTGCGCTGCAAGTGCGCGCGGAGGGGGCCTCGGCTCAACAGAGGAAGCTGGCCCGGCCCCGGGAGGCGTGCGCGGGCTCAGCCCGCGCTGCGGCTCGGTCGCACGGCCCTCCCGCAGTGGGGTGAGCGGCCGGCCGGCCGGCGGAGGATGGCCGAGCGTCTCCAGCGGCGGAGTTCCGTGTGCGGGGACGTTTCACCGAAGCTGGTGGGAAAGCTTCGTTCCTGCAGCTGCAGGCGCGGTGAGAGAGCCGCCGCCTTCCGCCGCGGCTGCGATGTGACACAACGAGCGAAGTGAGGGAGGCCCGGCTCCGGGGAGGCCGGGCGGCCGGCCCGGTTGCTCGGCTGGGATCCGAGCGCGCAGCGCTGGACTCACGGGCGGTCTCCACGGCCCGCGGACTGAGCGCCTTCCAGGCAGGGCCCACGCCAAGCTTCCTGCTGCTGGCCTTGTCTCGAGTTTGGGTTCACGGTAGTCAAAGTAGGAAACTCCAAAACTTAGGTGGGGAGATCGTACTCCCAGAATTCTCGAGGCACGTGATAAGCAGAAAACCCTGGTGACCGTGATAATGAGGCCCAATTACTGCTCTTTCTTAGACGCTCAGCTCCTTCTGAATGCCAGGTGAGTCGCTACTGAGTGTCAGAAAATCACTTGGTCAGTACAGAAAATCATGAAGAATGGCGTGACCACCACGTGAGTCTGTGTCTCTGGGGACGTCCAGGCGTCAGCCCAGGTGCGGCGCCTGCGTGGTCCACAAGAGCGGTCATTTCCATGTACTACTGAGCATGTTATTTTAATACAGTCCCTGATAACCATCTATGAAAATGGGCTCACCGAACCCTTACTGTGTCTCTAACGTTGTGTGGCAATAAGTAAGGCTGCAAAGAGTGTTTGGGGGCAAAATTCTTCATCTGTATCTTTCCTTATGCTTCTTCTCCTGAAGGCCACAGTTGGGAACGCCCCTGTGGATGAGGGTGGGTCGTACCAAACGTATGTGCAGAGAGGATGCCCGGGAGGCTGTGGACGAGGCAGCGAACGCCGGCCGGGTGCTGGCAGACTCGCAGATCCTTCAGTTCGGGAGCGGCTGCAAAACCGACAACATTCTTAGGGTGACGATGGTTCCTAAAGTCAGTATGGGTGTCCCCAGAGACAGTGTGGCTGACGCACAGACACCACCAGTTCTGTCCCTGTCGGGGCCACGAGTTCTCTTCACCTGTCCGAATAGCTGGATTCACTCGTGGTTGTAGTAGAAGGCCCCACTGAGTTCGATTCCACAGGTGATTTGAAAATCCTTTCAGACCAGCCCTGGCTGGTGCGGCTCAGTGGACTGAGCACCAGATTGTGAAGCAAAGGGCCACCGGTTCCATTCCCAGTCAGGGCACAGGCCTGGGTTGCGGGCCAGGTCCCCAGTGTGGGGCACATGAAAGGCAACCACACATTGATGTTTCTCTTCCTCCCTTCCCCTCTGTCTAAAAATAAATAAATAAAATATTTAAAAAAAAGAAAGTTATTTCAGTCTAACCAAGTGTCCCGATCGTGCGCAGCAGAGACGAGAGTGAACATTTCAAGACTTTAAGGTAATACCTCCAAGCGTTACAGGCGTCGCCCTTCACGTTCAAAGACGACACCATGGGACACTGTCCTGATGGGACGGAGGGGACAGAAATGCGCTCGGGTGGAAGCAAGGGCCGCTCTGGACTCGCCCCTCGGCTCCTGCACGTCACCTAACCTCCCTGTCTTCTGACCTGGCCTCCCCTGCGCGGGTTCTCTGGGTCTGCCCTGTTCCCATTTCAGCTCCACTCAGAACCGGGGAGGACACGGGTGGGTAGAGCACCTGAATGACACCGCTGGGACTTTCCGCCAAAGTTTCTCACGCAAACCCACGAAACCCCTTGAGCATTGCGGTGCCCCATGTGCTGCGGAGCATGAACCACAGAGCTGGCTGCCATCCAGGTGTTCACTGACCCGTGAGAAGGCGACACTAACACGAAAAAGTGACTCGTGTGCCGTGTTTGGGTTGTTTCTCTCCCCGTAGATCAAAGCCTGTCGTGGCAGAAGAGATTCGGGGCCGAGGTGGCCTCTGCCTTAAAGTGCGGTGACACTTCCCAGAGGAGGCACATGGACGAGAAGCCGTCCCCCAGGAAAGGTACTCGAGGCGGAGTGGTCACTGTCCCTGTGTCCCGTGCGTGTCCTCGCCCTCCTCTCCTCCTCTCCCTGTGGCATGGGACCAGCTCCCCCCTTCCTCCTGCCACCTGCCGCAGCTCCCTCCTCAGGGGACCCGCTGAGTTGTCATCCGAAACCGAGCCAAACGACCACTAAACCCCAGGACGTGAGGAAGGGGATGACCCCCAGGCTGGGCAGGAGGCCCCGCTAGCTCGTGGGCCCTGCCCCCCCCCCCCGCCCCCGCTTGGGAAGCTCCATTCATAAGGAAATAATTCTTTTGCAGGCAACCAATCCCATCCCTCAGCCCACTGGCTGCTAAAAGGGATTTCTTTCATTATAGTTTCATCCGATTCCTCACAGGTTCTCTCATTTCTCTTTAGTCCAAGTTCGCCAAATATGCAATGCAATATATATAGATGATATATGTGTGTGTGTGTGTATACACACACAAACACACACGATATATAGACTCCATCAGTCACATGGGAACACTTCCGTAGTGGCCCCTTGTTCCACTTCATGGGGACCGCAGAAAAAAACGTTACTCTCGTGACACAGTGCATACGCCTCCAGCACCGCATCACCAGCAAACTCCGTAAAGATGGTTTTCCCCATTCATTCTGGAAAGAGCTGAACACAAACGAAGGCAGGTCCACGTGGCCAACACACTGGCGTTAGCGGAAGTGCTCAGTTACGCCCCGCCCTCGGACATTTTAAAAGAAGGTCCTGGGTGTTTGGCTAGCTGCACCCCAAGGCAGCTGTGGGGTGCAAACGCCCAGGGTCTCTGGCGAGTGGATGTGCGTGCGGCTGGGACCACCGGCCAGCCGGCCGGCCGCCGGGAGGAGTGTTCTGCGACCGGCTCTGCCACCTGCACTCCTGTGTCACAGCAGAGTGGCATAAACGCCTTCATTTAGGTGTTTCTGTGTTTATTGTCCTCTTCCCATTGTTGCTTTACCCGATGACCAGACCCCAGATTCACTGTCTTGAAGCTAAGTAGACGGTGACAGAGGAGGGTGGCGGTCTAAGACCTCGGTGGGGGGAGGGGAGGGGCGGACTGAGTGTTTTCAGTGGGAGGGGCGAGCTCCGCCAGCCCCGACCGCCTCCTCCCTGCCCTCCTCCCCGACCGCCCTCCGGCCCTTCCGCAGGCCCGCCGCCCTGCTCCCTGCGCTGCGGCCTGGCCGTGGTCATGCACCTGACCAACCTCGCCATGATCACACAGCGGGTGAGCCTGAGCATCGCCGTCATCGCCATGGTCAACGGCACCGAGCAGCCGGCCGTGGCCAACGCCTCCAAGGACGGGGCTCGTGCAGACGCGCTCCAGGACCCCGGCAGGCCCCTGCAGGAGCTCGGCGCTGGGGTGAGCCCGCGGGAGGGAGAACGGCCGTGGGGGCGGGCGTGGGGGGGGGGACTCAGATCGCGATTCTGTGGAGGGAGGAGCGTGAATGTCCCGGGACACGCTTGTCCAAACCGAAATTGTTTTTTTTGAGCCATGGCTGAGCTCTATGATAAAAATAATCTTTCATGGAGGTTCTTATACTTACAAGATGGAGGAATGTAGGGAAAAAATGGGAAAACTTCTAAGAAACAGATTGCTGGGCGTCTTCCGTGAAAAAACAGGCCCGTCTCAGCGCGTCCTTCCGCCCGACCCTGTGCCGGCCGCGGCTCCTTCTCTCGTCCGCCCGTTCCACCGCCTGAGCCGTGCACGCCGCGGGGTCGGCCCGCAGCTCTGCCCACCGATCTGTCCGGTGACAAACGGAGATACTCCCCACTTGCCCCTCAGTTAAAGGAGCCGGTTTTGCCAGTTATTTCAAATGTTTTTCAGCATTACTTTCTATACGTATACACATATACACACATATACACACACGGTTCTTTGAGCTCTCCTCTGCACCAGCGGCAACATCTCACCATACCCGGAGTTCATGAGTCGGCCCCAGCTTCTTCACCACTGCCTCCCCCTCCCTCCTCCCGCGCACTCCCTGCGCCCCTGCTCCAGAATCCGGGGCGCCTGCCCGGTGCCCGGACGTGCTGTGCTCCTCGGAGTCTGGGCCACTCCTCAGCACAGTCCCCTCGGCCAGGGCCAGGGCCAGGGGCGCGGGAAACCCGCCCAGAGCAGCTCGGAGCCCCGTCCTCCGCTTCCGATCCTCTGGCGCCACGCCGAACGCTCCGAGCCCGCTTTCCTGTGCTCTCCAGCGGGAGCGGATCTTCCCCTTTCACTTCACACAGATCGCGGGCATCGTTCGGGGGACGGTTCAAGTACTGCCCGCTCCTCCGCGTCCCTGTGCCGCCGAAATGCCTCCTCGACCGGGAACTCCGACCTGCGTCACAGAGCTGGCATTCTCTCTCTTAAGTGGATGAAATACCGTATTTCACACTTTCTGGCTCTCCACTTCGAATTTATACCACGCATTTTCTTACCGAGCGGGCCACCACAGACTCTTTACCAGGTCACACTGGAAGCAGAATGTGACCTTGTTAGTACGAAGTACGCTGAGAAGTAGACCGCCCCCCCAAACCCGATGTGAGGGACCGAATCTCACGAGAGCTCGGGACGCTGCGTGTCCCTCGTTCTCTGAAACGACAGCCGCCACGTCGCCGTTCACCGGCAGCAAACACGGGAAGCTCCTCCACAGACGCACCGTCTCTCCCCGTCTGCTGTCCGTTTACATCTCCCTGCCATCCGCTGGCATAACCATTTCTTTGTCTCTTTCTCCTCCTCGTCCTCTGGTTTTCCGTCCTTGGAAAGGAGCCAATTCGGGGTATAACTGGTTATTTGGAAAAGGTGGAATGTTTAAGTTGGGTATAAAACAGCGAAAATCCAAACGTGCTGTTTCACGGTAGGGTCCCAGCAAACCCGAGCAGCTCTGGCCGCGAAGTTTTCCTCCTCAGCAAAGGTTTCTCCTTTTCACCCCTCCCCAGAGCTCGGTGTACGCATGGAGCCCCGAGACCCAGGGCATTATCTTCAGCTCCATCAACTACGGGATAATCCTGACCCTGGTCCCGAGCGGGTACCTGGCGGGGATATTCGGGGCGAAGCGGATGCTGGGTGCCGGCTTGCTCATCTCCTCCCTCCTCACCCTCTTCACGCCGTGGGCCGCCGACCTCGGAGTGCCCTTGCTGGTCGTGGTGCGGGCCGTCCAGGGCATGGCCCAGGTACCCAGGCACTTTCTCCCGGGAACAGATACAGATTCCTGCATCCTACTCGCGGCCACAGGCCTTTGTGATTTTCATTTCAGGGAATGGCGTGGACGGGTCAGTTTACCATTTGGGCAAAATGGGCCCCCCCACTGGAACGCAGCAGGCTCACCAGCATCGCGGGCTCAGGTAGGCGTCCCTCCGCGGGTCGCAGCTGTGTCACGACTTCACCCTCCCATGTCATCCGTGCGGTGCATGGGATGCTTTGGGGGCATGGGATGCTTTGGGGGCATGGGATGCTTTGGGGGAGACGGAAAATTCAACATGCACGAGGTTACCTAGCGGATAAGAAAGGTCCATCTGAGCTGGGCCGTCCCGGGGGCTCAGCACGGAGGGGCCCTCATGAGCTGCGAAAGCACTGTGTGGGGGGGGGGGGCGGGGGTGTAGAACTTTAGGCAATTGCCCAAGTGGGGGAAGACTGAGTACACAGTACAAACACCACTTTAACAACGACGCACGAGGGAGAATTAAGACTACTGAATTCAGAGCGGGAAGGAGAGAAAGGCTGCAAGGTAGAATTTAAATACCTGTGGGGATCTGAGCCCTGTGGTGTTGTGAGCAAGTCCTTCTCGCAACCCTCGGATGTCAGTTCCATCTCTTTCATTTATAGCCGGTGGCGGGGGGGGGGGGGTTGGGGCTGAGCGCAGAGAGTAAGGGAGGAGCCAGCAGGTCGTAGGACCGAGACCTGGAGTGCCTGCAGTGGCCACGCCCCAGCCCCCACCACACAGCACGCCCTCAGAGGTCACCATGCTGGACACAGTGCGCGGCCTCACTCAGAAGGCGACAGCTTCATCCCTGCTGTGCGCCCCCTGGCAGCTCTGAGGGTGTGCACTTGAAGACCAGACCGAGGTTCCTTCAAGCCTCTCCCTCCGGGCCCAGCACTCGTGCACCTGCAGACTTTGCCTCCAAGGCGACCGACCCCCCCACTGCAGCGGTCACACCCCCTCAGCCTCAGCCCACAGACCTCCCAGGGCTCCCCAGCACCAGCTGCGTCTCCTCCCACCTTCTCTTCCCAGCAAAGCCACGCGCGCTCCCCAGAGCACAGGTGGCCGTGTTTGCTCTCCTGCTGGGGAATGTTCTTTGCGTTCCTCCGTGGGGGGCAGAGACGGAGGCCCTCCTGGGGCCTGGATGCAAAGCCTCCCCACTGTGAGCTGCCAGGGCCCGCCCCGCCCCGCCCCTCTGTGCACCAGCCCAGGGCCCCCTGCACTCAGCTTCCCTGGGGCTCTGCTCAGTTTCCTGCGGGCCCCCCCGCCCCCAGCTTCTTTTCCCTAAAGCCTCACGTGTAAACAATTCCCAAGTTTATCAGGGCTTCTAATTGCTCCTCGTGGATGCTTTCAGAGAGCATTGTAGTTTCATTGCATTTATATTCTCCATCCTTCCTCTCTTCCAGCTGGGACCCATTGGCAGGGCCGTGAAATCCGTTCAGTGGGTCAAAACCAGTACTTAGAAATGAAAGTGAAGGTAGCAGAGCAGAGCAGAGCAGAGCAGGCCTGTATTGCACAAGGGAGGCCAAGTGCCGAGTCTGGGAACTTGTTGGAGGGTGTGTGCTGTGTTCACGTGAGCATTGTGTCACTGTGCAAAGGGCATTGCTTACTGTGGGTCTGTGTAACTCACAGTCAGACTCCAGGATCTTCCTCGTGACAGTGAATTGTGTTCGTGCTTCTCTCTCCGACTGGACTGACCACTCCCTGGGCTGACCACTCCCTGGGAGCAAGGGCTGGAACTGAATCTCTGCAGCCTTTGCTTTTCTGTCCCCGACCTCCCGCCCTTCCAGCGTGTCCCCCGCACCTGCCAGGGGGTGACTCTGGTTACGAGGAAACAGGCAGGCCGTGGGTGCGGTCAGGTCGGGGCTAAGGAGCCGCCATTGCGGTTATTGTTAGGGGGTTGTTATTATTATTATTATTATTACTATTTCTAATTCCTTCACTTGACTTCACTGGGGAGATCCGAGCGGCCAGACCCTCGTCACCCAGTAACTGCAGGTCTGCACCGCACCCTCGGGACGCCGTCCGGGGAGGGAGGGGGGCCGCTCGGTCTCAGCCTCTGCTGTGCCCCTAAGCGCTTCTCTCCCTCGTCCCCGCAGGGGCAGCGTGCGGGTCCTTCATCATCCTCTGTGTGGGCGGGCTCATCTCACAGGCCTTGGGCTGGCCTTGCATCTTCTACATCTTCGGTGAGTCGCTCCCCACCCACCCATGCATCCATGTCCCAGGTGTTCAGCCGCACCCCTCCCTGCAGCACAGCAGGGGCCGCTGTGGCATGGAAGAGGACGAGGAACGTGAGGGCTGGGAGCTTCTTACTCTAGTCTGGGCGGTGACTGCGCATCACCGGCTTCGGAGAAACCGAGAGGACGTCTCCGTGAAGTCTCCCCCACCGTCGGCCACGCCAGGCCTCCTCCTGCACGTGGCCCAGCTCCAGGGCCGGGGACTGACTCCGCTGCCAGAGCGTCCTCACGTTTCAGGACGCGCATTGCTGCCAGACGCCCGAGGCCTGTTCTCTGGCCTGTTTGTGAACCTCCTCCACGTGTGTGCGCACCTTCCTGCGGGGACCCCGGGCCCGGCAGACCCGTCGTCCTGCCCTCGGCTCCTGTCCTCGGCACTGCTCACGACGTGTGTTCTCTGGGCGGTGCTGGTGTCGGTGGTCTACGCCCCCTTCTCCGTCGCCACCAGACTGTGAAGTGCCCCCACCGCGGAGTCCACTCTGTGACACGCTGCACCCCGTAGCTCCTGACTCACAGCCTCATAAACAGAGGGATGCGTGAGCCTGTCGTTAGAGGGCACTTACAGAACGTGAGTCCCCAGCCTTCTCACACAGAGACAAACCTCAGCAACAACACCAGTGTCTGTCCTGTCGTGACGACCAGCTGGTGTCCTTCAACACGAGCTTCCTCACTAACGGTGCTGACCCAGGCCACGTGGGTGCACGGACACAAATCGAGTCTGGAAACCGTCGAGGAGCGCTTCTTCCGGAAACCCGCAGCGGGGTGCTGCCTGGCGAGCGCACGGTCTTTCACAGCGGGCCGGAGGTTTCTCCTCGCCGTGCAGATTTTATTCAGGTTGCTGCGTGGACGTACCATGCCACTGTCCCTCAGTCCTGACCGGTCAGGTCGTCCAAAACGAGACGATAAGGTGCGAGTGAGAATCTGCTGCTGGCGGCACGCAGCGCTGTCAGCACCGAGTCTCGGGAGGGATGAGTCTGCGAGGCAACGGGGCACTCGTTCAGCCCCTGCTGTGGCCCGAGGGCTGGACGCTGACCCCCGGCAGTCTCTGTTGGCGGGGGGGGGGTGCCTGGGGAGCTTTGGTTAAAAGGACATTTGCAGAAGAACTGAAATAAAGAAGAATCGAAATAAAGAAGTGGGAACTTGAGGTTCTCGGGATGGAATGACCATGAATCGGGTGTGTCTGGGGGGAGGTGTCCACTTCAGAGGGAACCCCCCCGACCTCACAAACCTACCTGCAGACTAACGGGGTCCCGGCCCCCCAGGCGGCATCGGCTGTGCGTGCTGTCTCCTGTGGTTCACGGTGATTTACGACGACCCCGTGCGTCACCCGTGCATAAGCGTCAGGGAAAAGGATCACATCGTGTCCTCGCTGGCGCAGCAGGTACGGCGTCCCCCTCTCCCGGGGGCCACACAGAGGCTGCAGGGCGGCACGTCCTGACGCCCACGCTGACCGGCTGCTTCCTTCCAGCCCACGTCCCGCCGACGCTCTGTCCCCATAAGGGCCATGGTCCGCTGCCTGCCGCTGTGGGCCATCTTCACGGGGTTCTTCAGCCACTTCTGGCTGTGCACCATCATCATCACGTACCTGCCGACCTACACCCACTCCGTGCTCCACGTCGACGTCAGAGAGGTGAGTGCCCTTCGGACACGGGTGCGACGGCCGTGGCCGTGGGGGAGGTGCCTCCACGCTTCCCGGGCCCTTCCGGCCGGGCCCGCACCGTTCGCCCTCACGGCGGCCTCGGAGAAGGCACTGTAAAGAAAGGCCCGTGTGCACGGGTGCGGCAGCAGGACGGACGGAGGTGAGAGCCGCCCTGGACCCTGGACGGCACGGCCGCTCGGGGAGACAGCCGCCGCAGAGAGGGGTCCTGACCGCCACGCTGCTGCCGCGCTGGAGGCTCGGTCCTCGGGGTCTCGCGGGAACCGGCACTGCTGTCCCTGGAGGCAGCGTCAGGGCCCCGCCCGAGGCCTGACGCTCGGTCCCTCCCCGCACACGACTCGCTCTGTCGGTGGCCGGCCCCGGTGACGTCCGGGCTCCCCGCTCCCCAGTGCTCACCGGATGGCTGTCTTCCCTCCAGAGCGGCGTCCTGTCCTCCCTGCCCTTTGTGGCCGCCTCGACGTGCACGATTCTGGGGGGTCAGCTGGCCGATTTCCTCCTGTCCAGGAATGTCCTCAGGCTGGTCACCGTGCGAAAGCTCTTCTCGTCCCTGGGTGAGGGCCGGCGCACGGGCTGGGGGCGACCCGCCAATCCATCCCCTTTCCCCCGCGTGGTCCGAGCGGGCCCAGCGCGGGTTCTGACTCCGGCCCCGCCTGCCCAGGGTTGCTCCTCCCGTCGCTCTGCGCCGTGGCCCTGCCCTTCGTGGCCTCCAGCTTCGTGACCACCGTCATCCTGCTGATACTGATCCCTGGGACCAGCAACCTGTGTGACGCGGGGTTCATCGTCAACAGCTTAGACGTCGCCCCCAGGTACGACCCTGGCCCGCCACCTCCCCTGCTCCAGGCTGCTCCGAGGGGTCAGGCCTCGGTTTTCCTCCTGTGACCCCTCCAGCAAACGGCGGCAGAACGGTGACAACTACGTAGAAACGTCAGCGTGAGGCCTTGCCCTGAGGGGTTTGGAGGCCGAGAGCTTCCCCGGCAGAGACGGGCCGGCTGCTCTGGGAAAGGCTCCCACACACCCACCCGCCCGCCACGAGCCAGACCCTACAGGGCGGTGGGGGGTGGGGCGTGGGGGGCTTCTCCCGTGGGCGCACACCCAGGCCTCACAGCCGCGCGGGGCGGGCCCTCCCCGTGCGACGTGGGGCGAGGGCTGGGGCGCAGGCGCGCAGGGGACAGGCCCACCACCACACAAAGACGGGGCCAGGGTAGGGCACCCCACCCCCACCCCCGGCCGCCGACTCGGTGCCAGGACAGGGCGGGGCGGCACGCGGACGGTGCCCGGGGTGTCCTAGGTGCCTGAGACACAGATTGGGGAGCACGACTGCGCCGTGAGCGCCGAGCCGCAGCCACGCCGGGCCGCCGAAAAGCCGTTCTGAGAAACGCCGGCCGCGCGGACGGCGGCGCCCTGTAAGGCCGCCCCCGACGTCCTCTCCGCAGGTACGCCAGCCTCCTCATGGGCGTCTCGCGGGGATTCGGGCTCGTCGCGGGGATCATCTCCTCCACCACCACCGGCTTCCTCATCAGCCAGGTGGGACCGCCTACTGGCTGCCAGCCGCAGCAGGCGCCGTTTCGGGTGCAGGAGCCCGCGGCGGGGCCTCTGCTCTCGGGGACTGGGGTCCGAGGGGACAAGCGAGCGCAGACCGCCACGCACAGCTCCACCCGGAGCACACGCCGGGCAGGCCGCCGGGCGCAGGCTCCTGGGGAAAGGGAGGGCGCAGTCTCTACAGGCAATGACGTCAGGCTGATGGAAAGGAGCTGCGCGGGGGCGGGGGCGGGGGCGGGGGGGCGCGAAAACAGCAGGGATGGCTCTTTCTGGAGGCACAGAGGCATGGAGAGGTTCTTAGCTACGCCCAGAGCGAAGGACGCGTTTCAGGGTAGAGAGGAAGTCGGGGCGGGGGGGGGGGGGAGACGAGGAGACGAGGAAGAGAGACCCCCTCGGCGTCTCAGAATGGGAGCAGGCGTCCGAGGCCCATTCAACGAGCAGTGGTCGCGGTGGACAGAGCAGGCGCGTGGCCACGACGCTGGCGCCGCGTGACGTGGGGGCTTCTGGGGAAAGTGAAAAGGCGGGACCGGGCTGGGATGGGAGGACAGAGTCCACTGACAAAGTCAGTTTCATTTTGTTGTCACATTTTTATGTGACCTGCTTTCTGGGTCGATTGTCGACACAGCTGCTACCAGTGCCTGTGACGGCGGCAACGAACTCGCCCTCCAGGCCACGGGCAGCCGGCCACTCGCGTCCTGCGGGGACGGCCACCCGAGGTGTCTACGATTGGGCCGAGGGCCCCAAACAAAACAACACAGACCCCCCTGGAAGGACAAGATCTTAATGATGCCGAGATCTTAATGATGCATTTCAGACATAATTCTGAATAAACAGTAGGCTATCTTCATGAATGTGGAGGTCCAAAATCCAGAGAAAACGTCAGGGCGGGTTCATCTATTTTGGCTTAAAGAAAAGTCCGTCCCCACCCAGCACCCAGGGCTCATTTGGGAGCCATTTTGCTTCCAAGGCTCACCGAACCTGCTCTGGTTGCTTGAGACCCTGGGGGGGCCACCGCAGCCGGCCCCTCCGTTGTCTGAGGCCAGCGCCGCCCCGCGCCAAACTGCTGGGGCCCGTGGGGGAGGCACTGCCGACGCTGACGACCCCGCCTCCCGCCCCAGGACTCGGTGTCCGGCTGGAGGCACGTCTTCTTCCTGTCGGCCGCCGTCAACGTGCTCGGCCTGCTGTTCTACCTGGCGTTCGCGCAGGCGGAGATCCAGGACTGGGCCCGAGACAGGAGACTCACCCGCCTCTGAGGACCCGAGCGGCGGCGGGCGGATGCGGAGCCGGCCGGCCACGTTTCCCCGTTTCTTCACTCGTCTTCCTTCCTTCCTTCCTCGCTTCTCCGCCGTGGACTCAGCGGCTCCTGGCTCCTGACCCAGCTGCGTGTTAGGTTTCCCGGGCGGTCTCCCAGACACACTGAGGGGTGGGACCCCCAGGGGTCCCGAGTGCTTGGTCTTGGGGGGCCCCCGGGCACCACTGGTTTTCCAACAGTCCCCGGAGTGTCTAACGCTCAGCCAGGGCCGACGACGGTGGCCGGACAAGCCTGAAGCATCAGTGCCTGCTTGTTGCCCCTGACTTCTCCTCCTGGGAAAGTTCTGGGCAAAAAGAGTTCTGCTGAAACTAATCCGATGAGCACTGTCGCGGGGTGATCAGGGACACGCAAAGATCAGCTGGGACCAGCAACCCTGTGACACAGAGCTCCGCAGAGGACGGAATTTGAAATCTGTAATCCACAGAATTAACATTTTGGTTGTTTTTGTATACTGTGAAACTTGGATGTTTATTTATATGGTTAAATTCTATTAAAGCTCACGTGCTAAGATTAAACAGACGATTTTCACATTATTTAGACGAGGAGACTCCCACCAGGCCGCACAGGCATTTACGTGTCCTAGCGAAGTTCCAGGAGGTTGGCCGCGGGAGAACACCGGAGGGGAGGACCTGGCTGGGGTTCCCTAGAGGTCGGGAGCGCGGGGGCAGACCGGGAAGCTCGCGCCGTGGGAGGGAGGTGTGTGGGGACAGCAGGCGGGTGGGCGCCTCCCGAAGCGGGTGCCGGGGGAGGCGGGCGGCAGAGGTGTGGGCCGCCCACCGGCGTGGTGCCCTGACGTGGGGGAGCAGAGCGCCGAAGGCCCGTGTGACAAGGCGGGGGAAGGCCTGCCCCACGCCAGAGGGGGTTCCTTTCCGGGGCAGAAAAAGGTCGGTGGAACTTCCTGTTCTCCCGGGATTTGCGAAGAGGCACCCTGAACCCGGCAGGCAGGAATGCTGGCTCCTGGCGGTCCCCACACCCCGGGGGATCCGGTTCTGCTGCTCGCCACACGACAAGTCCGGTCCGGTCCAGCCACGGGGCGGACCTGGGCTCGCCGAGCACGCGGAGGGCAGAGGCCCGTTGGCCCGATGACCGACGCTCTCCTCCCCGGGCCTGCGCTTCCCTCCCTCCCCCTCTGAGGATGTGGTTTCCGGCAGGAGATTTGGCGCCGAACTGTCACTGCTGCTGGCTCAGCACGTCCTGGGTCACGGCCCTGCTGCCCCCTGGGGAGGGTTTCCCAGCATCGGCCACCCTCCTCCTCCTCCTCCTCCTCCTCACACTTCCATCTCACATTGTTGCCGTTTCTCCCCCTGGCCCTTCCTGCTGGCCTCCCGGGAGCCCCTTCTGTCCCCAGACTTGTAATCCTCCCTTGCCATCATCCACTCACTGCCCTGGAGACCTGCAGCCTCAACTGCTCAAACCCCCGACCCCTCCCAGAGTCACCACATGCACCCCCACCCAGCCCCAGTTCCCAAGCCGGTGGTCTCCCCCATCCCTTCTGCGGGCACAAACACCCCCCACCCATCCCCACCCCAGGGAGCCTTTAAAAACAGGCCCGGGCAGAGCCAGTTGCCCCCCACGGTCCCGGCCCCCACGCGTGAAGCCCTGCACCCCCCCTGCCGCCCGGAACCCCGCCCCCGGGCGGTGCTGAAGAGCCGGCACAAATGCGTGTGCGGGGGCGGTACCGTGAACCATGAGTAACGAATACTTCAAGTTTCCCTGTGCTCTCAAAGTTTTGTGATGGAGGACAAATAATGCATCTTGAAGTACTTGCCTTAAGTTTTATCTGCACTGTGATTTCCCAACAAATAAAATGCGGGGTTAGAAAAAGAACCAACAAGGAAATGAACACATATGATTGAAACTGTCTGGTGCGTTAGGATGAGGGCTAGTGGGCAGTTTTTCCCGTTTCTCAAGTTCACTTGAAATAGCAATAAAAAAAAAAAACGTACAGTAGTGTATTTTAGAGATGTAGCATGCGGTCCTTTTTGTTAAGGAGAAAAAATATTTTAAAAGTGTCTCTGGAGGGATGAGAGGAAACATTAATCCGGGTTCTCGCGAGAGGGACGAGAGACGAACGTAAATAAATGTGTCTCTCAGAAGAGAGCCTCACCCCACCTCTGGCCACCGAGGGCGCCCTCAGATACATCCCCAGGTGCTATGCGCTCACCTGTGCACTTCCAAAGTGGGAGGGCCAACGGCCCGCCGAGAGTGACCGTCGCAAGGCCACAAAGCCTGTCCCCCGTCTGCGGGTGAAAGAACATAAGAAGTCACAGAGACAAACTAAGTAACAACAAACTCTAAAAACCAGGCACTTGTGCATAAGAAGTGAACAGATGCCAACTAACTAGTAATTAGGGGAAAAGCCCTCACACGGGAGGGAAGTAGCAGGTGGGAATTGCTGGATTCGCGGTGGAAAGCCTGGCTGAGACGGTCCAGGGCTCTCGGCCGCTCCAGCCCACCGGGGCGGTACAGTGCGTGCACACGCATGCTCCCCTCCCCTCCTGCGGGGAAGGCTTACAATCCGTCTCATCAATAACAACGCTGTTCACGTGACTCACTCCAGCCAATGCATTCTGAGCCACCAGGACAAGTGCCATTTTTAGCCAGAAACTTTCCGATGTTGTGTCTTTGTCCTCTGCCATCAGACTGGCCGTGTCCTAGACTGAAGCTGATCCACCTTCCTGGGCCCCAGGTGAAGATGACATGGCCCAGAGCAGCTGACCGTGGGACATGCAGCATGAAGCAGGTTGCTGCAAGCCATTGAGATTGAGGGGCTATTTGTTACTGCAGGATAACCTAGCCCATACTGACTGATACAAGAATTAGTAGCAGGGGTCAAGTGAGACCGGAAGGCAAGCACACCCCCTGCCCTGAAATGTGTAGTGCTCACTTTAGGACTGGTCGTGAGGCAAAGAAAAAACATTTTGGAGGCTGGAAGGATGTATATTAGTGCAACGTTTGGTATAACTTTTGCTTAATGCAATTTGGAGAGCAGAAAATATACCTAATGAGTTTCTTGCTTCAGGTCAAGTGGTTGGAATATTGAATGTCAGTGTCTTTGTTAGCTGCACAGAACTGAATGCATGGGGCAGGTAACCGGAGACCCGCCACTTTGCTCAGCAACGAACGGACAAAAATAACAGAGTCTCCAGGTGCATGGGGTCAGGGAACCGTTGGCCGATTTCAGAATGTCTGGACTTACAGGTTTAGAAGAAGAAACTTCGGGATAGAAAAATAATTTAAGAAATAAAAACTATTAAAACTCATTCTTGTGACAAGAGGTGTTAATAATAACAACTGTCATGATGGCAGGTGGCTTTATTTTGTTGCCTGATTTACCCTTGTCCCTTTCTTCGACGTCCACATAAGTGAGTCGACGAAGTAAAAGCCGCTTGTTCCGAGTCCCAGGTGGTCGGTGAAGGAGTCTGGACCCTCGGCCCCGTGTACGCAGGTACGCAGCCCGTGCTGGTCGGAGGACGCGACGCCGTCCTGCTCGCCGACGGTACGAAAGCCTTCCTCCAACACAAACACCGGCTCACCTGAGGCCCCATCTGGGGTCACATGACGCCTCAGCCCACGGGACCCCTACTTGTCTCCAACATCTTCGCCTCAAAGTCCTACTTGCCACAACTGCTCTTTCTCCTTTTCCACGGCTGCTCCCCGCCACAGTGTGAGATTTTGCAGGTGTAGCCAGGCTCTCCAGGGAGAGCGGTTGCTGAAGTCGGAGGCACTGAAACTGGGAATTAACGAGGACAAGTCTTGTCTGAGGAGAAACGGCGAGGAGGGGTGCTCGCCGTGTGGCCACTGCGCACAGAACGGAGTGCGTGCGGCAGGGAACCGGACACCCGCCACTTTGCTCGGCAACGAACGGACGAAAATGACAGAAGGCAAAATGAGAGAGGTGGTTTCCAGTCTGAGCTTGATCGCCAGGCTGACCCCATTTGTCACAGAGACGGTGACACCAAGCAGGAGCCTGACTTGAACTTGGGGAAGGAAGGGTTTGCCAGAACCAGGCTGAGGACCGGAGGATCTGAGTGGAAACCATAGCACAGTGTGTGGGCCCGGGGCTCAGCGGGGGGGACGGCCGCCGAGCTCCAGAAAACGACCCTGACACTCAGGCAAGTCTCCCGTTTCAGGACTTAGATTCATCCGACCACGTGACCGCTCCATACCCGCCCCCAAATCACCTGAGTCACTGCGGGACGCCGCCGTGAGGTTTGGGGCAGAGTGCGCACCCGCTGGTGGCAAGGAGGAACAGCAGGCTGTCTGCGGTCCCGTGAGTGTGTGCCCTGCAGCGGGAGAGGCCTCCCGCAGTCGGAGCCCAGCGCCCGGCTGAGCGGTCTGGTGGCTCACTCACAGCCCGAGGACGGCACTGTGGGGATGACGTCACCAAGGGGGAACGGGCGCTCGGTCTCCTCCAGTAGCTCCCGCCACCAGAACACTGCCATTGAAAAGGCAGCCCTCTCCCAAAGGAAAACATCTACATTCTTAAAGAAGGTGGATATTACAGTCTAACTCAAGGAAATATTTTGACCTACATTCCAGTGTTTAAAAATTAATTGCACATGAAGCAAAGTTCGATTTTGTGTCCTTACAGACGCATCTTGAATCTATTTCTACCAAGTACAATGCAAGAACAAACCATCCAAGAGATTTTAAAGGGAAGTTAAAAAGTAAATTGGGAGACCACGTCACGTGATCTGACTTGCATGGTAATTCAGGGTTAGGAATATTTCATGTGACATTTGACTTGCGAAGTGGTTGATTATTTATCACAGGGTCCAGAGTCCTTCAAAAAGGACTCCGGGAGAAGTCTTTAACCCCGAGAGGCGGCACTTACACGCCCTCCCCCTGCGTAATGATGTCTTCGTCAGCCAGACTGCAGGCCCCAAAGTGCCGGTGGAACACGCCTGTCCTTCCTTTCTCTTCCCATCTGAGCGAAGTGTCATCCAGGGCGCCTGAAGGAGGTGTGGGAGTGGCGGGCCATCCACGCTTGGCAGGCAGAGGCTCTGAACCCCACCCCCCACCCGACTCCTCCCAATTCTCGATTCCGGGGCAGGAGCCTGCCAAGCTCCGCCCTCCAGGTTCGGCTCCTGGAGGTGTAAGGATCCAACCCCAAGCCGAACCGGGCTCTCCGCAGCAGGGGCTGAAAACCTGGAGCAGTGGGAGCTGAAGCCGGAGAGCCCGACAGAACCGGATCTCGTTTTGCCCGGAACGGAGTCTGATGCCCGCGCTCGCAGGGGGAGAGTGTGGCTGCGGGCGGGCGGCGGACCGGGCGCGGGGTCGAGGCCTGGCCTCCGCACGTGGGACACGCAGAGCCGCGCTGCCGCTGCGAAAGCGGGAGGGTGTTTCCAACACTGGAAAACCAGCCCACGCAGAGACACCGTGCGTGGCCCCCACGGTGTCCGCGTGGGGGCTCCAAACTCACGATGTCTATTTTCCAAACAGGGTTAGAGTGGTCCACACGGCATGGCGGCATGGACAAGGGGAGAGCCAAAAAAACCAGGAAAACCAGGAATGTCTTTACGAAAAAACTGTGTATTTATTCTTACGTGTTTGAACCGCAGTCACCTTCCAAGTATCTCCGTCTGATGCAATACACCCACCAAGACGTTTTATCCACTGCTCAAAAGTTTTTGAACTCAGTCATGTTGACGCCTTTTAGCACTTCTGCTGGTTTTTGTTTTGCCTCTTCCCCATCAGGAAAACATTTCCCTTTGGGGAGTTTTTTTCATCTAGGGAAACAAACGAAAGCTCCTCAGGGGTGAGATGGAGTGGGTAGGGAGGGTGGGGCACCGGGGCCCTGCGGTCTTGGGTCCAAAACTGCTGGACACTCGCCATGGGGTGGGCAGGGGTGCTGGGCAACCACCCATCACGAAATGGCCAAACATGTTGAAAGAGTTTTCCAAAAAAAAAAAATTCACTGAAGCCAAATGCAGCCTCTCACAACAACACCAGCTAGTCCACTGATACAGATGGGTTTCCGGAACACTCGCCCGGCAGGGGAAGCCTAGACTACAAGGGGCCTGCCCTGCAGAAGATAATTCCGGGTTTTTGGGGTCCCCCCTCATATGCAAATTTACAAATAACCCAGAGCATTATTTTATATAGTTTGTGAACACGCCTGTACAGTAAACATAGAAAAGCAGGGAGAAATCTCACTAAATTTATGTGAGATGTTTTAGTCGTCATTTCTGTGAGAGAGAAAAGGACAAAAGACCAGGGGAAGCTGGAGAACGAAGTTCAAGTTCGCCTGCAACAGCATAGTTCATGAATTTCAAAGGTGGACAAGTTAACAAAATTTCAAAAGGAAAAATACACACAGAAAAAAACCACACTAGTACTAAACTGCCGTATTTGATTATAATATTCTCCCTTTTTTAAATAACCTTTTCAAAGAACTAAAGTCAGTCAAGATACCTCAAAACACAGCAAAAGCCACACACAGATATCTAAAATGGAAAACCGAAAATTAATGAAGGGAAACCTCATTGCAGATGAAGTCCAGCGACCAGAGGGGGCCCCCCCACCACCACCACACCCACGGGGGCGGGTGCAGAGGGGGTTAAAATGGTCCATCACCCAGCTGGACAGGCAGAGGCACCTCCCACGCAACAGCCCCTCCTCCGGGCCCTGCAGGAGGAGGGGCCTTCCCTCCTCACCCAGCCACTCAGCTGTGAGAAACCATGACCCTGAGCTCCGCTCTCTTCCAGGGGCCTTTCCTGCAAAACCCCTTCCCCCTCCACCATGCCCCTCCCCCTCACCTCCCCACCCGGCTGCTGGCCAACTTCCTCCTTTTTCTCCGTAAAGTAACGTTCCTCACCTTTGCTTGTTGGACTTACCTGTAGTTTTTGCTATCGCATGCTTGTCCCGAATTGCAATTCACAGCTATTCCCAAAAATCTCGGTGTGCTGGTAAAACTACGGGCTCTCGTGTCGCCTAGGACAACAGGCCGCACCTGAGGAGAACGCCCCATAGCTCCCATTAGCAGAGAAGTGGGTGCAGCTGCAGAGGGGGGTTGACTTCACGTTCCCAAGGCACACAGTTCTGGGCATTTCCCCCCAGGTCAATGGTTCAAAGATTCGAGCTAGTGAGGAGCAATGAAGCCCAGGGCGGCAGAGAATTCCCGAGGTCTGCCGCCTCTGAGGGTCCTTTCTGGGCAGCAGCTGACCCAGGTCCCGCGTTTTCTCGCGTTGGCGGAAAATAACGTGTGAAAGTGAAGTGTGAGCCCCTGTCTTCAACAAGGTGGACAGCAGATAGCATTAATACATACACACACACACAGAGACATATATAAAATGTAGATGGCTACCCTTTCACATGGCACTTGTCTGCAGCTGGAATTACTACTTTCTCCGGGTTTACTCCTAAGAAATTAAAATCCCAAAGCAAAAGTGATACATTTCCCATCAGCCACGATCGAGACCTTGGTTTTTAATCTGAACAAAGCCATGCCAGGTGGAGGATTTTGAGGCGAAGGGTGGTCGAATGCACAGCGCGACTGGGGCGCCCCAGGGGCGGTCCCGGCAGCAGGCTGGAGGCTGGGCGTCAGGCCGGCGCCGGCGCAGAAGGCGGGCAGGCCGAGGTGGAAGCTAGAGCCACGTGGAAGGGGGTCTGGCCCAGAGAGAGAGCTCGGCTGCGGGGAGAAGTGGCCGGAACACTGTGCCCGGCTAGACTGGGTGGGGAACGTGAGAGAGAGAGATTCGGGGCAGCTGCATCAGCGGAGCTGGGAAAGCATTTGGATGGGGCATGTTCAGGGGGAACTCAGTTTGCTCTTGGATCTGTCGTTGGGTTTTACTCACTCAGCAGTGGGTCAGTTGGCTTCCAGTGGGACGAAGTATAATGATGCGTCTCAAACTCGGCCGCAGCTTCAGTGTGGCAAAATGCTGTTATTGCTCTACTATGTCTTGACTTTCTTTAGATTGAAAATACAAGATGTGGCTTCAACATAGTTTTCCCACCCATTGAACCAGCTATCTCCGTACACACCATTTATGACACGATTTAGTTTTCCTCCATTGATTGCCACAACATTGTTTACTAACGATTTGATTCTTTTGGGTGTTTTCCCATTGTTCCTTGCATTTTTCTGCATATTCCTTGCATATTCCTTCTTCAGTACAAGGGTGTCCTCGACAAATTATCGATGCCACACATAATGTAAGTATCTGTCAAGGCCTCCACTCCCTCCCAAGTGAATCCTGGTAGAATCTGTTTACATATTCAGCTGGGTTTTTGTTTTTGTTTTTGTTTTTTCATCAGCTGTACTCATTTTCTAGTCCTGCAAACGTACCACCGCAAACCGAATGGCCTGAGGCGACACCCTTAGAAGGCGGAGACGGCGCCCGGTTCCCGCGGGCCGGAGCTCCCGGGCAGCGCGGCGGGCTCGGCCGGTTCCTCTCCTCTGGGCCTCCCAAGGCGGCATTCTCGCCGGAGGCTGGACTGGGAGAGCCCAGCGTGCTGCTGGGCCTCAGCTGGTGTGTTAAACTGAGCCGGTGCAGACCTCCACCAGCAGCGGAGTCAGCAGGGGGCTCCCTCCGCCCTCCAGCTCCCACGTGAATGTGCGAAAGTGAGCGCTCAGGGGTCGTTTTCCTCGAAGCTGGGGTCGCTTCCACTCAGAGGAAGTCAAGTCACAAGAGGTATTACGTACAGACCCAGAAACGGGCGTGGGGGTGAGCCCCCCGTCGCAGCAAGGAAGGAAGAGGAGAAGGGAAGGGGGAAGGAGGCAGCGGACGGCGCATGCGCAGGGCCCTGGGCGACCAGGGGCGCTGCTGAAACCCAGAGCCGACCTCCAAGGAACCCCCCTCCCCGGGGGCAGCTCCACCTCCTCGCAGGGAAGGAAGTCGGGGCGCCTGTCACGGTCAGAAACTACTGGCCGTGGGATGATTTTAAGATCCCCACTCCTCCCCTGAAGATTCAAGGCAAAGGTGAGGGCGAAGTTAAAAATTAAATTTTAACTTGGACCCCGTGAGGTCAAAGACTCGGTGAAGGATTTACAGGGCTAGCACAGGCAGCGCAGGCACCCGGCGTTCGCCAGAGCTGAGGGGAGCGCGCCCACGGGCGCGGGAGGAGTCACTGTCCGTCCGGCCGGCCGTCCACCCGCCCGCCCGCTTCAGGTCAGCCCGGCTGCCCGTGCTACTCGCTGGGTGAGACGGGCCCTCTCTGCGAGAGCTCTCAGCCAAGGGGGTTAGCAATCTGGGGACGTTTCGCTTAAAAATCTGCTTTCACGGGTCTTCCACCAGGGAAAAAAGTGTATTTTTAGGGATGAGAGTGAGGGGAGGGTTGTGCACACGCACACGGGGGGGGGGTGCTGTCCGGTGCGTGTGAGTCTGGGGGGTGGGGGGGTGCTGCGTCCGCAGTGTGTGTGTGGGGGGGTGCACGAACCAGTGTGTGTGGGGGGGGGTGCACGAACCAGTGTGTGTGTGTGTGTGTGTGTGTAAGAGCCAGCGGTCCCAGGACACGTTCCAATGAGTGACACAGCAGCGAAAACTGCTCACTGAGAAACGCTCTGTGAGTCCAGTCTTCGGAATTGTGTGTGTCTGCCGAGCATCTGGCGTCATGTAAGCTGACGTGGGCACGACTCGAGGTGCCAACCGGTGAGTGCGTGGCCAGCGCCGGCTGGCGCCGAGCTCCATGAAAGGACCGGGAGGGTTCCAGCTTCGTTCCTCAGGGTCACTGCTCGGCTGAGCCCCCTCCCCGACCCCACGGTGCCCCTCTGCCCGGGGCCGGGGTCGGGCGCGGCGGAGAGAGCAGTGACGCTCCTCATGAGGGGAGGTGAGCAAGCACATCTTGTAGCTCTATGAGCACACAAGAGAAAAAGGAACTTATTTTACCTTCGTCCGTCCCCGATGCTCTTCCTTCCTGTTGGTACATCCTTCTGCCTAAAACTGCTCCCGAGACTCCCTGCTGGCCGTGAAGTCCTGGTTTTTGTTCTTTGATAAAGTTACTTTTCACTCTTGAGAGCTATTCTCCCTGGAAGCAGAATCGTGGGTTGGCGGGGTTGCAGTTTGTCGTCTGTAGTTTTCAGGTTTTCTGTGTGCATTTAATCAACAACGAAAAAACTGTGAGCCCAGCGTCGAGGGCGGCCCGCGAAGGAGCTGCGAGGGCGCCGGCCTTGGATGCACCGTCCGAACCAGAGGGGAGCCCGGGGCGGCCGGGGCAGTCCCCGCGGGGGGCCGGCTGACGAGGCACGTTCGCTCCCGCACAGGACGGAGGACAGGCCTTCCGGGAAGAGGCGCGGAGGCCGGACCGCCACGGAGCACATGGACCACCCGTCTCCTGCCGGGAAAGGTGGGAACCTCCTTGCCCCGCATACAGGCTTTTGCCTCTTAAACACAACCCCGAGATCCCAGGCGAGAGGATGTTCCCAGGAAAACACGTCACGGGTCTCAGACATGCTCAGGAGAGGAGGGGAGGAAACCAGCCCTGCGTGTGGGTGTCCACTAGGAAGCCTCAAACAAAAAACTCCACGCACGCTGGCTGCCCACTCCTCCGCCAGCGACTGCTGCCCACTGTCCGCTCACCAGTGGGCGGAGAACGTCGGAGCAGGTGTGCTAGCTTGCCCTGCCGCAGGGGTGCCGTGATGGGACTGGGGCGGGAGGGGCCCCGAGTCTGCATCCTCCGACATCCACAGCGGCACGTTCCCCAAACGCCTTTCCTAGACCAACCCTCCCCCTTGAGCGGGGCAGGCAGGGGAGAGCAGTGAGGGGTCAGCACTGGAGGCCTGGAGTCTTGTCCCCATGGTGAGGCACGGCCTCCCGGAGGGAGAGGAGCTGGGCAACAGGCTGTGGGCCTTTCCATTTCCATACGGGTCAGGGGCCCCGTACATTTGACGTTGCTTCTTGTATCAGCGGTGATAGCTGTAGATCATCCACTTCACCTGTGTTCCAGCTTCTATGTGAACATTAAGACGTGTCGACATCTAAAGCCGATAAACATAAGAAACCATGTTGATGTGTGCCAGTACCATTGATGTCTGCTCTTAGGCCCCACATTCACTGCCTTTTAGGCTCTTTAGGTTTGTTCCTGGTCAGTTTTCCAAGTCTTCGCGTGCTCTCCTTTTCTGGTAACACACGGAGGGCTGGCTGTGCCTTTCGCTCCAACTGTCCCTGAGTCCCGAGCACTTAGGGGTTTCCCTCCTGGGCCCCGCCGTAGCTCGGGATCTACGGAGACCTCGTTTTCTTGAGATTCGTCCAGACCGTTTTCGAGTCCGTCAGTGTCTCCACCCTTTTCATTTCTGAGTAACACCATGACGTTAATATGCCCCAGGGGGCTCATTTACGCCAGTCAGCTATTTTGAGTAAGCTGCTACAAACATCTCATCACAAGTCCTTTTGCAAACATATGTTTTTATTTCTCTTGGTAAATTGCCATTTGTTAAGAAGACGTGTCTCCCCTCCCCTGAACTGCATTAGTGCGTTTATGCAAAAGCCTTCTTGCTCCTCTGCTTCTGGACCCCCACTTCCTCCCGCCCACGCCTGTGTTGGGCCCTACACCAGCGCCGCCCCCCGGCTGCAGCGGGGAACTGCCCCAGCGCGTCCCCCCTGCGGATGCAGTTCTCCTCCGCCCTGTGCGCACACATGAGCCGCCCCCCCCCCCCGCCAAGCTACGTACGTGTGGAGGACAAAGCCGTTTACTTGAGCGGAGGTCTTTGTTGTTATGGAAGGCACTTAGTTCCGAGAGCAACCAGGGTATTTTTAAACGGTGTCTTTAATATATACAGGAGCCAAAGTACTTGGAGGACTGGCTTACTTTTCCGGGACTTTCTAGGTGGGATTATATTTTAGGGGGTGTAGGATCATCACATCAGTCACACGTCTTCCTATCGTACATCATAATTTCTCAAAGGCCGTTAAGGACAATAAGATTTCAAAATGATTCTCAGGGTTCCCAGTTCCTGAGCGGCCCTTCCTCAGGTTAGAAGTAGGGTTGGCTTCGTTGTTCCTGGCGCCGTGGTAACCGCCCCGGCTCCCCTCGTGCTCCCCAGGTCCGGGCCTCTGCTCGCTGCGCTTCGGCCTGGCCCTGCTGCTGCTCTTCTGCAACGTGGCCTTGCTGTGCCAGCGCTCCTGCCTCAGCCTCACGATGGTCGCCATGGTGAACAGCTCGGCGCTGCAGGGCGTGCCCAACGCCTCCGCCGCGGAGCCCCTGGACGGCGTCAAGGTAGATCAAAAGCGTCACCCTCGCCGGGCGTTTACAATCCCAAGCTGCGAAGTAATCTGGGCGCACAAGCGTGACTGTGGTTGACGGGACCGTGGTCGACGGGGCCGCGGTCCCCAGAGCAGACGCCTGGACACGGGCGCCAGCACGTTCGGGAAGGGCTCTGCTCTGTGAACCCGCCTGGGCGACGCAGGAGAAAAGCCTAGAGGCAGGGCCTCTTCAGAGTCCGGAGTCTGGACTAGAGAGAAAAGGAAAAGCGTTTTAAACCACACGTGGAGGTCAAGACACACCTGGACACATGGCACATTTACACATTTTATTGGTTTTACCGCTGGAAGGTGCTGAGTGGTTGGTTACCTGTCAGGAGACACAGGGCAGGGAAAAAAACAGCAATGGTGGGAAAAATATATATTTTTTACTCCACTCTTCCCATGTTCCTTTACGAATGCACAGGCAAATACGAACATGCTTAGTTCTACCCGTTTACACAGAATAACACTTCACGTGCAGTGTATTGTGCGCTGACTTTTTCGTGTGTTCATCGGGACCAGGGTCGGGTGCAACACACGCGTAGGAAATCCCAGACAAGGAATTTGAAGTGACTCTGACGGGTGCGTGAAGGGCGCTGACGGAGAACGTCGGCAACACAGAGCACCAGGCAGGGGGTGTCAGCAGAGAGATGAAAAGCGAAAGGAAGAGCAAAAAAGGTGGAGTAGAAACAAAGGCGACCGTCACCAATGAGCACCGCCTCGATGCGCTCACAGGAGTCGCAACACAGCCGGGGAAAGGGTCAGTGAGCGCGGGGGCCGGTCCACGGGCGTGTCCCGAGCTGAGCTAAAGGGAACAAAAACAAAACGTAACAGAGCGTCCCAGAATGCACCAACTTCCACAGCTGCAAACCCACCTCCAGCAAGGTGACCCACAATGCGGGGGGAACTCACCCCCGGAGCTCTTCCCTGGGGCGTCCCACAGGACACCCCGACTGAGGACCACCCCTGAGAGACAAGCCAGCAGAGCGCCAAGCTTTGAGAGCCCGCGTGCTCCTGTACCCGCGCCCGCTGCGGCTGTGGCGAACGGAGGAGCCGTCCTGGCAGGAAGGGCTGTCCCCGGTAGTCCCTGGCCGCGGGACCCGGGCCACAAGCAGCCGTTTGGAAGGGGCGCACGCTTGCTGTAAAAGATCGTTTGCGTACACCAAAGCAGCCTCGCAAGAAACGTGACAGGGACTCCTTTAGATTGAAAAGAAACAGCCCTAGTTAGTCAAAGAAAACCATACAAAAGTCTAATTCTTACTGGTAAAGGTGAATATATGGCAAAATTCAGAATAATATAGTGTGTAAAGATGATGAATTAATTACTTATAAACCTAGTATGAGAGTTACGAGACAAAAGCAGTCAAAACGACCAACTGCAGTAATTTGTTGAGGGATACACAAGATAAGAAGAGGTAAACTGTGCCCTGGCCGGGTGGCTCGGTTGGTTAAAGTGTCGTTTTGTACACCAAAAGGTTGCAAGTTCAATCCCTGGTCAGGGTGTGTATGGGAGATAACCAATCCATGTCTCTCTCTCTCTCTCTCCCTCTCTCTCTAAAAAATCAGTAAACACATATCCTCCAATGAGCATTAAAAGAAAAAAAGATGTAAATTGTTACATCAAAAACATAAAACGGGGGTGACATAAAAAATGTAGTGCCTAAGAATGCATTCAGACTTCGGTTGTTATCAACTTCAAATACGTTATTGTAACTGTAAGTTGCTGTGTGTAAGGCTCGCGGTCACCACAAAGCGAAAACCTACCGCAGATGTCCGAAAGGCCAAGAGCTGGGAATCTAAGCAGGCCACTAGGAGAAAATGACCAAATCACGAAGGAAGGGAGCAAGAGAAGAAGAAACAGAGTGACTACCACACGGGCAGACAGCAAATAACAAAATGGCAATCAGTGAATCCCTATCGATAATTACTTTAAACGCAGTGGATGGAATCCTCCAGTGCTGTAGGAAATCCAGCCCCATCTCCGGGCAGCCTGCAGGGGCGCCCTGCAGACGGAAGGACGCACACGGGGTGACAGCGAGGGAATGAGAAGATGCTTCATGTGCACGGAAGCCTGGAGAAAGCAGAGGAGGTGATACCTATTTCAGGCAAAATAGACTTTAAAACAGGGACTGTAATGAGAAACAAAGAAGGCCATTACGTAATGGCAAAGGGGTCAGTCCAACAAGAGGATATGAGCAAATTTGTATGCCCCCAACAGAGGAGCACATAAGTATATAAAGCCACTATTAATGGAGCCAAAGACAGTAACAGGTAGTGATCCAGTAATACTAAAGGACTTTAATACCCCTTTGTGTCGATGGACAGATCATCCAGACAATTCGTAAGGAAACATTGGCCTTAAAATGACACATTAGATCAAACAAACCTAACAGATATTTACAGAACATTTCACCCAAAGCAATGGAATTCACAAAAGTACGTGGAACATTCCCTGAGACAGGGCATAGGTTAGACCACAAAACAAATCTCAATAAATTTTAAAAAACTAAAGTCATATCAAGTATCTTTTCCAACCACAACAGTGTGAACCTAGAAATCAACTACAAGAAGAAAACTGGAAAACTCACAAATCTGTAGAGATTTAACAGCATACTGCTGGACAACCAGTGGGTCAAAGGAGAAATCAAAAGACAAATTAAAAAAAATATCTTCAGCCAAGTTAAAATGTAAATACAATACACCAAAACTTATCGGATGCGGCCAAAGCAGAGGTTAAGGGGGAAGTTCTTAGACATAAATGGCTTTTTTAAGTAACAAATCAAATCAAATCATCTCGAAGGAACAAGCTGACTTGGCGCCCAAGGAGCTGGGGAAGAAAAGCAGAGCGCAGAGGCAGCAGCAGAAGGAAAGTGAGGAAGACCGCAGCGGAAGTGGACGCAACAGAGACCAAAAAGACAACAGAAGAGACCAATGAAACCAAGAGCTGGTTCTCCGAAAAGATACACAAACTCGACACACTTTTAGCTACTAAAGGGGTTGCGTCAGTAGTTGAAAACCTCCAACAAACAAAGCTGAGGACGCGATGGCTTCACCGAGGCATTCTACCAAACACGTGAAGAGTTAACACAGACCATTCCCAAGCTTTTCCGAAAAGTGAAAGAGGAACACTTCCAAACGCATTTTACAAGGCCAGCCTTACCCCAATACCAAAGCCAGACAAGGAACCACACGAAAACAAAATCACGGGCTAACATGCCTGACAGCAACAGGTGTAAAAGTCCTCAATAAAATATCAGCAAACTGAGTTCAGCAACACATTAAAAGGATCATACACCATGACTAAGTGGGTTTATTTCAGGGACAGAAGGATGGTTCAACACCCACAAGTCAATCAATAGATATTCCACATCAACAAAAAGAAGGATAAAAAATCATATAATCATCTCAATAGATGCAGAAAAATCATTTGACAAAATTTAACATCCATTTATAACAGAAACTCTGCAAGTGGGAGCAGAGAGAGGTGGCAGCATAATGAAGGCCAGGATCATTCCCACAGCTCACACAGTGCTAAATGGTAAAAGGCTGAATGCTTTTCTTCTAAGACCAGAAACAAGACAAGGATGTCCACTCTCAGAACCCTTATTCAACAGAGTACTGGGCATCCTGGCAAAAGCAATTAGGTAAGAAAAAGAAACAAAGGGCATCCAACTTGGAAAGGAAGAAGTAAAACTCTCACTAGTTGCAGATGGCATGATACACATTAGAAGTAGAAAACTCCAAAGACTCCATCAAAAAAACTGTTAGAACTAGTAAACATTCATTACAGTTGCAGAATACAAATCAACACACAAAAATCTGTTGCATTTCTATACACTAACAATAAACTAGCAAAAGAAGAAATCAAGAAACAATCCCATTTGTACTTGCATCAGAAAGAACAAAATACATAGGAATACATTTAACCAGGGTGAGACACAAGTGTACTGAACACTGTAAGACACTGATAAAAGAAACTGAAGAGGACACAAACAAATAGGAAGATATCCTATATTCATGGATTGAAAGAATTAATATTGTCGAAATGTTCATAGTACCCAAAGCAATCAAAACCTTCAACGCAATCCCTATCAAAATTTCAACGGCATTTTACACAGTCGACCATGCAAGCCTAAAATCTGCATGGAACCAGAAAAGACCTCAAATAGCCAAAGTAACCTTGGGAAAAAAAGGGCTAAGCTGTAGGCATCACACTTCCTGATTTCTAACAATATTACAAAACTATTGTAATCAAAACAGTGTGGTACTGGCATAAAAACATGCATAGATCAATGGAACAGAACAGAGGGCCCAGAAATAAACCCACATATATGTGGACAATTAATTTATGACAAAGAAGCCAACAATATACAATGATGAAAGGACAGTCTCTTCAGTAAATGGAGCTGGGAAAACTGGACATCCACGTGCAGAAGGAGGCAATCAGACCCCTATCTTATACCACACACAGGAACAAAACCACATAGATCAGAGATTTGATACAAGACTGAAAACAAAACTTTGAGAAGACAAAGGCAGCTCATTGATATTGGTCTCAGCTATGATTTTTTATCGCTATCAACAGTATTGTACACTGAAAGTTGATAAAAGAGTAAATGTTTCAAGTTGTCATCACACAGAAAAAAATTCCCTGTGGCTACGCGTGATGACAGATGTTAACTAGACATGTTGTGATCATTTCACAACATATGCAAATATCGAACCATTATTCTGTAGACCTGACCCTAACGTAATACTGCACATCAACTGCACCCGGGGGAAAAGGAGAGAAGACTTGTAGTAAAGGTCTTTGCTGTGACAGGCGCCGGGGGTCGGACAGCGCCTCTGACCCCAAGAACCTGACATTCCAGTTGAGCACACCAGTGACAGCACGCAGTTGCGCACAGAGAGCCCCGCTACCGAGGACTAAAGGCGGTCCCCCGAGGGAGACTGGGGGGCTGAGGAGCCTCCCTCACACAGGTCGGCTGGACGACGCGGTGCCCCACCTCCCGGAACATGCGGAGCGACAAGACGTCTCTGCTTTTCTTTCAGAGTCCTGTGTACAACTGGAGCCCCCAAACCCAGGGCATCATCTTGAGCGCCATCATGTACGGCATGCCCGTCACCCAAATCCCCATGGGCTACCTCTCCGGGGTGTACCCCATAAAGGTGGTGACTGGCGTGGCGCTGCTCCTGAGCTCCGTCTGCAGCCTGCTGGTTCCGCTGGCCGCGGAAGGCGGAGAGTCCTTGCTCATCGCCTGCCGGGTCGTCCAGGGGCTCAGCCAGGTAGGACGGTCGTGCGAAAGCTGGCCAGGCTTTCCGCTCGCAGGAAGCACCAGGGAGCAAAGGTCGTGGTTGTCGTCCTTGCAGGGGACGGTGATGGTGACTCAGTACACCGTGTGGGTCAGGTGGGCCCCTCCTTCGGAACAAAGCCGCCTCACCTCTGTGAGCCTCTCAGGTAATGACGTCGGGTCTCCACCCCACGGTCGTCTTGCGAGTGGGGTCACGACCTGCCCAGACCCTAAGAAACGTGCATTTTGAATCATCGGGACGTTAGAAACTTCGACCCCAGGCTCCTTCCTTTAGGTGTGGAAACTGCCCAGAGTGGAGGCGGGGCTTGCTGGTCTCACGCGCCAGAGAAAAAGAGGAGAGGGCACGTATTTCCTTCTCTTCTGATCGGCATCACACCCGACACACTCGTTCTGCTGGCCGCTGTGGTTGCCGCCTGCAGCCGCCGCCTCCACCTCCAGACGCCCGCCCTCACCCGCCTGCCCTTTGTGCCTCTGACCAGGGAACCTGCTGGGCCCCTGCCTCTCCCTGCTGGTCACCGGCTTCATCTCCCAGGCCCTGGGCTGGCCGATGGTCTTCTACATATTCGGTGAGTCTCTCTCTGTGAAGTCCCATCCTTGTGCAGAATTTGAAAAACAAACATTAAAAATAAAAACCGCATATATTAACTCACGTGAAGTCAATGCTGTGTAATATTATGAAGGTCACAGAGGAAAGAGTCGACACTCACTGATTTCCCACTACAAAGCACTGCGCTCAAGAGCGCCTGGCGCGCTACTGAGCGGATGGCCGCCGTCCCCTAACACGGAGCTGCGGGCTCTCGGCCTCAGCCTCAGGGCCTGGCTGACCGCACCCCCTCCTCCCCGCATGCATGATACGCAGTGTCCTCGCCCCACACCCGTGTCCCAGCGATCTCCAAGCCAGCCTCCTCCCTGCCCATCTCTCCTCTCCACAGTGCCTGTCGCCAGCCCTTCAGATCTCTGGCTTATGTCTTATGTACTGGTTTCTCTGTGTCTCGTCCATTAGAAAGGACACTCCAAGCCCTGGCTGGTGTAGCTCAGTGGATTGAGCGCGGGCTGGGAACCAAAGTGTTGCAGGTTCGATTCCCAGTCAGGACACATACCTGGGTTGCAGGCCATGACCCCCAGCAACCACACATTGATGTTTCTCTCTATCTCCTTCCCTTCCCTCTCTAAAAATAAATAAATAAAATCTTTAAAGAAAAAAAGAAAGACACTCCAGAAGACAGAGTGTTTGTGTTCTAGTCACTGCTGTGTCCCCAGCACCTAAAACCATGCCTGCTACCTAACGGGCATTTGATCAATAAACTCATTTCGCAAAGACCGACTGATGAACACTACATCCCCCGCCGCCCGCCATCCTAGTGGGGGATGCCTAGAATCAGCTCATTAATGTGAAACAACTCAAAAACAACCAATAATTTGGCAAAGTCTTATAGGACTTGACCCATCCTTAGGCCTGGCCTGCGTCTTGGGAGCATGGCTAAAGCCCAGCTCTGGGAGCCAGGTGATGGCCAAGCCCCATGTGGGCTCGGCTGCGCCCCCTGGCAGTGGAACGGTGGCAGTGGGCAGAGATGGGACTCAAGGGCCTGATGGTCATGAGCAGAGGAGTATAGGGCGAGGAGGTCAGGAGAGGCCAGAGGGTGTCCCCTCCCCACCCCACCCCCACCTGTAAACGTCTTTCTGTGGGGAGAGGCGGCTGTGGGTGCAGGAGACCATCCACAGTGTGAGGCCTGCCTCGAAGTTCCAGAAAAGAAAGAGGAAGTCCCGGTTTTCACACCGATCATCAAAGATGCCAGTTTGGGCCCAAGACTCCCCACAGAGACAGCAATTCCAATGCTCCCTTGCCCTGCTTCCACAGGCGCTGGTGGCTGCGCCCTCAGCCTGCTGTGGTTCGTCCTGTTTTACGACGACCCAGAGCAGCACCCGTGCATCAGCCTCAGCGAGAAGGAGTTCATGGCGTCCTCCGTCGTGCAGGTGACACGCAGGTGCCCCACACCCCGGGGTCTGGGCCTCGGGGCGCGGGCTCCGGCTCGTGCTGGTGCCTGAGCGAGAGACGGATCCTTCCCAGGTCAGCTCCGGCGGGAAGTCGGTGCCCATCAAGGCCATGCTCAAGTCCCTTCCAGTCTGGGCCATTTCCCTCTGCTGTTTTGCTTTCTCCTGGACAAACACCATCATGTTCATGTACATGCCAACATTCCTCAGAGCCAAGCTCCGCATTGACATGAGGGAGGTAAGCACCCCTTCCGCGCCCCTCTGCACCCGATGGCCCGCGCATCCCTCAGGCTCCCGTGGCTCCGGCTCCGGCTCTCGCCCACCCGCCCGGCTTGGCTGACGCGCTTTGCCTGGAGCCTCACTGTTCCCAGCGGTGCTCACCCTGTTCCCACGGATCCCCTCCCCACTCCTGTGTGACCGCCCTGTGCATTACTTCAGCCTCAACAGCATGGGTCCCTAGGTGGACCGGGACCCCTCCCTGAACGCCACCCCCCAGCGCACACCAGTCCTCCCCGGGGGGTACGCCCTCCCCTGTGATGTGGAGCCAGGACTCAGGTCTGGCTGTGAGAGCACTGGCAGTCCCAGTAACTGTCTGACCTGGAGAGTCACGGAGGCCTAGCACCTTCTGTTGTTTGAGGTCACAACAGCCAGGAAGAAAACTCGGGTAGAAGCGAGTGTGGGCTTGCACTTCGGGGCCTTCTGCAGGGAGGCCGCAGCCACCCAGCCTGCAGCACAGCGAGGTGCCGCTCTCTGTTTTATCTCCCACGAGACCGTGCCGCTGTTGCGAGGCTCCACAGGGGCTGGTCCCCGAGGCCGCCCCACCTGGTGGTTCCCGCCGGTTCTGACCACCCGTCTCAGGTTCCCAGGGCCGGCCCCCCCATCCTGTGCGCAGTCTTCCTCTGACGCCGCACCCAGCATCGCCGGGTTCCACGGCACCAGAAATAAAAAACAGACGGATGGTGACAATGGCTTCTGACCTCGCAACTGTCTCCTCCTCCTCTCGGGGAGCTGGGCCCCAGCAGAACGGTGGGGTGCCTGCTGGCGGTCTCCGGCGCGCAGCAGGCACCGTCCAGACGCCGAGCCGCAGGGCAGCGCCGGGGGGCGCGCATGCTCACACCACTTCCTCCGCAGAACGGACTGCTGTCGGCCCTGCCCTACCTGCTGTGTTGGGTCCTCGGGATCCTGGCGGGGTACTTGGCCGACTTCTTCCTGGCCAGGAAGATTCTCAGCTTGATCGCCATCCGGAAGCTCTTCACCACTCTGGGTGAGTCGCCAACAGCCACGACCAGCCGAGCCCTGCGGGGTGGGGTGGGGTGCCCCGCCCCGGGCCGCGCCTGACCCGCCCCGACGCCCGACGCCCGCAGGGCTCCTCCTGCCGGCCCTCTTCAGCGTGAGCCTGCTCCACCCCGGCGCCAGCCCCGTCAGCGTCGTCACCTGCCTGACGCTCGCGAGCGCCACGGCCGGCTTCTGCGTGGCCGGCGTGATCATCAACCCCTTGGATATCGCCCCCAGGTAGGGCGTCAGCGTCTCCTTCCTTGCCGTGTCCGAGCTCGCAAGGGCGCTGTTGTAAGATTCCAACGGTCTCGGAGCGCGTGGCGGCCGGCTTGCCAACGCTGTGTGTGTCAGCGTCAGCCACTCCGTTCCCACGGGCACCGCAGGCAGGTGCCCAGGTCCCCGCGTCTCCCGACGGCCCAGCAGTTGGGAGTCTATTTCACAACCGAGGAAACTGACCCTCAGACGCTTAATTGTCAGCCTAAGATCTCAGCACTCATTTGGGAACTCATCCAGGATTTTAATCCAGACCTGGTTGGCAAAAACCTTTGGCTCTTTTTTTAAGTTCTGCCTTTTTTTTTTATAGCTCTAATAAGGGGGACCAGTGGGAGCAGCCTGCTCCCTGCACAGCCGCGGGGAGCACGGCCCACATTGCTCTATGGGACTGTCACGCCTTAGCGGACACAGACCCCATAGGAGCAGGGTTCTCCCCAGTTGTGTGGGGCGGTGGCCCTGGGTAGAGACGCAAAGTCAGCCGAGAATGACCCACGTGGTCCCAACGCTATAATCTCACCCGTCAGATCCACACGAGGTGAGCGCCAGGGTCCCAAGGCCCGGTATCTGTTGGATTTACTCAGTTCCAAGACCCTCCCAAAAAATGCCTGCAAGTATTCTGCTTGGAATCGTATAAAGACATAAAAGGATTATTTGACAGAGAACGCACAAGCCAACAGAGCAATGCACGTTGTTAAACACAGGTGCACTAAGAATGTAGACACACATAAAGGAAATTACAAGGAGCTACCATTTATAGAGTATTTTTGTGGGCCCGTCACCCCCCATGAGCGAGCAGGGAAATGAACTGACGTAACGTTACCCGGTTAGTAACAAGGGCTCACCCCGAGACGGGCCTGGCTGCGAAGCTGACTCGCTGTAGACCCGGCCTCCTTGGTGTCATCGGCTAGCGGGACATGAACCGTCAGCCAGCAATGGCTCAGGTGGCGGGCGCAGGACCCGGCCGGAGCTGCCTCGTCCCCAGGGCACAGGTTCCATGACAGCCAGGCCGTCGCAGAGCCGGCGAGAACACATTTGCTCACACGGGTCTGGGAAAAATTCGTCTCTTGAACTAGTCCACCCTCCGTCTCTAAGGCGCGTGTGTGTTAGTTACATCACAACAGTAGACATTTGTATTGGTTAAGCTCTTTTTTACTAATGGGATGGAGACCAAAGTTATTTAAGCAAGAATGCGGCTCATCATACACCTCCCCTGGGTAGTACACAGAGGATGCCCGCAGGGGTGAGTGTCCGAACGGACAGCTTAGGGAACTGTGGCCGCGGTCGGAATGAAGAGGGAGGCGGGGAACGGTCTGTCAGAGCAGGACGGAGCGCACAAGGGACAAGCCCTGGAGGGGAGAGGGGGACACAGCCGGTGTGGTTTTGTGAGGACACTGCTGGGGAAATGGACCCAGTGCGGGGATGGCCAGGGCTGGGGGGGGCCTGGGGCAGAGCGGCTGCCACCTTCTGGGAGCGGCAGGAGCAGAAAAGGGCAGCATCCGAGGGGCTTTGTGACGCTGCTGGAAGCCGCCATCCTCCCTCTCACAGCCGCACAGGGAGGCCCCCAAAGAGATCTCAGTGACTGTCCATTGTGTTTGGCTCCGCCGGACTGAATGTGGTTCAGAGAGCAGAGCCTCCGTCAGGTTCTGCTGAGCCGGGCCGCGCCCAGGTATCCCATCTGCAAACCCGACGGTCTCCCACGGCAGCTGGGCACATTGCAGCCCGCTCCTCCCGCGGGCTCATGCCCCGGACAGTGCGCAGCTTTCGGGCCGACTGGGGCCCAGAACGTGGTCCTGTGTGTGTGCGGGCTGTTCGCGTCCCCACATCGAACACCCGCTGCCCAGGGACGGGGTCCCGAGGAGTCGGGGCAGGAAAGCTCTCACCTTGTTGGTCCCGGGCTTGGGGTTTTCAGAGGAGCCGGCGTGACCCTCGGGACCCGGGGCACCAGGGCAGGTGCCGGCTTCTCTGACGGGGGGAGGAGAAAGCCCGTCTCTCCGTGCAGACAGGTCGGACCCCGGGCCGCAGCCACAGCAGAGCAACAACTCCTGATCCGGAGGGAGCACCTCGTCTTTAAAGACGCCCCAGTTACAGAACACACAACAGGGTGGGCGCAGAGAGGGCCAGCCCTTGACTCTCCCAAGGGAACCGCTGCCAGCGGGGCAAGAGCAGGGGGCGGAGTGCCGCACGCGGAGGGGCCACGGCGCGGCTGACCGCTGCCCCGCGGCACGAACAGGGAGAGCTGGGAGCCGTCCGTCCGCTCAGACGCAACAGCAAATACATGGATCACCGGTCACCTGGAGGTCTGCAGCCAACGAAGTCTCCGCCAGCCGTCTCCCTTCCAGAATTAACGGAACATGGAAACAGCTGCGGGCAAACCGGGACTCCACTGGCAACCGCTGAGCTGAGCTCGTGAAGGGCTGGCTGACGGGGAACTTCCCAGGCAGAAGCGAAATGGTCTCAGGGGAGGGACCCAGGTCGAGGGACAGCTGAACACACGGAGCAGGAAAACCCCGGCCGAAGCAAGTGGTTCCCCAATTCCCAAAATGAGAACGGCGCCTTCCAGGGCGTACAACACACGTAAGTAAGGGGGCAGCAACACGTCCGAGAGGAGACGGTACAAATGAACTCAAGTGTTCCAAGGTGCTTTCATTATGGGAGTTCAGAAACATAATTCCACTAGACTAAGGTAAATCAAAAATGTATGTTTCTGTCTCTGGTGAATACTGAAAGATGGTAAACTGTAAAGGAAATATTTTTTTTTAAGTTAATGAAAAAGAAATCAAGAATTAATTTAAAAAGGAGTATAGACTGGATCAGAAAACTAAAATGATGATCATTTAAGTCTAATGTATCAGAAGAACATGAAATATAAGGAAGACTGACTCTTCCAAATGTGACATGGCTCTCTGCTGAACTGAAGGCAAACGCACTATGTCGCAGGGGAAAGTGCCGGAGCACGGGTCCGGACCCGCAGCCCTAATGACAGCGCGCTGGCTGGTGGTCCCCGAGCGAACGGCCGCTGACTTCAGATGCCTGAAATCATTCGGAACGTATTTGTATGTTGAAAGATAATTAAGTCTTAAAATCAATAACCATGTTTCTGTTTCAAGTAACTAGGGAAAAGAGCAGCAAGTTAAACCCAAAGAAAGTAAAAGGAAATAAATTACAAAGAATTAAAACAAAAATGACAAGTAAAATCAACAATGCCAGAAGTTGGTTCTTTGCAAATTAATAAAATTAATGAAATAAAGATTTACCAAGAAAAAAATGATCAATATCAATAAAAAACGGGGGCGGGGGCATTATTGTTGACCTGCCTGACAGGAGTGTCCAAGCCACGGCCCGAGGGCCGCCTGTGGCCCAGGATGGCTATGAATGCGGCCCAAACAAAACTGTGAATTTACTTAAAACCTTTTGTTTTGCTCACCAGTTTTCATTAGTGTTTGAGTATTTACTGTGTGGCAGAAGGTTGGACACCCCCCCCAACCCCCCGCCCCCCATTAGCAGGTAATAAAGAAAATGACGCAGCGCCCTCCGTGGGGCGGCGGGGGGGGCAGAGACCCTCTGTCCCCGGGTGCAGTGCGGCGGTTTCTTGGTCAGACACTCATTCTGCCCCCAAAGGGCACATCCTGGCGCGGTGTGGCTGGGGGCTGGCCCCTGCGCTATCTGCCCCTCTCCAGGGGCTCCTTGCCAAGGCTGCGGCCTGGCTTCTGGTCTCCCTGGGAGCCACCCTGAGGGCAGACCCGCTGAACGAGTCCCTCAGTTCTATACCCGCCCTGAGGCACTTCCCAAGACCCCACAGCCCGCCGCCTCCTGCACCTCCCAGCGGTGTCTGCAGGCTTCCCTCTGCGCTGACTGACGGCTGTCTCTCACATTCTCAGGGTCACTGCGTCACCTCCCGGCCTCCGCAGTGCAGCCCCAGTCTTGTCTGTGATTTCAGTGAAATTTAACTAGAATGGGAAATTCAGAAAACCAAGTTATCTTTCTTAAACCTCATCCGGAATCAAATGAGGTTTAAGATTTAAAATACTTCCCATTTGTGTATTGTCATTCTTTTTTGTACAGATATTATGGATTTCTTAAAGGAGTCACAATGCTAATTGGAATGACAGGAGGCCTGATTTCTTCCACTCTGACGGGAATAATCCTTAACCAGGTAAGGGGCACCCGGGCTGGGAACCCGCCCATCCCCGGAGGGCGGCAGCTGTAGCTGTTAACGGCCGACCAGGGGGTTAGAGAGAACGCCCGAAAACCCCTCGGGGACCAGGGGTCGCCGTGGACATGCTGGCGTCAGCCTGGAGTCCCTGAGGGCCTCGCCCTCACACCACCAGCCCCACGCAGCTCACGCAGGAACTTGGTTTCCTCGGAAGAAAACCAAGAGCAGGCACCTCGTCCACGTGTCCTCTGCCCCCGACATGGGCTGAGAATAGAGTCCGAGTTTACTGTGGCCAATGTCTCACCGAGTGGGCAGCCAGCGTCAGGGCTGTGTGCTGATGGTGCTGGCGGGGCGGCATGTCACCATGGCGACCTCGGGGCTCCCGCTCCCAGGGGCGGCCTCCCTAGAGGGGCGGCCTGAGCCTGTGAGCCTGTCCTCCCTCCGAACTCACTCGGGTCTGCTGGGCAGGCTCCCCGGTGTCGTCAGGCGCCCTCACCAGTCTCCACCTGGGGAGCAAACCTGCCTGTCCCGCCTGGGCGTCATGGGCGCGGGGACACTGAACAGAGGCCCCTCTGAACATCTGAAATGACCCAACGTTCACAGGGGCCCAGGTCAAACTCCCTTGGTTCCAGACGCCAGACTCCAAGGACCGAGTGTCATGTAGTCCACAGATGCCCGGGAGAAGCAAACAAAATGTTTCTAGAGAAACGCACCCTACATGCGTGCCCCGCTGTCTCCTCCTGCGTGAAAGCGTCAGTGAACATGAATTAATCAAAAATCACAAAACAGTCAAAGAAACAGGGTTACTGTAAGAGACCAAAAAGATCACAGAATCAGACTGTCGGAGACGCTGGAAATACCTGCATAGGTTTAAAGAAGTAAAAGAGAGCATTAGAAATATAAATAAGAACCGTAAGACTTGACCAAAAAAAATAACAAACCTCTGACAATTAAAACATAAAACTGAAACTAAATGTTCAGATGAAACTCAGCTGAACGAGAGAATCGGTGTAGTCTCTGCTCCCAGAGCGGAGGAGCAGGTAGCCCGGGCCGCCCCTCCCAGCCCAGGGCATGTAAAAGGCTGGAGAGATACAGAGAGGCTTCTCCGGCGCTGCAGGCCATGAGAGACGCCGGAACGGGCTGGGCCGGGGAGCCGGCGCTGCCGCGCGCTGAAACGTCCTGGTGCGCCGCCTGCCCGGGGCCCCAGTTTGTGGATGAGAGACCGCAAGCCCCCAGCAGCACGCACGCACGCCGTCGCGTCTGTGAGCACGCTCGCAGCTTCCCGAGCCGAGACACACACCCCGATTGCCTCTTTAGAGTAAAACCCTGACCTTTTTTGCTCTTCCTGGTGTTTTCCCTTTGCTAAGAAACCTGCACTGAAACCTGTTTCAGTTGTAACGTTTTAAATGCTGCGAACACAACGACGAGCCCAACCCTTTATCACCACCACCTTACGGCTCTCCCCGCAGGACCCGGAGTCGTCCTGGTTTAAAATCTTCCTGCTGATGGCAGCCATCAACGTGGCCACCCTGATTTTCTACCTCGTGTTCACTAAGGCGGACGTTCAGGACTGGGCTAAGGAGCGGCAACAAACTCGCCTCTGAAGGTAAGAGGCGACGGGATCGATCGGGGACAGACTATGGAACCAGGTGCGCAGGAGCGCCCGGATGGAGGCTGCGCCCCCGGCTGACGGTGGTGTGGCTGGGTGAGCGCGGAGCAGGGGAGCGGAGGTTTCGGGGAGAAGGGGGACCACACGGAGTCTGAAGGCGTTTCCCAGTCTGATGGAGATGCACTGCTGCGGAGTGCTGGGGAGATCTCGGGGCTCACCACAGAAACGTGGGAGCCTCGGCTCCGCCCACTGGGAGGAGGGAGAGCGGGAGAGCGGGCAGGGAGGCGGGAGGGCCTTCACGAGGTGGGGAGCCGCCGGAGGACACGGTGGCTCGGAGAAGTGGAAGCGGGGAATGAGGACCCCCGGCAGATGCTCTCAAGGGGTCGGATTCTAGAAGGTGTGAGGGTTTACCACCCGACCTGGCGAGAGGTGCCCTCGAGTGGACCCCGACTAGAACGGTTTTCACGTGGAGGCCCGACGCACGGGGTCCGCACGGGCCCCAGAGAGCTTCAGTCGCTGTGCCTTTCTCGCTTCCCTGACATCGTGGGGGTAAGCGCGAGGAAAAACGTCTCCGTGGAACTATTTCAGCCGATGCATGAATAGGAACTGAGTGATGTAACTACCCACCTTTTGCAAACCCCAGTGAATTCCGGGACTGGGTGCTGGGCCTCAATGGCTGTTCACATCACAAAGACTAGAAAGTTCTACAAACCGTGAATTCAGGCAGAAAGTTTCCCGACTAACCTTAAGTTTCCTGGTGAACCTATCAACACAGAAATACCTTTTTCCCCATTAAACAATAACCACTTAGCCAATATATGAAAAAAAATTATGCGGCATGGTGGAAGAGAGATTCCATATCATTAAAAAATGAACCAGCTCAGTATCGCCAGTACTGAGAATTTCCACAATGGCACACTGAACAATTCACCGAGGTGCTTTATAATCAAGGTCGCAGACTGGAAATGACCAACATCTGCATCTGGAATTAAACAGGTTCCGGTCTTCATTAATAACCTCTGTGAGAGGGAACAGCACAGCCAGCAGCTGGAACGCCAGGAGTTTCTCCCAATGCTTCCGTGCAGGAATACCCGCAGCCGGCCTGGTCGGCAAGGACAGCGGAGGCTCTAACAAAATCACACCCTCCATTTCCACGTACAGAGTGGGGAGCGGCTGTGGTACCCATCACGTTAATTCATCCAGATCCTCTAAATTATTTCTCTTTGGCCTATTCGACAGTGAGCTAAAGTTCCCTATCGTTATTTTTGTCTATCTGCAGGTAGTTACCATTGAACATTCTGATGCCATGTTACAATTTTAACAGGGTTTTGACAAGTATATCTTAATTGGAAATTTAATTTTGATTTATGAGATGATCAGTCTTTTTCAGTTTATGACTTTTCACTCCTGACAGGAGGGGCCCTGCACCTCACGCAACCCACCTGGAGACCGCCTGCTGGGAAGGTCGCCCGCACGCCGTTCTCTGCAGCGTCACTGGGAAGGTCGCCTGCACGCCGTTCTCTGCAGCGTCACTGGGACGGCGCTTCCCCGGGGCCTCTCAAGAATCCCTGTGCAGCCAGGCGCGAGGGGACCGGCTCCGAGAGGCGGGCTTCCCACTGAGACAGGACCCGTCCACCTGCACGGCCCAGCACACCTGTCCCCGACCTCCTGCTCTGTGTGGCCAGGAAGGGGAACTGCTGACATCTCCAAGTAGCCTGTCTCCGCCCACACATCCAGCTTGGCCACTGACCACCTCAAAGACTGACCAGTCCCACGCGCAAGCCTCCTACTTCATACCTGTCACAGCGATCTAGTTCTGGGACTACTGGTCACTCTGACAGTGCCACACTGATCACTTCCCTGTGCACTTTAGATCAACTTAAGTCACTAAGTGTTGTAACCTAGAAAACATTAGGAATTTATACATACACATACTGATACCCTTGCCAGGCATGAAAGATAATTCCTTAATGCAAATTTTACAGTCCCTTCCAAGTGCTGGAAGTCAAACATGTTGTATGAGCAGCCCTAACCCTCGTACCAGCCAGGATGTCAGTGAGTTACTGGGACACCCTACTTCCAACTTGTTTTACATTCCTACCCGTACTCTCAGTGAGAGTCAAAACCCCCACACCGCTGGCAGGGGAGCTCCTGTGGCCCCTCCCACCAACCCACGCCCCTGTTCGCAGGAACTCAGGTCTTCCGTCAAAGCCGCCGTTGAAAATTAAAAAGTTTTTCTGGAGCTGTTAACTTTACTGACACAGATCCACAATCACAGGGTTGTTCCAGTTTTCATTTTGACCCGTGGCTCGAATGAGTCAGAATAAAAATTAGTTAACGACTGACTGACCAAAATATATTCACGACCTTGCTCGTGCATCCACAAACTTTGTGCAGGAGAAAAACCTCCCCAGGGCCCTTAAGTGCTCAAGATGGACCAGTCGGCGACAATGTTTCTTGGGACATCTAGTCACTCCTTCATATATGGTTCATGAGAAGCCCAGTGCTGGGTTGGGTTAGTTCTATTAAACCTTTTTTCCAGAATCACAACATCCATTTTAGATGCAGACCCTCTTTGGCCAAGACCCTCCCAGCACCTGCCTGGAAACCAAAGGGGTGCCACGAGCGCCATCTGTGGAAGGCTCCTCCCACCGTGGGTGCTGCATCTCAGGAGACCCACGACCACACAGAAGTCTGCTGGCTCCCTAGGGAAAGTTGCTCTAGACCCTTTCTCAACACGACAAGGTGTACGGAGAAACCATTCCAGAAAACACTTAAAAAGGAAGCCACTAGGCACCAATAAACCTCTATAGAGAAAACAGAACTACATTAAGTAACGTTTTTAGTCACCAACTCAATAGCAACAGTAACCCCTAACTTGACATGTGGCGAACAAAACGACACACTGAAAACGTCCTTAACTGCGACCCAACACAGTATGACAACCCAAGAGCTGTGAAACAGTATTACCCCCTGAACCTTGACCAGATGAACAGCACCGCACTGGCTTGGCTTGCCCTGCCCAACACTGCGCATGCGGGAATACCTAGAGCCTTTCTACTAAACCACAACACTTCCCTCACCTAAAAAAAAACTATAGCTGTGAACCAACAGGGAGTGGGCTTATATAGACACAAGTCCCCACCCCTGGCCCCTGATTGGTCTGCCTTCATGCAAATGAGAGTGCCAAATCCTTAAAGTTTCATTGGTCCGAAAGGCTGTCCTGATTGGCTGGAACAGAGCCACTGTCATTGGCCAGAGCTGCATGGCTCTGAGAGAGGGAAATCCTCAGTCCTATTGGTTGAAATAGGATTCCGGAAATTCTGGTTCAGCCGGCAGAAATGTAGATACAATTCAGTAAAGTCTTAATTTAGTGAGAACGTCCCTGTGTAGAAATGGGTGCTAGGCTAGTTTGTGGTTTGTTTTTTAGTTTGAACTTTGTCACCCAGTAAGAAGAGCTCTTCTTAGTAGATTTGTTTTTTCAGGGGTCACTATAGGGGGGCTAGAACTTGTTCAATTCTCTCTTCTGTTTACCTGGCTGCAGTATCTACTTTTAAATCTGCTTCTCAAACCCCAGACCGGGCGACAGGCCGCTCAGGACAGGCCCATACAGAGAGCGCGACGGCTCAGACACGGCTTTCCTCAGCCTTGCTTTCGGTTTGGTGAGGCGTGAATATTGAGTAACATGGGAGTCAATTGCCGGATGATGGAGCTTTCAAATTAGAAAAACTTCCTAAAGAATTGTTTTGTCAGTACCTATAGAAAGACCAAATTTTTTAAAAAAATTGGATACAAAAATATATAATAGCTAGCCCTGGCCGGTGTGGCTCAGTGGATTGAGTGCCTACCTGCAAACCAAAGAGTCTCCAGTTCAACTCCCAGCCAGGGCACATGTCTGGGGTGCAGGCTGGGTCCACAGTAGGGGGCGCTCGAGAGGCAACCACACACTGATGTTTCTCTCCCTCCCTCCCTTCCCTTCTCTGTAAAAATAAATAGTATCTTTTTTAAAATGACTTATATATATCGGCTAGCCTTAGGGACTCCTGAATGAGATGGAAGAACAGGAAAAACTTACAACGAAAGCCCGTAAGAACCCCCTCCTTGCAGACCTCGCTGTCTCCTGAGCACATTCCCAGGCCCCCGCCCAACAGTCAGGCTGTGCGCCGGCCAGAGGCCAGTGTGCCAGGCCTCCCGGAGGCAACTGCAGAAGCAGGCCAAAGCCCTCCCGTCACTACGGATCCCCAAACCTTGCCCGTAGCTCTCCAAGTGCTTGTAGGTGTTATAAAAGGTCAGGGTATGAGAAACGGGGCTGCCCTACACATCTCCATATCCTAAAAGAAGTTACATGTATGTTTTGGGCTTTAAAAATAGGTATAAAAAATGGAGGTGTGTTTTTCAAAAAGAAAGTTATAGAAGCTTTGAGGAAATGGAATCTCTGGAAAGGAATTTTATGTATCATCAGGAATGGCTAATATTAAAATCAATTTAATTAAATTAATGAGTTTTAAATATCAAAAGTAAGCTGGTACAAAATTAAAATCTGGTTTTCTCTTTCTTAAAAGGTCAAATTAAATCAAAGTTGGAATGACAGAAGAAAAAAAGAATTTTACCTTGTGTGGTCAAGTTGACTAAAATTAAATTGTTATATGCATTTTAAAATTAAGCTTTAATATCAGTATACTTATGTAAAAATGGAACTTAGTTTTTCATTACTGGAAGGACAAAGTTTTCTTGGACTATCAGTGTGCTCTTGATGGAAGGTTATAATTTTTTTTACCTTAACGTAACCTGCCCCCCAAAACACACAAAGAATTCTACATTTTGCCAAGATAATTTCCTGTGTTTATCAGATCTTTGGTTTTGTTCACACCTACATAGTTTTGTGTTCTTCCCTGTGCATTCGTTCTTACTTTGATCACATCTGTAAGTGCTGTCTCACGGTGGCCAGCAGTCCCACTGGAGTGTGTTTTATAACCTCTGTGCTGTGTTCCAGTCTCTGAAATATCTCAGAGGAGTTGTTCTTTCTCCATATAAGAAGATAAATGTTATGCTAATTAGGCTTATGTAGGTTACATGATATGGGAAGCACTGGAAAAAAATGAATAATTCTAAGCTTTCTTTATATTGTGTCTGTATGGGTACATATTATGTGTTTAGAAATTGTATAACATTCTTAAAATTCTGATATGTCCTTATGTTATCAGTTATAATGCCAACTGCCTCAAAATGTTATGCGTCACAGAAATATGCAAATTTCCTTGTCAATGGTAATAAATTGTCATCAGATCTCAATCATGGCCGTTTTTAACTTTTGTCATTTATTCGGTTCAAGTGTTGTGTTTAATGTTCCTGCAAAAGTAATTTATCTCCAGATCAATTCATGGAAATGAATCTAACGAGTGTTCTAGAATACGAATTTCTGGTAACTTCCTCCTCACACCGCTGACCTGGGTGAGAGAATTCACAGAACCCTCATGGAAAAATGGACGCACCCTCAACCTCACAAGAGCTCAAGATCAACGAGAATTAATTCCACGGGACTGAGTAAACTGAGGAAGATGACTATAATGTTATGCCTTTGTTCTTTGAAACATCGCTGGTTCTTTCTGTTTTCCAAATATTAAAACAGTCTGTTTTCTTTACCTATGACTTAACAGCGATTCGGCCGCGATGCTGGCCAAGACGGGTTGACTCTGTGGGCCACTTTCAGGGTACCTGCCGTTTGACGAGTGTCAAACCTCCCAGTCCATGCACACGAGATGCTTTTCCATTCACTTAAATCTTCTTTAATTTAACAGTATTTTGTGCTCTTCAGATCACAAACTTTGCTCACTAGGGAGAGTCTGCCGGCCCCACGACCTCAGGGGTCTCCCATCCGCTCACAGGCGGGTGAGCGCCTCGTCTTTCGCCCACTCCTGCACGTCTGCTCGGCTGAAGATGAGGAAGACGACCAGCCCGGGGAGGTTGATGGCAGCCGAGAGCAAGAAGATATTTCTCCAGCCAGACTCTGCATCCTGCAGACAGGAACTACAGGTTACTGATGGTCTTCAAGCCCCTGTCCCTCCTGGCTCAGAAAGGCGGTGGCACCTGTCCTCTGGCCACCCCCCCAGCTCCGTCGCAGGCCATGTGGGCATCCGGGTTGTCCCTGGGACAGGCAGGTACGTCCAGTGTGCTGGCTGTCCCCTCTGCTGGGGCGTCTCACCGAGTCCTTCCCAGACCACCCAGTTTAAAACGGAATCCCACCCCTCTTGTGGGCCTTATTTCCTTCTCCTGCTTTACTCTTCTAACAGTTACCACCCCTCACTGGACCATCCACATTACGAATTTCATTCCTGTCCCATCAGCTTCTTTTCTACAATCCAGGCTTCAAAGGGCAGGGAGTCTTGTTACATTCACCGAGGGCGGCATTGATGCATATTTGCAAAATGAATGAACGAATGAATGAGTGACCGGGGAGACAAGGTCAGCTTGAGGGTTTCCCTTTTAAACAACCATTCCCTGACCGCCTGCTCCTTGGGAACTGAAGCTTCAAGTGACAAAGGACGTGATGTCCAAAGAATACCGTTCCCTGTCAGCCTCCCTCTTCCGGACCTACTGGCGGAAAACCGCAGGGACCTTGAAGAATGGGAATGTCCTCACGTCTCTCATCACCCGCAGACTCTGAGGAAGTGCTAAGGCGCCTGTTGAATTGGTTCTGACAGCTTTAAACGTGTCTCCCAGGACGGGAGGCTGTTCAGGTGTGAAGGCAGCGTGTAAGCAAGGCCAGTCGGGGGGTCTCTGCAGGGACGCGGTGGCCGCACAGGAGGAGGCGGCTGCCCCTTCCCTCCGCCTCCGCTCAGCCTCTAGCTCACTCGCTCTGTGTGCATTGGCTGGGCTCCTACACGGGGGACCGCCTCTCTCCAGGCTCCTCGGAACCTTCCAGGTGTCAGGAAATCCCCCTCGTGCCCGAGCGAACCACCGCGGTCGGCCACTCTCCACGAGGGATGTGTGCTGTCGCTCCGGCACTCATAAGACCCAGCGTTCTCCCTCACCCCACACCCCAGACCCCAGACCCCAGACGTGGGGGTGCTCGGGCTTCCGGCCTCAGGCTGAGCCTCCTGGAGGAGGGAACCAAGAGCCCCCTTGCTCTAGCTTCTGCCTGGCGCCCTCTGGAGGCCGCCTTGGGGATACTTTCATCAGAGTGTCTGCTCACCTGGCTGATGAAAAATCCAGAAACGGTGGGAGCGATGACTCCTGACAGACTAGTAAAGATCTGTGACAACCCCTTGAGAAAGCCAGAGTACCTGAAAGAGCGAGAGCGAGAGCGAGAGCGAGAGCGAGAGCGAGAGCGAGAGAGAGAGAGAGAGAGAGAGAGAGAGACGGGTCCCAGTATAAGCACAGGTTCCTCTCAGCTGACCCACTGAAGTCCTCTGCCTGTCTCCAGGGTGGCCTGGACTTGCGCTGACACTTTATCACACCTGAGTGAGACGGACTAGCAGGTGCTTGCTGTCACCCCATGCAAAAGTCTGAGACCCCCAAGAAGTGAGCTGTTCTAAACAGTCAGTGCTGTTTATACAAAGTATGTACACGGATGGTTTAAACTAGGTTGTATGTTCTCTTGGCTTCTGCTATGACATCTGACCTGGCAGCCTTCTTTGAGGGGATACAAGATCCCTCCCTGGGTGAGATGCCGGCTCCCTGGAGATGAGCGGCCTCCCACACAGCTAATGAGTTCGGTAGTTGAGGATGGAGTGTGCCCGCGGACTGGGAGAGACCCCGAGCCACCGGGAAGTCGTGCTCGCCTCTGACGCGGACCTGCACCAGGGCTGAACGTTGCTCGTGCCACGCGGTGCCCTTCAGCCTACTGAACCCCAGAGGGGCGCGCCCTGCAGAGTGACCCCACCCTGGGGACTGCTGTGTCCCAGCAGAGAGGCGTGGCCGCGTGGCGCCTGCCGCCTCCTTTGCCTGGAAGGGCTACGTCCTCAACAGCTGACGAGCTTTGGGCCCTTGCAGGAGTCCCGGGGAAGTAAGGTGGTACCAACATGTCCTGTGACCTGATCCCCCTGCCGCTCCCAGGGTGACCCGTGGTCAGAGCAGGTTTGGGAACGCCGGACCTGGACTGAGCTTCTACGGTGACGCCGAGGCAAGGGGGTCCTTACCGAGGGGCAATGTCCATGAAGTTGACAAGGGCTCCCACTTGGCAGAGGCTGCCGGGGACGACACTCAGCACCAGGAAGGCCAGGGCGACGCCGCGGCTGCCGCTGACCCAGGACAGGAGCACGGAGAACACGCTCGAGAAGAGGACCCCTGGGCAGGAAGACAGGCAGAGATGAGCGGCTGCCCGAGCTTCCCCCCCCCCACCCTGGCGCCCCCACGCTTGTCCTCACCGATGGCCGTGAACAGCCTCCTGATGACGAGGATGGGGAGGACCTTTCTGGAGAGCAGCAGGTCGGCCAGCAGGCCTCCGAGGATGGTGCAGACGAAGATGGCAGCCATCACCAGGGCCGACAGGAACCCGCTCTGAGGACCAGAGCAGAAGTGAGGCGTGTCCCCTCCCCCGCGAGACACAGACCGGCCCCGGGGGCCCTGGCTACGCCACGGCCTTTCCTTTCCTTATCGACACCCGCCTGCAATACAAACTCCCCGCCAGTGGACGGATCAGCATAATTTCCGGAGAAAAACGGGCATGCAGTCCAGTTTGGGAGAAAAACGAGGAATGGCTGCCCCCCCGTCCGTGCACAAAGTCCCCTGGAAGCGGCTGCCCACAGGAGGGGCGCCCAGCAGGGACACACAGGCCACGCGCAGAGGAACAAGAAGGGAAGCAAGCGGCTCCGGAACGTATCGAAACGTCTTCCGCTTCCTGCTAGCACAAGCACCGCGAGACTTCTTTGTCCGCGGGTCGGACGGGCGAGGACCGGCGTCTCCCCGCGGATCGCGGGGCGCTGGGGGCACCGGGTACGTGCGCTGTGCGCGGTGACGTAAACTCGAACATCCTTGCGGCGCTGCCCCGCCCCGCCCCCCCCCCCAGGCCCAGATGTGCAGACAGAAATAGTTGCACAAAGGAGGGACAAAGCTCGGAAACCACCCTCGCACGCCCGGTGACCTTTCCGCCGCTCCCTGGCGTGCGAGCACCCCGCGGTCTAGCGAGTAAAGAACAGCTGCGCGTACACGTCCTCTTTTGTGTAAAGGAACAAAAGTTGGGAAAATAAAAGCACGCCCTTGTGTGGGCTGGCATTCCCCTCAATGGCTGAAAGCATGAGAATTTAATAAAAAGAGTGCTCTCTCTGAGGAGTGGGCTGGGAGACTGGGCAGATGGGGGATGGGCAGCGGAGGAAGACTCCTCACTCTTTTCCTTGTTGTGTAGTTGTTTTAAACGCTGAGCTCTGTCCTTCTCGAGTCAAGCTCTGAATTAAAAAGGAAAGGGAGACCAGTGGAAGGACCCAACAGTCCCCTGGGCCGAGCTGTTCGTTTTACCGAGGAGAAGACCCCATGCCGTCTCGGGGATGGGTCATCGTGAGAAGCACACGGAGCTCAAGGGACCTGGGTCTGGGCTTCCTGAGCTGCAGACACCGGGTGTCAACTCGTCTCTCTGATCGCTCTCCCGTCACTCCTCCTTGTGTGGCCTCTGAATTTGGGGAGTCTGCCCAGCTTCCCCCCCACACCCGTTCTGACCCCCTGGCCTGCGGCCTGCTCCTGGACCACCCCCCACCCTTGGGAAGGCGCCCACCCACCTGGCCCTGGGCCTTCCGCCCAGCCCCTGCCGCCTTTGCCTGCGTGTGTCTCAGACTCTGACCTCTGCCGAGGTCATCGTCTGATCCGGCTGGTCGGCTGTCACCAGGGGAGGCCAGTTAATATGAGAACACTGCTGTTTGAGTACAAAGGTGAGAATGTGGCAATGATGCGGTGATCAGCGAACTGTCGCTGGTGTTGTCTCTGACACTTTTAAGACATCCATCTGCTCAGAGCCGAAAGGCGCCCGCCAGCCAGTCGCACAGACCATGTGATTTGTGCGGAAGCCGCGGGCCTGCGAATCTCTGCACCCCGCTCTCTCCAGGTCAGACTGGAACCCCGGGGTTTTGAAAGAACACTCCCCATGTGTTTTTGCTGTCGGTCCCATAGGGGATGACACACACTCCTTGACAGTGTGTGTCTGTGATTCTGTCACAGCCTGAATGTGTCCTGTTAGGTCTTTGTCCTTTGTGCCACCCGCAGAGTGTCCCATTTGCAAATGCTGATTGGGTTCGACATAGAATGTTTTCATGGGTCCCTCGAAAATCTTTGACATCAGTCCTGGCTGGCGTAGCTCAGTGGATGGAGCGCAGGCTGGGAACCAAAGTGTCCCAGGTTTGATTCCCAGCCAGGGTACATGCCTGGGTTGCAGGCCAGAACCCCCAGCAACCACACATTGATGTCTCTCTCTCTCTCTATCTCCCTCCCTTCCATCCCTAAAAATAAATAAATAAAATCTTTTAAAAAAATCTGTGACATCTTTTGAATGTCCAGCTGACCTGGGACCACCCACCCCAATGCTCAGGAGGCCACACGGACATGAATCGGAATTCAAGCGAACCTAGTTGCCTTTTGTACTTGAAAGTTCGGGCCTAATGCCCTGATTTGGTGACAAGAAGAGAGAGAGGAGCCCTGGCCAGTGTGGATGCTGCAAAGCGAAAGGTCACCAATTCGGTTCCCAGTCACATGCCTGGGTTGTGGGTTGGGTCCCTGGTCAGGGTGCGCATGAGAGGCCAGCCGTCGATACTTCTCTCCCTCTCCTTCCCCCTCCCTCCCTCCTCTAAAAATGTACATGACGAGGCGTTTTGAGAGAACAGGTGGGCTCTCGAGACTTACATCCTTGAGGTCGATGGCAAGCACAGAGTGGAGGTAGGTCGGTAAGTACGCCACCACGATACTGAAATGCCACCACACGCTGAAGTGAGACACCAGAATGCTCCAGAGAGGAAGGGATTTCATCATCGCCTTAATGGGAAGAGACCGATATGGCACACGTTCCTAAAAAAAAAAAAAACAAAAAAGCAAACCAGACATCAGTGTCCCCACCAGAGACACTCTCCCTCCCAGACACCCACAGAGACTCGAGGAGGGGGCGCAGAGGGCCCCGAGGCACCTGCTGAGCCAGCGAGTGCACGATGTGGTCCCTCTCTCGGGCACTGATGAACGGGTGGTGCTCGGGGTCGTCGTACACCAGAGGGAACCAGAGACACAGGCAGGCGCAGCCGATCCCACCTGCAAGAGGTCCCAGTGGCACCAGGCTCAGATCAGAGACGGTCCCCGTGGTTGACAGGAGACTGGCCCCCCGGCCCCTCCCTGCGGCTGCACCCTGTGCGGGCCGGTCACAGGTGGACGGCACGTCCCCACCGCTTGACTTTGGCCTTGGTCGCATCCCTTGCGTTGGCCAATGACGTGGGGGAAGTTCAGAGTGTAGTGTGTTTGCCCCGTGTGGTCGAAAGTGCCCCCGTGGTCGGAGTGCCGGTCAGGGGCCCCCTGCTGGGCAGGCTTCTGCCAGTGCCCCCCCCCCACTGCAGTGATGTCTGTCTGTCCCACGTCTGTCTCCTGCACTGGAGAGCCAGCCGCAGCCCGATCGCCAGGATGGCGTGCGGACACGGAGCGAGGCGCGCTCCTTCCCGGGCAGAGACCGGCCACCCGGGGCCAGGCAGTTTGTCAGGCTGTGAGACCAGCAGAACCCAAACACCATCTTGCCACCAAGGAACTTAAAATCGCTCGGGAAGGGCCGGGTAGGAAAATTCGCATGGCGGCACCCTCAGTGGGGAGGATGTTCTCGTGGACCCCACAGTGTCTAGAGACGCTGCAGCTCGCATGAACTGCTCGCTGCTTCCCAAAAGCCTGTGCACGGCGAGTCCGCCCCTCCTCCTGGACGACCTGCGTGCCCAGCCCTGTGGCCGTTTCCGTGACGGCGCCTCTGAGGGTCAGAGCGCTGCGGTCAGCCATCCGTCCACGTGCGCGGCACGGGGACACTTGATCTACGCGCATGATCCGGGGATGAAAGCCCCCAGCGGACTCAGGCCCCCCGGGGTCAGGCGCTTCGCGGACGGGCTTTCTGAGACAGTTCCGGAGTCGAGCAGACACAGTCACCAGCCGGAAGCCACTGGGGGGCCCAGTCCACGAGGGGAGGGCGTGGTGCGCTGCCTCCGGAGCCTGTCTGTGCGGGGTGCCCGGCCCTGAGCCTCGTGGGCCGCCCCTTCCCGCAGCCTCCGCTCCCTGCCCCGAGCAGCACTTTCCCCGTGATGAAGCCACGCCCCCACAGTCGTCTTCTCAGAGTAACCGTAAGAGAAATGCAAAAGACGCTACCAAATCAATAAGCGTATCTAACAAGAGGATCGCGCCACGGTAACGTTTTCAGCAGCTCAGGAGGGAAATGCCCCCGGCACCCGCTGTGGGTTCAGCCTGACACGGGCGGGTGGGTGTCAGGCCGCGAGCCTGGGCCGTCCTGTTGCAAAGTTCACAGCAGCCCAGCTCTGCACCCGGTCAACTCCGGCCCCGTCGGGATGCGGTTCATCGCAGGTGGCTCGTGGCACCGAAACGCTGTCCGGGCCTCGCTGCCAGAACACCCGGCTCCGAGGTGCGGGAAGCAGACACTCACCCGAGATGTAGAAGATGGAAGGCCACCCGAGGGTCTCACAGAGGAACCCGCCGACCAAGAGGATAGAGAAGGCCCCCAGCATTCCGCCTGCGCACGGGGTGAGAAGGTCCCGGTCAGGCGTGGGCCCCCGCGTGCGCCCCGCCGACAGACCCCCACCCCCACCCCGGCGCTGAGACGGCAGCTCCGGGCTGCGACCCGCACTCCCAAGGGCCAGTCCTGCCCCTTCCCTCAGTCGCTGGGGACCATGGGCACCTCACTAGTCTATCTGTCTCCATTTGCCTTACAGCTTTCAGATAAATTAGCGCAGGCAAAGCACTCACAAGGACTGTGCTGCCCAGTTAGGGAGCAGTTACGGTCGAGAAGGAGAGGTTAGGGCAGTGCTCTCGAGCCGGGACACAGAGGACTGGGGCGTGTGTGCTGCTTCTGGTGACAGGCCACCCCGGGCACTCGTGGGCAGCACGCACACGGGGACGGTGATGGTGTCGATACCTGAGATACTGAAGATGATGAGCTGGTTCCTTTCCAGCGGGGGAGCCCATTTCAGCCAGATCTCGTACTGACTTGTCACAACAACGATCTGAAAAGGAGGCGTTCCGCTCTTGGCTCTCTGACGCATTTCAGGGCCAAACCGCGCCGGTGCTTAGAGAATGAATACCTCGGTACCTGGGCCACGCCTTGGACCACCCGGAGGGCGATGAGCAAGGCCGCCCCGGCGTCGGCCGCACATGGGGTGAGGAGGCTCAGGATGGAGGAGGCACACAGGCCAGCCCCGATCAAGTGCTTGGCTGCAAAGAGTCCAGCCACGTAGCCACTGGGGAGCGAGGTCAAGAACGAGCCGTAGTTGAGGGCGCTGAGGATGACCCCCTGGATGTCCGGACCCCAGTCGTACACGGGCTCCTAGGTGACAGAGAGACCGCCACTGTTAGTCTTTGACTAGGGAGGTGAGAATTTTACTGTGAAGACTCGAGAGGCTAAAATAAAAAATAATAATAATAATAACAATAATAAAAAGACGCTTCTCTTCTCTTTTGCTCTCTCGCCAGTTCCCCAACCTCTCAGTCCCCGGTCACACAGTGAGCTGCCCGGCCGACGCGGAAGAGAGCCGACGCGGAAGAGAGCCGCGGAGAGCGAAAGCACCACGGGCGAGGAAGAGAGCGAGCGGAGGGGCAAAGGGAAAGTAGACATGGATCCGTTCAACGTGTTGCGTGGTCACGGATGCACGTCTCCTGGCGGTGAGCTCCGCTCCCTCCGTTCTAGCTCAGTCCCGGGTCCCACTCACAGACACGACAGGAGGGGACAATCTCCTTAGCCGCTTAGTACGTTCTTGTGACATGCACTAAGAGCCTTCGTGGCCACACCGCCTGAGTCACAGCAAGGCCCAGTGTCGCGCCACACTCACCGCCGCCCAAGGCCCCGGGAGGGTTCCGTTGCAGGCGTCTCGGGCATCAGACGCGTTGGCCGGGCAGGGCGGGACAGAGCCGTTCACCATCGCGGGCATGGTGACGCTCAAGTTCACATTTTGGATATACATGGCGAAATTACAAAATTGTAAGATGAGGGCGAGCCCGTGTCGGACCGAACAAAAGCCTGAGACGAGAAGAAGACACAAAAGGTCTTAAAATCAGGGAGCTCTTCTCCCCTCCCTGCTTCCCGAGCCCGGGAGAGAGAGGACGGGAGTGCGCCGGTGAGGCCGCAGGACAGCGAGAGCGGACGCAGCAGCGTTCAGCACACGCCCGTGTCCCCGGCAGGCGGGGGGCCCTCGCCGCCCGCAGAGCCAGTGCCGAGGTGGAGACTGAAGCGTGGGAGCCGGGGTGGGAGCGGGGAGCCCCGGGCAGGCGGTTCCCAGGCAGGGCTGCGGGCTGCGCTGGTAAGCGTGGGGACGGGAAGAGGTGGACTGGGAGAGGGTCGCGGCCAGGAGCAGTGGTGGACTGCCCACGGACCGAGCGTGGGACAGAGAAGGCATGGAATGCAGCTCCCTCCCACGTGCCCTGCTGGCACGTGGCTTTCGGTGGCCTTTATCACCAGGGGACAGTGCGGGTGAGCATGTCTGGGGGCTGGCCAGAGCGGAGGCTTGAACGGGAGGCGAGGGGGGAGGACAGAAGTTCTTAAACAGCATCTGGACACTGTCGCCTGGGCTCGGACGGCACGTGCCAGAAGTGCACACAATGGTGGCCAGGCAGACCGCCCTGGCCTGAACCCTAGCCACCTGCCCCTGAGCCTGGCTGACTCCGGTGAGTTATCTAATGGCTCTCGGCGCCAGTCCTCGCTCCTGTGACGTGGTGACAATGTCAGTGGCACCTTTGCTGAGGGGCTGTTGTGAGCGGGACAGAGGGTGGGAGGCAGGAATGGCAGCTGGCGCCTGCCCGGTGTGCAGCACGAGCCAGGCATTGTCCTAAACGGTGTGCACGCCACGACTGATCTCATCCCCGTGGGAACCCTAAGACCTCGGCCCTGGGACTGTCACTTCATTTTCACAAACAACGAAACTGAGGCCCAGAAAGTGAGTCACTCGCCCAGGGCCACACTGCTCAGAACCGAGTCAAGACCGCGGACTCCGACAGTGCGACGTCTCGTGGGAAGCTTGGGCGCAGAAATGCTCTGCGCGGCTGTTTTGAGAGAGAAGGAGCTAAGACAGGAGAACCTGGCCAACGGCAGAGCCCGGGAGACTCCTAGACATTTAGAAATGAACGTGACCTTAGAGACACAGGGTCGGGCTTTTCCAGTTCGCAGAGAAGACACTGAGGACATTCTCTCCAGCTCAGACGGTCACCAGCTAACTGCCACGTGAGAGGTGGGATGCACGGGCCCCGCTCTGCTGTGAGGGGAGGGGGAGGGGAACCCCGTTTCCCTTAAGACCTGCTCACTTCCCACAGACACACAGGCTAAAATGCTCGCTCTTACAAAGTATTCCGTCTTGGTTTGTGTTGTCCTTCCAAAGGGCATTGTCTTATGAAAAGCCGACCTCCTGGAGAAAACTAATGCCTTCGAACCAGAGAAAAGCCAAGTTGGATCGCACATTTTCTGCAGCGTCTGCTCTGACCTTTTTCCTCCAGCTATAGATAAGGTCTTCACACCTGCTTTATGTGACTTGCAGGTTTATTGCAAGAGGCGAAATAATTCTCAGGGAACATTCTCGAAAGCTATATAGAATTCTTGGCAATTGGTGGCCACAAGAAGATGCCGTGGGGTGTCCAGCCTTTTGGCGTCTCTAGGCCACACTGGAAGAAGCAGCGTTGTCTTGGGCCACACATTAAATGCTTTGTGACATGTCATCACAAAAACAATGTCATGCTGTTCTAAGCAAATTTACGATCTTGTGATGGGCCGCATTCACGGCCATCGAGGTCTGCAGGTCGGACTCCCCTGTGAGGGCGCCGAGGGGACCGGCACCCAGGTCCACCCACGACCGGGGCGTGGGGGCTTTACCTTTGCACGAGGCTGACGTCACGTGCACGTCGGCGTCTCCAGAACGATCGCCCCCGGCGGCCGTGGCTTCTGCCCCGGTGGACATCTGGCCCTTCCCTCCGGGGTCCAGACGTTACCTGCTGAAAGAAAGAGCGTGCAAGCACGTGCAGACAAGGAGAGAACCCCGTAGCCTATGGGCCCGGCCCCAGGCCTTCTGAGAACGTGGAGGAAAAGTCTGGTAAGAAAAGCGCCTGGTCCCAGGGTCCAGGAGACCTGGCTTGTCGCCCAGACTGGTCACTAGCCGACTGTGTGGCCTTGGCAGGCGGCCCCGAGGGCTTTGGTTCCTGCTTCTCCGAAAGGAGGGGCCTGGCCTGGGCTGCCTGCGATGCTCTTTCTGTCCTGCACGCTCCTCGCTCGCCTGGCAGTGCTGGGGACCGGGCGCTGAAACGTGGCCGTCGTCCTCGACGTTGCCACCGGAAGAAAACTGTGTTTTAAATACCTAGAAAAGCCAACAGAAAGACAAGAAACAGCTTCTTAAATGCAGAGCTGCGAAGAGAGGAGGAGAGACCCCCCCCCCGGTGACGGCTGAAGGACCCAGGTCTCACTCAACTGCCCCCTCGTGACGCAGGAGGGCGGAAGCCAGCTTTCTGGTCCCAGAGGGCTGGCGCGACGCCAGCCTCCTCCACCCACGTCGGCGTTGCCCCCCTCCGGCCTCCGCGGCCCCCCCTCCACCGCTCTGGAGCAGCCTCTGGGAAGGTCACGAGAGGAAAAGAGGGAGGGGGGCGGCGGCCTTTGCTGTGAAGGAACTCAGAGGAGCGGTGGCCACAACGGTCAACTGGCATCACACAAAGAGGGCGGCCACTGCGCCATGCCCGCTCGGCCTGGCTGTGGGAGGAAGCTTCGGCCCAGCTGTGGGGTCGGGGGCCGGGTGACGAGGAGGGAGTGGCTGTGAGCGGGGCCTTCCCGGCGCAGCGGCCAGCGTCCACCAACACAGCCGGGTGAGCAGGCTGATGGTGGGGGGCGTCCCAGCGGTGGTGAGGGGCCACACCAGGCAGGGCCCAGGCCGGGCAAGGAGATGTGATTTACCCAGACTGCACGGGGTGCGTGCTCGTAGCAGACAGGACAGGGGACGGGGGACCAAGGAAGGGGCTGCGGCGTCCAGCTGTGCGGAAGACGGGGTCTGTGCTGCGCACGGAGCAGGGGACCAGACTCGGGTCTCCTTGGAGACAGAACCAAGAAGAACTGCTGGTGAGGTGGATGCAGGGACATGGGGGGAGTCATCAGGGCTCTCTAGACTGGTGGCGTGAGCGGATGAGGGAATGGGGCTGTTCTTGGCGGGGAGGAAAGGGGTGGGAGGAGAGCGGGCTTCCAGAAGGAAAGCAGGAATTTCGTCTGGGACGGCTGGGTTTGAGATGCGCATTAGACCCAGAAGGGGAGGTGGCCGCGGAGACACTGTGTGTGCATCCGGAGCTGCCCGGGATGGAGGGCCCGGGGGGAACCCCCAATCTGAACGCTGTCCGCCTCGCCTGTTTCCTTACACGCCAGGTGAAGGAGGGGGAACCACTAAAGACACAGGGCCAGCCACTCCCACATCCACCTCCCATCCATCTTTGCGGCCGAGACAGGCTGTGTGCCCCCGCCCCCCCACCCCCGCATGGACACACCCCCGACTTCTCCCCTCGCTGCGTCTCCGCCGGGGTCTCCACCGGAAGGCGTCCCGCGGGGCTGCCAACAGCGCGCGCACGTGCTGCCTCTACCTGATCCCAGCCCCGGGCATTTCTGCCTGAGAGCGGCTGCTCGGGCTCCACGCGCAGCCCCAAACCCGTCCTCCGCCCCAGCTCCGGCCGTGCGGCTCGGTCGACTAGGGCTTCGTCCGACAAACCGGAAGACTGCAGGTTCGGTCCCCGGTCAGCACACATACCTAGGCTGTGGGTTCGATCCCCGGTCCGAGTGCGTACAAGAGGCAACTGATGGATGCTTCTCTCTCACATTGATGTTCTCCTTCTCTCTCTCTCTTCTTCTCTCTCTAAAATCAGTTTAGAAAAACATATCGTCAGGTAAGAGTTAAAAACAAAGTCCTCTGCCCCAGACTCTTCACTCATTAATTACTTCCCAGAGCCATGGAGTGGGAAGGTCAGATCTGTGTTGACCTTTCAGCCAGGATGGGACTCTTCCTCTGCCAGAATCGGCCTTGGCCTTCACTGCTCAGCAGAGCTGTGCTCAGGGTTTAAAAGTACAGTTATGGATAACGCCGCCCACCAGGCCGGGTCCACTATGTGGTGTGAGCCTCAAGCTGCAGCTCATCTAGTCTCAGTCCAACGTTGGGGCGACAGTCGCCCTAGAAAGTAGGGTTTGAAACGGCTGCTTTGCCTGCAGCCGCCTCAGGTAACTCCGGCAACCTGCTGCCCCCCTTTCGGGTTTTGTTCCCTGGAATTCTGGGCTCCTGCTTCCTTTAGAAAAAGGCCACATCCTCTCTGGCTTTTCAGAAGTATTTCAGGAAAGAGGCGCTCCTTCCCCACCCCCACAGTCCCTGCCCCAAACCCGCAAATGAGGCCGCTGTCCGTGGGGAAGAGACCCCGTCCCAGCGGCGGGCACAGGGCACGGAGGGCCGGGGGGCGGAAGGCTGACCTGAGGGAGACGGAGTGCAGCGTCCTCATTCCTCCCTCCCGCAAACACCCCCCTGAGCTTCCTAAATTTTTAAATCCCAAGGGGTAAATGATTGCCCCAAACCTTTAGCCTCGTTGTTGCAAAATGGGTAGACTTTATTGGCTCAGTGGTTTAACTTTAACTCCACTTTTGGGATTTCATTAACAGGTAGACCCAGCTCCTTGCATCTTCCTCACGCTTCAGGCCCAGAAGAGGTCACTCACCTCCTCCCTGACCGTCCGTCCACGGCATCGGGGTCCCTTCCCGTGGGAACCTGACGGGGCACCCACGCTGCTGATGGCCCTGCCACCTGCGGGGTCCCTCGGGGTCAGTGCACTCTCCGTCGGGGGGGGCGCGCCTTGTCCTGCCTTCACCCCCTCCTGTTGCACGGACTGCCCCCTCCACGGGGCGGAGACCTGACCCAGGCCAGTCACCGTGCGGGACCGCTGTGGCTTTCTGACTGCAGCTGTTTGTTTGCTCAAAGCCCTGAGTTTTCCGTGAGAATCGACACTTCGTGATTCCAGTCCTTGTGGCACAAAGCCTGTCGGAAGGCCCATGCTTGCTCGCGTCTGCGTCCTCGCCTCTGAGTCCCTCCTGAGCCCGCTCACGGCACACAGAGCACGGTAGAGGCGCCCCTGCCCTCTGCGCTGCCACACGCACTTCCCAGGCCCTTCTGCCCATGCCTGACGGCTGTCACCACGCACTCCTCAGCGTCCTGCACACTTGCCACACGCCGTTCAGGCCCGGTCGCTCTCGTGCCTCATCAGCGGGTCTTTCTGAGCCTCAGCTGATCCCTCATCTTCTCTGTAGCGTCTCATGCGGGTGTACCCAGCACTCCGTCCTTGAACTTCCTCCCCGCCTAGGCTCTCTCCCGAGCCGGACCCATGTGGCTCCCTTTCCTCGCTTGCGCTTCCCCTGGGCTCTGGACTTCGGGCCTTCAGCCACCCTCACCTGTGGCTGAGGCGGGACGTCCAGCATGTTCTCTGGGTGTAAATGCCGCACGGACTTCTCAGCCCCCTACGCTCACGCCCGCGTCCCAAGGCCGTCTGGAAGGTCTCCACGATCTCCTTCAGTCTCAGGCAAGACCTGTTCCTGCTGCCGGCCCCCTCTTTTATTAAGAGAGATTTTCACTCCTTAGTACCCAGCTCCTCCCGTCTCCAGTTCCTTGATTTAATAAGTCTTGATATTAAACTCTCCCTATTCAGGTAACCCTGGTGCGTTGCTCTGGATCTGACTGCCTGGTACAGACGTAAGACTCGTCTCCCTGAGTGTTATTGAATATCGGCCATTTGAGTCGTAGTTCATCCTTGCGCGCTGAGTATGCCACGGTCTGCCGGAGCGGACTTGCAATGACTCAGGTGCGAAATAGGCCACTCACTTGGCACAGTTTCGAGCCAACGTCTCCTCCATTAGGTTTCATTGTCTTATATTTTTATGCGAATAGAAATAAAACGTATTCCTGTGTAATTTATTTGTGGTTCAATTTTCTCTCCACGTTTCCCAGAATTTCTCTACCAGTTTTTTGGCAAGAGAAACCCCGGGCTGCCCTTCAGGAGGGGGAAGAAGAGAGAGAGCAGGTGCTTCATCCAAGGATCACGTGACTCCCGTTAACTGGGTTACTCTGATGCATCAGAGTATGTCATTTCCTCTAACCTTATGTTAATTTTCCTAAATGCCTTTAGAATTCTCTGTACAACATTAATACACATTTTCTGTGTTTTCCCAGATCTCTGTAGATTTTGTAGATGTGTGATAAGTAATGGGTAGGTGTACCGATGGCATTGTTTTACTCCTAGCCTTAACAATAATCTATCTGAAGTTCTGTTTTCAGTTCTTTCTTTAGTTGTGTTTCTATATACAGTGCAGTAAATCACTGCTTGGAGAATTCCTTAACGAACATTGCTGAATGCATCCCAAAATGTCTGCAGATAGTGATGGTGAAACAGCTGCAGCAAACATGTTTCCGCGTTAGGCTGTAGAGTCTACTGGAGATGTCGGTATTGGCTTCAAGGAAATGTGTGTCCACGGATTCTGCTGTCACGGCGCGTGCAGTGAAAGACTAAGGGACCGTGAGCGAGCGCTGGCCCTCTCTGCCTCCCCTCAGAGCGCACCTGCTCAGAGCTTCAGCCCGAAGTCTGGGCCACAGTCGCCTCAGGGCGCACTTTCCTGGGCTCCCGGGGCAGTCCGTAACTCGTTCCTTAGCCCATTTCTTCTACAGCTCACTCACTACCTCCGTCACTTTCTAAGTCAACTTGCCCTTGTACTGATTTTTTTAAGTATGTTAGTCATGTCCTAGAGGCCTCACTGTACAGCAAGTTCCAGGAAAGGTGTTCAGAAGCACACTTTGCTCGAGATCATAGACAAATGCAGCTAGCTGAGCAGCACACAATGACAGCTTTAACAATAGCAGAGGTTACAACGTGTTTAGTGTCTGCTTTTTGCTTTAAAGATGTCACTGACTCAACCACAAGGAGTTTTGTGCACTCTCAGTTCTTCTTCGCGGTCAGATCGGTTCCGAAGGCGCCAGACGCGGTGACGTCAGGAAGCACGTGAAGGGGACGACAGAAAATCACTAAGGCTTGCACAAAGAGCCAACCAATCAGCTTTGCGGTGACTCCTTACCCCTTACCCTCAATTTTTGCCTTTAAAAACCCTTGATCAGAAAGCACTGGGGAGTTTAGGCGTTCCCCACCAGCTCCGCATTCTCCGGGCCGGAGCCCGGCTCTGGCTTCCCCAGGGCAAGGCTCTGCCTTCAGCGTCCGGCCCTGCAGCGCACCAGGTGAGTGGACTTCCTGCTTTGTAACAACGGCGATACAAAAATGGTTTGCTAAGCAGTTTTAAATTACAAAATAAGTAATAATTATTGTACATATGGCCTTTTAGCAAATTGTGAATATAAAACACAATTTTGGGGGGAGTTGGGTAGGGGGTTAGCACAAATGTTCCATTCAATTTGAAAAGAAACTAAAATAAAACTAGCTACAAAGTGTTTTTTTTTGTTTTTTGTTTTTTGTTTTTGTTTTTTTTTCAGAAAACTAAGGAAATTGGAAAACAGACTGGGTATTAGGGAATTAGTAACTTTCCTAGGTATGATCATGGTATCATGATTCAAGGGAACATCCCTTTTCAGAGGATGCAGACAGAAGTAAAATTTCACAATGTGTGCCAGATGGATGTTCATCATACTATTCTTTCAAACTTGTTTTAAAGTTTTAACAATAAATGGTTGAAAATTAATGAAATGACAAAACATTAGCGGTAGGATTGTGGAGGGGATTTTGTTAATAATGACATTTTTAGGGGAAACATAAATGTATCTACTCTTACTTGACATTTCCATGCAAATTTTGTATGTTGCATAGAACCAATTAAGTTTATTGGGGAAAAATAGACCATTAATAAGTCAATACTAAAGTGCCTGGTGTGAAAGACTGAATCAGCTCCTTATGGAATGGAGGACTTCAGGACGTTTTAATGGAAGGTGATGGAGGGTGTATATAAATTACTTATGTGCAGCGGGTGTGTTGTGCTGCCCTGAGCATGCTTCGTCCTTTTAGATTTTGTCACATCTCAAAAATAAAAAACGTGTTTTCAGAATCTGGAATGATTTCATTAGCGACAGATTTTTTTCTTTAAATGTCTAAGAGGATAGATTTAGAAACCTTATTTTTGAGGATTTTTTCCCATTTATCTTAGTCTGCAGTTTTCTAGGTTCAACTTAAGCCATTTGTATTTTTTCTGAATTCATGTTTCATTAGTATCTTTTAATTTGCTAACACAAGTTATTAAAAACTATGTCCTTGTAATTCTAAAACATCAATTCTGTAAGTTTGGGTACTACTTTATGATCAGAGTACTAAGGTAACTTAAAACTGCATGTTTTGGGGATTTGTGTACTTCTAAATGTACACTGTTGTTTTATATCGTACTTGGGGGATTTTGAGGATTTTTGTACAATACCGAAGTTGGCTGCTTTCTCATTTTTAAGCTGAGCCCAAAGCTGCAAACTTGCAAACCTCCTCCCTTCTTTGTAATCCATTTTAGTCTAACTCTTCCCTCAGTAAAATCCAAACCCTAGGAGGACATTCCACATTCCCATTTTGTGAATTGTCATAAAAACGCTAATGTGAACGTGCTCCTTCCTTCAAGAATGGCACTTCTGCTGCCACGAGGTGCCAGGACAACTGTCTGGAGTTAACACGACAAACCACTCAAACCAGGAATTACGCCGTCAACTTATTGCACTTTGAAGAGATTAGCTTCAGAAGCCTCACCGTCTGAACTAGAGTAGTTTCAAGGTCCCAGCTGGTTTAGGACCTGCAGTCGGCTTGCTCTTTTACCTAAGCTCTCTCTCAGAAGCAGTGAGTGGCTCTGAAAAGAGCCTTTGGGTTGTCCTTTCTTCCCGCAATTCAGGTTTTCCCCTGGCTTTCACCACCTGGAAAAGTTGCTTTAGCCTCTCTAGTGGTAGCTCTGGGTGTTCTTGGGCAGCAGCACAGCCTGGATGTTGGGCAGCACGCCGCCCTGCGCGATGGTCACACCTCCGAGCAGCTTGTTGAGCTCCTCGTCGTTGCGGATGGCCAGCTGCAGGTGGTGGGGAACGATGCGCGTCTTCCTATTGTCGTGCGCCGCGTTGCCCGCCAGCTCCAGGATCTCGGCCGTCAGGTACTCCAGCACGGCCGCCAGGTACACGGGCGCGCCGGCCCCGACCCGCTCAGCGTAGTTGCCGTTGCGGAGCAGGCGGTGGATTCGACCAACTGGGAACTGAAGTTGGGCTCTAATTGAGCGAGAGTTAGTCTTGACTCGGGACTTGCTTCGCTGCTTCGCGGCAGACATGTTAGAAGACCCGTCTCCCATGACAGAATAAAGCTATCCTTGGGTAGCTCCAGAGCAGACTTATAGTCTGCCATAGGTTGTGAGTTGCCACTTGATTGGCTGGATGATGTATAGCTATCCAATCAAAAGGAACTTCTGGAATCACCTAATTTACATATACGTCATTACCTACTATCCAATCAGATGTTGGCTACCCAGTTTGACAGTTGAGCTCCTCCTATAAATAGCAGGCTTTTTTGCCCCTGGCAGTTGTTTGCTGACAGACATATTTAGGTGAGTTCCTGTCATGCCGGAGCTGACTGCGAAGGGCCCCGCTACTTCTAAAAAGGGGTTTAAAAAAGCTGTAACTAAGACGCAGAAGAAGGAAGGGAAAAAACGCAAGAAGTCCCGCAAGGAGAGTTACTCAATTTACATCTATAAGGTGTTGAAGCAGGTGCATCCTGACACGGGCATCTCGGCCAAGGCCATGAGCATCATGAATTCTTTTGTCAACGACATCTTTGAACGCCTTGCAGCCGAGGCGTCGCGCTTAGCGCATTACAACAAGCGCTCGACCATCACGTCCTGGGATATCCAGACGGCCGTGCGCCTGATGCTGCCGGGGGAGCTGGCCAAGCACGCCGTGTCCGAGGGCACCAAGGCCGTCACCAAGTACACCACTTCCAAGTAAATTTATCCATCAGTTGAGCTTTAACCCAAAGGCTCTTTTAAGAGCCACTTAACATTTTTTAGAGGGCTCTAGGTCTTTAATGGGTTAGTCTATGTGAATGTACATTGTCACTCCTGCCAGATTAACCAGTAAGTATATCACTCGTTTTCAAATTCATTTTTACGTTTAATGTAAATTCAAGCAAAATAGGTGATTTAACCATATTTCAACTCTGAATAAGTAATCCAGTGTGACTCAGTTATAATCATTTACTGTCAAAAGTACTTACAGGGGGTTTTATTTAGTAAGTTTACAAATGAGTTGGGTAAATATTGGAAGCACGGTTGCTGGTACAATGATTAGTATCTGCCCAGAAGTCTACTGATGTGGCTCTGCCCGTCTGCCTTCCCACTGGCAGTGAGTTCTGTTCCTTTATAGCCTCGCCAACATTTGGTCACATTTTGGAATTCAGCCTTTCTAAAAGATGCGTGAAACTCAGTTTTACTTTACATTTTCCTAATATGCTAATTTGCCACAGGTTTCTGCATAGCAGTAATTTTGATGCCTTCTTTTTAAGGTTGTTGAGTTCAGTCTTACTACTTTTTTTAATGTCTGCTTTCTGAGACATTAAAAATGCCCAGATGGTCCAGTAACAGGACACACACACCATTTTTAATGATGCATCATCATACAAGTTATACCATGACTCAGAAGAAAATTTGAGAGGAGAGCCAAAGTTAGTGTATGAGTAGTACATCATTAGCCAGTAGTTAGCCCAGATTGCAGGGTTTCAATGTTAAGGTGAGCCTAACCTGAGCCTAAAGCCCTGAAACATAGAGGACTTCATCAGACCAAAACGCAAGGGCCTGAAATCCTTGCCGCTGAAGCACAGCGAGGCTGGTCTACAGAACCAACTTCCATGTACAGCAGCACTGTCCCAGGAGAAGAGCCTGAATGTCCCTCAACCCAGCTTTCCTGAAATGCCAGTATCTTTCCACATCTCCAGGCTTCTTTCTTTCCAAAACGTACAAAGAAAAACACGCCTTCAGAGAAACGCATGCTGTCCCTCATGGACAGTCATCCCCAGCAAACATACCCACGTACACTGTCCCCAATCTGGTCCAGGGGGCTCTCTTTGGAGTATTGTTCCTGACATACAAGACCTCTGGGTGCCCAGAAATATGGTGGTGCTCTTTAAGAATCCATTGACCTGAAGCTTGGGGACAGAGGGCAGCGTTTTATACAGCTTGATCTTACAGCATTAAGTATCATGCTCTTACACTAGAACCAACCCAGGAAGCGATTAAATAACCACCACAGCTCTCTCAAGGAAACATAGGTGGCTCTTAAAAGAGCCTTTGCATTACAAGACTCATCTGGTGACTGAACTATTTACTTAGAGCTGGTGTACTTGGTGACGGCCTTGGTGCCCTCGGACACGGCGTGCTTGGCCAGCTCCCCAGGCAGCAGCAGGCGCACGGCCGTCTGGATCTCCCGCGACGTGATGGTCGAGCGCTTGTTGTAGTGCGCTAAGCGCGACGCCTCAGCTGCGACACGTTCGAAGATGTCAGTAACGAACGAGTTCATGATGCTCATGGCCTTGGCTGATATGCCCGTGTCAGGATGAACCTGTTTCAACACCTTATAAATGTAAATTGAATAACTTTCCTTGCGGGTCTTCTTGCGCTTCTTCCCTTCTTTCTTCTGTGTCTTCACTACAGCTTTCTTAAAGCCCTTCTTGGAAGTAATAACGCCCTTCGAAGTCAGCTCCGGCATGACGAACGCTCAGACGAAACACTACAACGGACAAAGATCAGCAAACAGCAGAGGGTGGCCAAAAGCCTACTATTTATAGGATGACGCTCAACTGCCTAGCTGGGCAGCCAACACCTGATTGGACAATAGGCAATGACGTGTATGTAAATAAGGTTACTTCATAAGTGACTTTTGATTGGATAGGCTTACAGCACCCAGCCAATCAGATGGCATATCACAACCTACGGCACACTATAAATAGGCCCCCACAGCACATTCTTTGTGAGTCAGTCATTTTGGTAGCGCCGTGGCTTCAAGCTATGTCAGGGCGTGGGAAGCAGGGAGGCAAGGCTCGTGCCAAGGCTAGATCGCGGTCATTTAGAGCCCAGCTTCAGTTCCCAGTTGGTCGAATCCACCGCCTGCTACGCAAAGGCAACTATGCCGAGCGCATCGGGGCTGGTGCACCCGTGTACCTGGCGGCCGTGCTGGAGTACTTGACTGCTGAGATTCTGGAGTTGGCTGGAAACGCATCTCGTGACAACAAGAAGACGCGCATCATCCCGCGGCACCTGCAGTTGGCCATCCGCAACGACGAGGAGCTCAACAGGCTTTTGGGCGGTGTGACCATTGCGCAGGGTGGGGTCCTGCCCAATATCCAGCCTGTGTTGTTGCCCAAAAAGACGGAGAACCACCACAAGAGCAAGGGCAAGTAATAGCTCGCGGTATTGAAGCCAAACGGGGAACCTGAACATTTACACGAGAGAAAAACAAACCAAAGGCTCTTTTCAGAGCCACTCAAATTTGTGAAGGCTGTGCGTACAGGAAAAAGCTGCGTGTGTATGGCTTTCTGGGGTGGCTGCTGAAGAAATCACAGGATCGGCAAACAACCCTTGGTGGTTACACCTGGGCCTTGAGGATGACGGTTGGAAGTGTCCCTGTACAACAAGTTCATGGGCCCTCGAGATGCTTGTGGGATCTGCCTTTGCACCTAGAGCCATGGTAGTAAGTTCATGTAGCCTAAGTTTAGTCCTTGTTGGACTCTTTGAAAGAAGGAACAAACTTTATATGAACGGAAGTTCTAATGACCTAAGGGGTTGTATTCGGACAAGCAGAGGAGACAGGTAGTCATGTAGCTTCCAGTTGAACGTGGCAGTCTATGGGACATCAGCCAGTCTAGCAAGGCTGCATGAATTTCTCAAGTGTCTAAAGAACTTGCAAGCATGCTAGTGTGCTTCACATGAAATCTTTAGATGTGACATCAGTAAACCAGCAGAAAGTAAGTCAATCTTAACGTTTCATAAATGGTCATTTGTGAACATTTCATACCTGTGGCTTCACACACATGCTTAGTAAAAAAGAATTTCCTTAAAACTTATAGATGTATTCTCAAGTATGGGTTTTGTACCTACCAGGTAGGATGGACAGATAATGGTATAATTCTCAGAGGTGCAAAGTGGCAAGTCCTTCCATCATAACTTTGAAATTATTAGGGAATTTAGATCATTTTCAGAAGTGGTACCTACAAAAAAAAGATAAAATAGTTTCACTTCTTGTTTCTACTACAAATACCAAGAGAAATGAGCAAATGAACATTCAGTTAGGCTGTCAAGTACAAAATTCATGTACAATAATGATTTCCAGGTGATGCATGGCAACACACCCATATTTTAAAATATTCAATGCCTGACTCCAGTCAGGGGCACTGATCTTTTTCCCCTTAAATTGTCAAAATGACAACAGCCAACACAATAATAGCTGTCTGGTGTGAATGAATGGAAATTACACTCGATCTTTTTTGTCATATCAGCAAAAAGTATATATTTTGTGTGCGCAACAGAATTTTAGTAATAAGGTTATGTGTGCCATGAGCATAGAAGGTAGAAAATCGCTTCTGTACAATATTGAACAGTTTACAGTATCTCAAAGAATCTCATTGGTTATCAAAAACAAACATTGCCAGGTATTTAAGACCTACACAGACATGTATAGGAGCAGGTGCGAAGAAAAGTATAAAGTCCTATAAGAAGATAAAGATGAAAATATACCACATAGTATGTTAATTAGGGACAGTCAGGTTATGAAAGAGCCGATCACCTCTTGAACATATGTACATAAATATCAAGGCCTGCAATTGGGAAAAGCACAAAAATCTGAAAAAGAAGTTGAACATTGGGCAAAATTACATGTTTAGACATTGCAATTATTTAAAGACATCACAATCTTTAAAATGTGAAATTTTAAAATCAGAATAATGACATAAACAATTTTCCTAAACAGAAAAACTTCAAATATTTTATATACATGCTCCCCCGCCGAACAAGTGTAGCTTCCCTCCCCAGACTCACCAAAACACCGAGGAAAGGCGGGAGGAGAGGGAGGGAGTCACAGCAGAGACGCCCCGCCAACAGCCAGATGATCACCGTTACCGTTTTCAACCTTCAAAGTTAAGCAACAAAGTTACTGCACAGCAAATGGGTTTATTCGGGAATAGCAGGAGACTTGCAATTCCGGACAACCAAAATACGGCAAAATGCAGGCAAGTCTGGAGAGCAAAGGAGAAGAGCACTCTTTTATACAGGAAAGGAGATGGCGGGGAGGGGCTGTTTGGAGGACAAAATGTCATTGGAGGAAAGTGAGCGTTGGGAGTGGTGGCAACTTCTCATTGGCTGCAGGCGAAGGCAGCTTGCAGTCAGCAGGCGGAGAGGAAGCCCTTCTCCTGCTGGACTGTGCCGAGCTGCGGGAGTGCAGGGCTGAGAAGTCTTCTGCATGGGCTCTCAACTCCAGGTCGCATGAAGGTTCGCTCATTCATTCCCGCAGCAGCAGCAGTGGTGAGCGTTGCTAGTGGCCTGTGCCCCTCACGGGCTGTACTGAGGAGGCGTTTCACTTCTCTGGGGGTCCAGCGTCCCGTAGTCCCAGTCTAACCCTGTGAGAGGCAACGGGCAGGTCCCCCTGGGGGAACACTCTACAAAGTATCCGACTCTGAGTCCTCAAAGCTATCAAAGCCATCAAAACCAAGGCAACTCTGAAAAATTGCTACAGCCCCAAGGTGGCTAAGGCATGAAATATACATCATAAAATACGTGACATTATGACTAATTGTCACACATTTTAAGTGGATCCCAGAACAGAAAGGGAACATGAGGTAAGATCCAATGCATTCCAAAGGTTAGCATCCGGCTTACAGCAATGGAACAGTGCCGGCTCCTTAGCGGTGACACGCGCACCAATGTTGACAATAAGAGAGACTGGGTGGGGAGTGTACGGGGACTTTCTTCTTTTTGTATTGATTTTTTTTAGGAAGAGAGAGGAAGGGAGAGAATAACATCGACTTGCTGTTCCACTTACAGATGCACTCACTGGTTGACTCCTGTACGTGCCCTGACCGGGGATCGAACCCACAACTTCGGTGTATCAGGACGACACTCTAACCAACTGCGCTGCTTGACCAGGGGAGCTCTCCATCTTTACAACTTTTGTATAAATCTAAAATTATTCCGAGTTAGAAAGTGTACTGGAACACAAATAAACTTTTTGTTTATATATTTCATTAGACACTAAGTGAAAACCGTTTTCCTTGGCAAAGTAATAATAATAATAATAATAATAATAATGCTACAGCAACTACTACCACCACTACTACTACTACTACTAATAATAATAATAATAATAAGGATATGCCAGGAGGCCGGAAGCTGCCACACTCTGCCCAGTGGCTGACCTCACTCCTTGTCCCTTCTTCGCCCCCTCACTGTGGCCTGAACTTCCCCTCGTTCCTTCAAGTAGAACTCCACAAACACCGTGAGTGGGACTTTCCAGGCTCGTCTTATTTTGGGGCTTCAGTTTGCGCTTCGATGTTTTTGTGTTTTTATAAAACTTACTTTTCTGCTGTTCTTCCCTTCCCCTGGGGGCACGAGTCCACTTGCCAGCGCTCCCCCCACCGCCAGACCGACCTTTGGAAACCTCTGTCCTTTCTTCTTCTTTGGGACCCTTGGCTCTCCGGCTGTGCGACGTGTTCTTGTGCTGGGCGCTCCAGGGGCTCCTGTGAGGTCTTCGGAGACACTAAGCCCCGAAAGGTTATGGGAGAGCCTTCACCCCTAAACCATATGAAATCCAGAACAGAAAGAAATGTTTCTGTGGTAGGAAATATACAAGTACATGTGTTCTGTCTGGGGTGAAAATAAGTTCCTTCTGGAATTTTTTGGATTGCAAAATCCTGGGGAAGAATTTACCAAAGCTCATGCCTTCTCCTTTGGGAGCGTCTCTCTGCCCGCCTGCCGAGCAGGGGCTCTCCTCCCCTGGGCCCCCTGGCACGGAGCTCCTGCCACCAGATGCAGAGCTCTTTGCTTACAGCCTGTCCCCTCGCTTCGCTGGGAAGGAAGGAAGTCATTGTAGGGTCGCCACCCCGCCAGGGTGGAGCCAGTAGTTGTGTCTGCACCTCCCCCGCCCCTTTCCCTCCCCCGGATTCCGCTCACGTCCAGTTGTGATGTGGTAGCAGATGAGTGAAACGCGCACCGCCACGGAGCCACAGAGCTGGGTCGCCACGTGCCTTAGTCCTTCGGGGAGCTCTGTTAGTAGTTCCCTCCGTTCTGTCTCCCTTTCACGGTGGGAAACGGAGAGGGATTTCCCTGATGCTTCCGTCAGGGGTTGAACCGTGTCATCCAGAAAGTCACACGTTGAAGTCCTGACCCCCAGCACCTCCAAAGGTGACGGTATTGGGAAAATGCAGGGGCGGCGGAGATGGAATTAGGACGCACTCACAGTGGAGTAGGGTGCGCCCCTAATCCACCCACCAGCGTGGGAGCAGGGAAATTTGGGAACAGAGACAGACATGCACACACAGAGAAGCCCAGGTGGGGATACGGGCAGAGATGGGGGCGCTGCATCCACAAGCCGGGGAACCCCAAAGAGCGCCAGCAAGCCCCCAGAGCTTAGGGGTAAGCATGGAAGTGAGGGTCCCTCGTAGTTCTCAGAAGTCAACCCCACTCACAGCTGGATCTCAGGCTTCCAGCCCCCAGAGCCGTGAGACAAACAGTCTCTGTTACTTCAGCCGGGCCACCCAGTGTGTGGCTCTCGGTGAAAGACGGGTCTACAAACACAAACATCCCCCACCCCAGGGAGTCCCTCCCAAAGCCGGGATTTGGGTCCAGCCCTTCTGCCCCAGGTCTAGTGCTCTTTTCCCATTAGGCCAGTTGTCGTCCTCCTGATGGGAAGCAACCGCTTCCATGTGGATAGTCTAAGGTGGCTTCCTGGAGGAGGTGGCTCTGAGCTGTGCTTGATGATGAAGAGTTTCCAGGTGAGGGAATGGGGGTGAGGACGTCTCCTGGCCAGTGGGGCTGAGACAGAAGACCTGGAGAGGGAAGCACCTGGTGAAAACCTTTGCATACGCCGAGTGTTACACACAGGACCTTCCAGTGGGTATACATCTGCGGGAGAGAAACACTGTGGCCAACAGGGAGCCGTGTGACATGCTTGTGAACCCGAGCGCGTCAGCCAGTCAAGGTCAGGCTCCCACAGAAGCCGGGGCTTCCGCGGCAGGAGGGCAGCGGGCACCGGGAGGGGGAGGGGAGGACCCCGCAGCCCGGGCACGTAAGCGGATCGGCCCTGCCTTGAGCAGGTCCCCTGGTCTTCGGATCTTAGGGCGGATCTCGGGAAGGCCACCCTACGTGTCCAGATGAGGTAAAAGTATTAGGCAAAACGTGTGAGAAGTTTTCTT